TGTTCCAACTGCGGTGGTACCAGTAGCAATCTGACCACATGCCCGTCTTGCCATTCCTCGGAGTGTGGAGTGTCGGCCAGATCCCCTGGTCACTCACCGTTGCACACTTCTCTTCCCATCGCGATGATCTGATGGTGCCTCTGCACCGTTCACTTGCTCCCAAAGGGTCTTGTTGAGATCTGTATTGTCGTACAAAGTGAATCAGGGACCAGTAAACACGATGGGAAAAGGGGGGAAGGGAGGGGGAGGGTGTCACAGAGTTCCACATCATGACACACACACACAAAAAGTTTGATCTGACACGAGCTGATTGAGGACTTATGTTGGGGTATACGGGACTGAAGAAAATGTGATAACTAAGAATGACGAAACTGTGTTATGTTGAGTGCTGAGCTAAGAACTGACATCACAACGCTCAGGACATTCCCATCAGCGCTCCATCCTCATCAGCCAGAAGATGACTGAAAATATCTTCTACCAATGTCCAAAGCAGTAATGTGTATATGAGGTAGACAATTTTTTTTTAGGGAAGTTGGTATCACTAGAGGTCATTTGTGCAGGAAACCAGAGTTTCGGATCCGCAGACTGCTTCCTGGGAATCCCTAAAGGACGCATCCATAAAGAGTGGAAGGCTAAATATATGAATGTGAGTTTAAGCAGTCGTGTAGGATGTGAGGATTCCTTGGGTGAACCCAGAACCAGAGCGACATGTATCAGCTCAGCATTTATTGAAGCTTACTTGTTCATAGTTCATGTTAGAGATCATCTTCATCGCACATGACCATAACTGCTCTGATCTCCTCCTGAGTATGTCTCCTACAAGTGTTTTTAGGCTAACAACTACCATTCTCTTCTGGCTGATGTAACGACGGGTGGCTCTCGTGTGGTTTTCCTGTCTTGCCGCTCCAGTTGGTGCAGCCATGGTATGTAGTCTATTGAGTAAAAAATCATTTTCTTCGAAACTGAAAGCCTCACAGCGTTTAGTCCCTCGTATGGAATTGATAATGTCTCTCCATAGAGGGCTCATTCCTGATAGTCGTACTGCCAGCAGTCAGTGTCTGCCTTACACACCAGCATACCCTGGGAAGAAAATGAAGGTGATATTTTGCAAATTGCTGAATTAGATGTAGCCACTGTTTCCGTATGTAAAACCGCCTTGATCTTCTTTAGCATGTTCATTGAGTCGCTGAGCGAACATGCATTGGTAAACTTTTCAGCCATTCTAGGACCTTTGTCACAGCCATGACCTCAAATGTCATGCTGCTGGTGATCAAAGCAAATGCTCCACTGACTTCTTCAATGCTTTTCTCTTTGATTCTTTGCCATGAAAGCCCATGCACTTCGCTTCTGAGAAATCACAGAGCCATGAGTACATATAAGAGCATCTTTCCGTGAGGTGTGTTCCCCCACCAACGCTTTCACTTCAGCATCAACTACTACTGGTGGCGCGAAATTACGGCATTGTCTTGTCAGGTGATAACCACCATAAAGTACTGTTTATATTCATGTGGTATGGGTATCCATGCCTCTCCACAGTTTATGCTTACTTGGATAGGTGGGAATGCCCGTGCTCTGCTCCTGTCTTCCCCTTGAAGGTGGACCGAGGCAGCCGCTCAAGGGACAACACAGCAGGTGGATCAGGGGATGACAACTTCACCACATACAATAGGCTTCAGATGTCCCAGGAAACTAACTAAATGGGAAGGTTAACCCAGATAACAAATGTCTGAAGAAGATGGAGGCGTCTTCTAAAAGGTGCAAATATTACAGTTATGCAGTAAACAGGCACAACACATTTACGTCACTAAGATGAATGATGAAGAAGTAGATATCCTTTAGCTAAGAAGGTTCGTGTAACCAAAACTACTCTTCCCAAGGTTTTCTTTATTATAATTGAAGAAACTATATATTACATCAGACATGTCCATGTTTACTGATTGATTGCCTGTAAGGATATTATATACTCACGAGAGAGAGAGAGAGAGAGAGAGAGAGAGAGAGAGAGAGAGAGAGAGAGAGAGAGAGAGAGAGAGAGAGAGAGAGAGAGAGAGAGAGAGAGAGAGAGAGAGAGAATCAAAATGTATTTCTTTTATAGCAGGTAAAAATAATTTAAATGCCCAAAATTTAAATTACTCAATGAAAGGTTGTACAAAACATTGCAAATAAATGTTTTGAAATGGAAATTATTTTCGTTAGTATGCTCAATGAAATAAGACATGTAAACTTTATGTTGCCAATATTTTTAACACCTTTTTTTTTTTTAAATTTGGTGCAAACAGATTAACAGCCTGATTGTCTTCACTTTTTTTTGACACCATGATAATTTTCTTCTTCCTTGCGTGCCTGGTCTGGAGCAGACATCACAGCAAGCACTACTCTCCAGGCTTCACTGTCATTTGATGTTTCAACTGTTGACTTTGTTCTCATTCATTCAAGTACTCCCATTTGATGTTTGTCCACTTTGGTGGAGGGGCTTGTGAGTTCAAATGACACCAAGAGCTGTGCCAGTGGTAGATAGCACACAAGAGTGTCTCACATGTCGGATAAGTCAAGGGATAGGAACAAGGCAAAGACAGACAGACACAAACCTGCTGCCTAGCAGGTAGGTGAGTGAACTCAAACCCAGAAAAAAAGAAGAAATAAAATCCCTCTGTTGGTTCTGAGGCCCCATTGTAAGGAAAATTAGAATGGACTCGCTGCCTCCCCAAAAAGCATGTCGTATGAGTTGACTAATTGTGGGCGTCCTTCAAAGTCAGAGTGCATCTGCCTGAGGCAAGAAAAAAACAGTCTGCATACAAATAAGCTATATATGTTTTTTTAAACTATTTTAAAAAATGTGTTCACAACACTCAGGTTCTGAAACAGTTGACAAACAACTAGAACTTTTTGCTGAAGTTTATAGCCGGTGTTCACTGGCAAAGAAGTTTTAGTAAATAAACATTTTAAAAAAACAAACAAATTTTAACGAATACTTCTTCTTGACTTTTATTTGCTCACACACAATATCAAACATTTAAATAATGCACCCCACTATAAAACTTGGTATCATTTGGAAACAGTGAATATGAACTCTACGCATAACTACCAAAAATTGTTTTCAGTGTGTTTTTCATCACAGCATTCAAACAGATAGCAATGGTATGCACCAATGCTCTAGAGAAAGAAAAACTGCCCCTCCTTAAACACAGAAATAAACTGACATCACTCACAATTATAGAGAGGAGACATCTGAGAGCAAACCAGCCTCATTATAACAGAATATCAACATTTTTATGTGGACCTTGTGGCAGAGATAGCCACTTCCACACTAGACTTGACAGTCACATCAGATGCTCTACCCAAAACCAGCAGCACAACTGAATGTCTGGAGACTGATGGTTGCCTACACTCAAATGAGATATGCATACAACTGGACCCTTTTCACACCTTGGTGTGGGACTGAGCCTCGAGAGGCAGGGGGTAAGAAGTGTTGGTGTTACGGGTAGTGGGTCCCCCCCCCTTACTTCACCCTAGGTCTAGTGAATATATGTTCACGAAAGGAGCGTCCATTGTGGTGTCAGCCTCTTGACCTAGCAAAACCTCTCTTACCTCAAGACCATTGTGCGTGGCGAAGAGTCACAGCCTCCCCGAGGTAGTCTTGGTAACTGGGGGTGCGAATCCCCAGGCAAAACACAATGGATCTAGAGGAGCAAACCTCGATAATAAACCCGGTGCACCACACCGTACTGCCCCCTGTGGGAGGGAAGGAGCCAGAGGTGTGCTGAACAGTCTTAGGAATGGAAACAAGTATGCTAACCCCCCTGAATACCGGAAACTATCGTGAAGGCACAGGGACTCAGGACGTGACGATCCAGTTGCCCCAACTACTCATGATTAGGCCATGCTTAGAGCCATGAAGAGCTCAGCGAAACCTGCAGGCAATCTGGTGGCGGGGAATGAGCACACTGTGAGCCCCACCTTAGCTACGTGTTAAAGGGGAAGGCAGAAACACAACCCATATTTCCTTTAGAACTGGTACAGGGCATTTCTAGCTGCTGCCCGGGGAGGTAGGTAATCCACAGACACCCCAGCACCACAATGCCATGAATATGATAACAACAACACACCTTGGTGCTTCCTGTGTGGGTTCCGGGGCCCTGTTATAGGGAAAACAAGAAAAGACCCACTGCCTACCCAAAAGCATGTCGTAAGAGTCGACTAATTGGTAGCTTTCTTCAAAGTCGGAGTGCATTTGCCTAAAAGGCAAGGAACTAACAGTCTGCATACAAATTAGTCAGATCTGTCAAACGTATGCACATACAACACTCAAGTTCTGGAACAGGACTGCAGTCCAGAACTTTTTGCCAGAATTTACAGCTGGTGAACGCAAAGAAGAAGAAAGAAGACACCTTGGTGCATCGTGCATATGGTGCTAGACTACATTTGTTACAGACCAAACAGCACTGGATCAGTGATGTGGTCAACACCATGCTAGCTGCCTCAACTTCCGAGGACATTATCTGGTACCAATTTTACAACGAGTCGACCTCAGATCCAAAGTCAGTTTGGTAAAACATCAGCCTTGATGCACATTTGAACCTTAGACTTTCATGCCAGTAGGTGTGCATCTAGCTGCTCCGCTATGCTACCTCATCTCTCAGTAACACAAGTAATATACTAGATTACTGGAAAACTTTATAAACAACCATACAGGAGTAACATACTCACATACATGAACTAGATAAACGGAGACCTGTAGACTTAAAAAAACCACCATACATGAGGTAACATACTCAGATACACATACTAGATAAATGAAGACCTGTAGACTGTTAACAACTATACATGACGTAACTTACTCACATACATGAACTAGATAAACAGAGACCTCTAGACTGTTAACAACTATTCATGACGTAACTTACTCACATACATGAACTAGATAAACAGAGACCTCTAGACTGTTAACAACTATACATGACGTAACTTACTCACATACATGAACTAGATAAACAGAGACCTCTAGACTGTTAACAACTATACATGACGTAACTTACTCACATACATGTATTAGATAAATGGAGACCAATAGACTGTTAACAAAACAACCATACATGAGAAACAGTAAAGATGAAAAGAGTAAACAATCCTATGTGAGAATATCATGTGCATGTGTTTCTAACAAGCGCTCCATCAACCCAATGTCTTTGCCAAGGATATCAAGACGAGTCTGCATGCTGGCAATCTGAAATATAAAAAAATTAAATATTAGTTAATGTCAGCTTGCAGCTTTACCATACATTTCATATTCATCACTGTCACATGTTTTGTGTTAGTGTTCATGCCTTGTTGGTGTTCCTGTTCTTTTATAGCATAACTAAAATTAGTAACCAAGGAAATGAGGTGTCTGAGAAAGACTAGGAGTAATCAGAAAGATAAAAACATGAATAAGGTCATATGAGATCAAATCGGCACAGAACCAATTCTAAATTACATACAAAGACAGCAAATCAAATGGTTTGCTCACATGGAGAAAATGCGTTCTGATGCTATACCACACAAGGCATACACAAAAAAGAGAAGGACCTAAAGTAAGAGGTAGACCAAGAACAATATAAAGATAGCATCAGAGAAACTCTATAGCACCACGATGTGTCTATGGTCGAAGCAGCCAGAAGAGCACGAAGCAGGACCTTACATCTCCCTCGACACCCAAAGCAGTAAAAGAAGACGTAAAGAAGAAAAAGAAGTTTGTGTCTTTCTATGAATCTTGGTCCATGGCTTTCTAGACCAGTGTCCTTCAACTTGCTGGTCCACAGAAATGTCTGAATCATCAGCCAAAAATGTCCACCCAATCATGTAGCGACCAGTCTTCAGGAAAATTTTTAAAAAAGACTTTTCCCCACCACCCCCCTTAAAAAAAAAAACATTATAATTCTCTGAAACTATGAAATTAGAGAAAGAGAAGATGTCCAGGAAATTCGCAGTCTTGGTCAGTTTTTATAAAAATTTGTGTTGGGGATGAAACCTATGACCACCGAGCAAGACAGGCAAGCCAGCTAGCTGTTGCGGCATAGTAGTGATCAAGTCACAAAAAAGATGGAATTTTCACATTCAGAGTCATTATAAAAACACTGTTTTTCGCCACCTAATGAGAAGAGAGACATTGGAGAACATTGTGACAACTGGAAAGATCAGTCGAAAAAGGGATAGAGGCAGACCAAGAGAGATGATGCTGGATGGGCTAAAACGATGGCATGGAGGGATATCATCAAGAGAGCTGTTCCAGGCAACTGGGATCGTGATCTGTGGAGACGCATGAGCGCCTACGCAAGTTGGTAGGGCACATGATGATGATGAGAATCCTTATTACGCAAAAAGATTTTTTTTTTATCTGAAGAAAAGCAATGACTAAATACAAACGGAGTAAAGCAATTACTTTTCTTCCTTTTGGTTAAGAAAATAGTGGGTTTTTATGGACAGCATCAGGCAGCAAAGTTTTTAACCCTGAATAATAAAATTAAAAAAAAACATCTTTTTGGCATCATGGCCTCCTTAATCCCATCTTCTCTGCCTTATAAGTGTTGATACTTATGGTTGCCTAGACATTTATCTTATCTATTCACTCTTTTTGAATTCATCCCATTTAATTTTCATAATTTTCCTCATACATTTGTAAAAAAAAAATACATTTAGCTTTTGTTCCATATCTTTAGTGGTTCCCCAATTTTAGCCTGCAGTTGAAACCAGTACCGAAACTGTTATACATACTGGCCACTTCCCAAAGACTTCATGTCAGCAGAAACCATTAAAGCCAGAAAAATGGCTTTCATAGGGTAAATGGGACAGAGCAGATTCTGGTATGAATATACGAAGGATTCTAATTGGTGATATGGAGTTCAAGCACAGTGCTGAGATTCACCAGTGTGATCTATAAAGGGAGACTGAAATACCGATAAAGGTGAATATGAGCAATAAAAGTAATCATTTTTACCAAATATTTTCATAAAAGCTTATATTTTCCTTGTCAATTCAACCACAACTTCAGCCCCACCATATCTTGGTGTCTATTTCTGGATTGTGTCAGGAGTAACTGTTTGTTCACCAGTTTTTCAAATGTGACCACCAGTTTGCAGTGAAGCTGAAACAATTACTACTTACTGCTACTACTACTACAACAACAAATATAACTACTGCTGCTGCTACTACTACAATCACTACTACTACTACTATTACAGTTTCACTTTACTGGTTACAAGCAACTGTCCCTCAGTTTACCTGTTTTCTATCAAGCACACGAGGCTGTACCCAGGTCATGTGACACTTTTGCTCTATTTCATCAATGGACCCACGAATAAGTCCCAGACTCAGAGCCTTCATTACAAGCAGCTCAACCTGAGAAACACAGTGATAAAAGGAATCAAACAAAGTTTATGTGCATCAAATCAATTGACAACTAAGATAAATGAGTGAAGCAAAGAAAGAGAAAAACTTGGAGCAGCTTTGGTATATATATCTAGTGAGCAAAAAGAAAAAAGCACACGATAAGTATGTTCACGCTAGACTAAGCACAACATGAATGTCGCAGCACTTCTCTGGGTTCACTTATCCGCTTCATTTGAATCAATTGTTACTGTAGTATGCACCTGACGAGATACAGCGAAATATGCCAGGCAATAAATTGTGCAATATGTTGTTTGTGTGTTCTTTGTTCAAATTTTGTAATTTGTTTCGTTAAAAGTTAGCCATGGACACTGAGTTAACTGTATGTGTCGATTCCTCCCCACCAAAAAATGGTTGACACATTCCGTTTCTGGGGACAGCTTTTATCGAGTTTGCTCTCTAGACAGTTGCAGTTCCCTGCTGACGTAATGCTGTCTTCCCGAGTGAGCCGCCACGATCAAAACATTGCAAACGCAGCGAGATCGAGGCTGCCAAAACTATCAGTCATTATCCCGCTCCGATATAACCCAACTACAATACATGCTGCTCCCACGAAAAACACACAGTATCCTGCATTGGAAATGCACACAAAATGATTAGGAAACAGAATAAACCGAGAGAATTGACAATCAGCGAAAATAAACACTGCTGCTAACCGCCATTTTGAAAACAGAAGTCCTTGTTAAAAGTTCAGAATGACAGGATGCAAGAGAATGACACTCCAAATAAAATGCCTCTGTTGGAGAGTGAGCTAGTTGTTTGCCTCGCACTATAACAAATCATGGATTTGGTTTTGAATTCTGTGATTCAATTAATGAGTGCAGATCTTTTAAGAAACTAGTTTCATGCCTTGTGCAAAACCCGTAGCAGTTGGAAAGCCATCCCACCCTTCGCCATAAGCCAATTGTCTCACCTTTAAACACATTTTACTCATGAATCTACAAATGATAAATCATCACTGAAATACAAAATAAGCATATCTCAACATTAAGGTCTCAGAACCTGGCTGCAGACATACAAATACAGCAGTCAGATCTGAGGCCTGGCCAGTAGGCATTCTGGTGGAAACCAAGCTGTATGTGTCGGATGAAATGCGTCCCCACCACAGCCAGTATAGAGACCTGTGGCCTTCTCATCTTTTGTTCATTCATCACAAGTAATGAGGATCACTTCTTTCACCCGTCATGAAACTTCAGTTGAATGTTTGTGAGTCTAGAGGTGACATAAGTTCTCTACATGCCCGGAAGAGTCTAGGTCAATGAATGCAGGGCACAGTGTCTGTAGACAAAAGGCCTGTTTGTTAGTTCTTTCTGGCCTGTCTTTGCTGTTCAAAAGCCCTTGTTCTAGATGCCTCGCAGGTTGTTGCACCATTTCAGATATACGTGCACAATAAAATCTAATCTTGTGCAGACAACTGTGTGTACATACTCTTGTGCCGCAGCCTTCTGGGTGTCAGGGTTTATACTGAAGGCTTCAATAATGCTGTTAGTGTGTCCTTGAAGCATTTTTTCTGGCCACCATGAGAGCATCGATCTTCATGTATCTAACCTTAGAAGATTATTTTTGGGAGCCAATGGTCAGGCATTCGAACAAAATGGCCAGCCCATCAAATCTGTGACTGCATCAGGATGGTACTGATACTGGGAATACCAGCCCTCATCAGTACCAGTGTCCAGGACCATGACTTGCCACTTTATGTTCTGTATCTTTCTCATCTAATAACCAGTGGAAGGGAGAATAAAATGAAGAAGACATTACAGAAAATGAACTAATATTTTAAAACCCTTACATCGTTCTTGTTAATTTTAGCTGTCTGTGCAATGTTGTCAAAGGTTAGTTGTCTGTCTGTAGCTGGGCGCTGGAAAGTCATCTGAAAAACAAAAAAAACCAAGCTTTACATTTTGTAGCCAGAACAAAATCCCCATACTTTCATGGGAAAACAAAAATTCAACATGATATACTGAATCCATGCAATGCACTAGGTGTGATAGTTATTTTTTAATCATTTTGTCATTATTAATGGCGTCACCATCACTCTACAATATCTTTCTCTGAGAACATTTATCAAACATTAATGGCAAGCTGTCATGTTTTTTACCAAGGGGCAAGACTTTGACTGAACTGTTTACTTGTGTTCGGTCAGTCAGTAAATAACACAAAACCCACATATTCCGTTTCTGGGGGCAGCTTTTATTGAGTTTGCTTTCTAGACAGTTGCAGTCCCCTGCTGATGAAATGCTGTCTTCCAGAGTGGGTTCCGTGTCCCTATTGTGGGGAAAACAAGAATAGACCCACTGCCTACCCAAAACCATGTCATAAAGTCTACTAATTGGGAGCTTCCTTCAAAGTCAGATTGCATCTGCCTGAGAAGCAAGGAACCAGCAGTCTGCATACAAAAGAGTCAGATCTGTAAAACGGATGCACATGCAACACTAAGGTTCTGGAGTACGACTGCAGTCCAGAAGTGGATGAACAACCAGAACTTTCTGCCAGAGTTTACAGCTGGTGAACACGAAGAAGAAAAGTTTCTTTTTTTTTAAAACCAGCCAAGGACCTTTTCCATGCAGCTGGTCTATCGGGTATTTAGTACCATCTTCACATTTTTTAAAATAGAAAAGTCCTCAGTTGAGGGATGATACAGTCAACATCACAAAGAGAACCTTTCCCGGTTTTAACAATCTGCCTCAGTATGTAATCAAAGACCATTAGGATGTAGGGCAGGCATCAAGCCATATCTCTACCATGGTTAATCATACTGTTATAATCTCACTTCTTTTTATAATTTCAAGCTCAATCAACATTAGTTGTTGAAATAAGGAAAGATATGTTGGTAAGAGCGGTACTGGGGAGGATATCAGACTTATAACAGAAAGAAGAAATGCAACTGGTTTATCGGGTATTTAGTACCATCTTCACATTTTTAATAGAAAAGTCCTCAGTTGAGGGATGATACAGTCAACATCACAAAGAGAACCTTTCCCGGTTTTAACAATCTGCCTCAATATGTAATCAAAGACCATTAGGAGGAGGGCAGGCATCAAGCCATATCTCTAACATGGTTCATTAAGCTTATCATGTTATAATCTCACTTCCTTTTCTAACTTTAAGCTCAATCAACATTAGGTGTTGAAATAAGGAAAGATATGTTGAGAACAGCGGCACTGGGGAGGATACCAGCCTCATCCTAGAAAAAAGAAATGCAACTTGAAAACTTTATATTATGGCAGGGCAAACCAGGCCCATAAGCCTTATCTTGCAGTTGGTCTAGGAGGGAACATCTGATAGGCAGACAGACGAATCACTGCTCTTCTGATCTGAAAGCTCTTGTAGCATACCTTGTTTAAACATACTGGTGTTACCTTTCCTCTGGGGTTAACACAAAGCAGGCAAAGAGTGAGATTCAGCATTGGCAACACATGGGTCTCTACAATAATGTACAAGCTTTGTGCTACTGAGAGAATGGTCAAGGGCTGAGTTTCCCAAGTTTGGCTATAGCACAGTGGACAATGTCATCTGGAAAGATGCTGACCAAAAGAAGGGATATGTGACAGGACTCATCAATCAGTCAGCAAGTCCTTTACAGAACGTCACTCTCGCCACGGCACGCCCGAAAGTATCCCTTTCCTTAGCCAGCTCTCCGACCCCATGTGCTTTCAATGCCAATACTTCTTCAATGACCTGTATCCATTTCTGCGGTGATTGACCCCTGCCTTGCCTTCCACAAACTGCACACTCCATCAGTCTTTTCCAAGCCACCATGACCCTTGATGTGGCCAAAATACTTCATTGCAACTTTCGGGACAGGATGCTGTTTATGAGCCAGTTCTCCTTGATGTTCAACTAGTTTAGACTGCCGATGTTTTTTCTTTTCTAGATCCATGGTATTTTAAGAATCTTTCAATAACATTTCAATTCAAAAGCTCCAATCCTTTTCCTCAGTGACTGAGTGAGATTCCAAGACTCACAACCCTAAACTGCCACAGGAAAAATGCATGACAGGACTAGTATGACATGTTTACAACCAGCATGCAACTGGAATGATTCCTCTCTGCACTCAACTGGCATCAGCTGCAAGAGGTGGAGTATGCCCAGTTCACCATGATGTTGATTTTTTAAATCAAATCAGCTTCTGATTTGATAATCAAACTTAACCTGATATTGTATCTTTAAACAACAAACAAACACTTACCTCCATAATACAGAGCAGGTTAATCTTATTTCTCATAGCTGTCTCGTGTGCTTTCAGATCAGGCTGGAACAAATATTTAGCTACACTTAGTTAAGCATATCACAATATATTTTAACTTTTGTGCATCTTCTTCTTCTTCTTCCTCTTTTACCGCTGTGGGTGTCGAGGAAGATATAAGGTTCTGTTTCTAGCTCTTCTGGCTGCCTCGACCATAGGAACATCGTGCTGTTGTAGAGTTTCTCTGATGTTATCCTTCCATCTTGTTCTTGGTCTACCCCGTGCTCTACGTCCTTCTTCTCTTTCCATGTATGCTTTGTATGGTATGGTGTCACAAGGCATTCTCTCTAAGTGGGCAAACCATTTCACTTGCTGTCTTTGTATGTAATCCAGAATTGGTTCTGTGCCGACTTGTTCTCTTATGATCTCATTCCTGATCTTATCACTTATGGTCACTCCCACAGCCCTTCTCAGACATCTCATTTCCGTGGTTACTAATTTTCTTTTATGGTTTGTTGTGAGTGACCATGTCTGGCACTGGTAGCACAGAGTTGGAATAAATATGCTTCGAATAAGATGTCTCTTTGTGCTCATTGGGATTGTCTTATGCTTGTGCATCTAACCAATTTTAATTAAAAGGATATTTTATTTCATATACACTACACTGCTCTGACCTTATAGGAAATTAAAATATTCTAACATGTCAAAGGCAGCCAGCGATACATAATGATACATCAACAGTTAAATGCCGATTAGTCTTTAAAAAAACAACACATGAATCACATACAAGAGAAGACATATTTACAGCAACGCTAATTCATTAATGTAATAGAACTGTCACAGCCTACAAAAAAAAATGTGGACACTATCACTGAAGAAACATTCCTTTCTTTGTTTTTTTTTTTTTGAAGTTTTTCATTAGGCTCAGTATATCTCCTGTAGACCCTTTCTCCTTACTTCTGGATATTACATTTCTAGTGGGAGGATAACATCAAGAGATTTAAAACAGCAGTCAGAGTTTGTACAACCATACTGAGACATACGGTGTTGAAAATTCATTGTAAAGATAGCACATGATTGATACTAGAAGCAAGAATCTGCCATCACATATTTTTCAATGTTTATAAAGACAATACTCTGAAGCATCAAACATCTTCAGGAAATTGAAAGTTGGAGCAGTTAACAGTACTTGGATAAATAAGATCTCCAAATATCATACCTGTGCAGACCACTTGTCTTTCAATGCATGGAACTTATCAATGTCTCCACTGTTGAATGCATAGAGGAGATCCACCAACCACTCTTTATCTGAGCCCTTCAGGGATGCCAAAATATCATGTGCCAGGAGTTCACCAAAGTTGTAGACTCCCTCACCAATGACTGCTGCAAGCCCAATGTTGAATGCCCTCTCTGCCTGTTCCGTCAGAGGCATATCCTATGAAAAGCACAGTTTAAGTGAATAATGAAAATTATACAGCAGTCTAAATGGTACATTAACGTTCAGCAGTTGAGGTCTTAAAACAAGGCTTACTGGTCACCTGCCACAAAAGTTGTTAGTTTTTCTCAACAATTAAGAGAATAAAGAAAGAATGTCTGACGAATACAGAATTAAAGAGAATATAAAGGACTGACTGTAAAAAGGTAAGTGTGTATGTGTGTGTGGTGGCATACTGTGCTGTGGCGCACAGCTAAGGTGTGAAACGCACCTTTCAGCTCAACATGTCAGATCTCAGCAAATTCTTAATTAGCTACCTTTTACAACACTGCTGGTTGGGGGCAGTTTGTGTATTCCTTTTTCCTTCTACCTTTCTTATATCCTGTGCCCAGCCTTGTGCTGGTCAGCTCCTGCTCCTCTTTCCTGGTAGCATGCCGTCTGCTATTCTTTCCAATCCACCGTGGCACTTAATATGGCCAACATATTTCAGTTTCTAAGACAAGATACGGTTTACTAGCCAATCTTCCTTGATATTCAGATCTTTCAGTATTTCTTGTCTACTTGGTCCATGGTATTCTGAGAATCCTTCTATAGCATTTTAGCTCAAAGGTTCCTATATTCTTCATTAATCACTGGCTAAGCTTCACTATGGGGGAGGGGGGGGGGGGGGCAGGCAAAGAGCAGGAAAATAAGAGGTGTTACTTTAAAATAGAAGGAATCAGCTGATAGGACAGAATCTTCAAAACAGAATTTTGTGAGAGAACTAGACAAAATTCCAGTAAATCAAAAGGTGAGGAAAAAATGATGGCATCGTTCAAAAAACCATTTACAATTTACAAGAAGTTCCTTGAACAGGAACCTACAGGTTCAAAGCAATAAAGGCAGACCAAAAAGCACATGTAAGAGAACAACAGAGTAAGGTTAAAAAAAAAAAAAAAAATTCAACAGGACATGGGGTGAACTTCATGTGATAGCAAAAACAATTGCAACTTGGTATGAGTTGGTTAGTCTATGCTCCATTTTGCAATAATAGTCCTTATGGACCCCAGGTAATATTTGTGGAGTTTACCAGCCATGTTAGATATGGAGTAATATTCAGGCAATATATTCAAGAGGCTGGTCAACCATGGAGTCACGTGCTTCCTGTAAAAACCTAATCTTTATGGGTTCTACTTTTTGTCTGCTTTGACATCTTTTCATGGTATCGTTTCAACATTCAAAAGGCTCTGAATTCAGGCTTTTTGAGCCTAAAGATGAAGTGCACTGACCACAATGTTATGTGAACTTGGTCCAAAGTATTCTGAGAATCTTTCTGTAGCTAGATTGGATCAAATCTATGTAAACTGTCACAATGATACCTGTACATAAAACATGTACCTCTTACCTTCAACTCTGTGCAACCCAGGAATCTCAGAGCCTCCTGATAGTACTGTGCATGATTGCCCATCAACTTGTGGTAGTTACTGGTCAGCTCATAAAAGCGACCATGGACGGTGGTCACACCATCTATGTTGTCCAGAATTCCTTGGCATTCCTCTGTCAATGCCTGAAACAAGTTCAATGATAATGTGTATAAAACAAACAATATTAAGTGTCTACATAATGTTACATAATCTTACCACCCACAAAAAATGGGGAAGGGGGGGGGGGGGAGTTTCTGGTTTTAAAAGAAATTTAATTTCAGTCCCCCCTTCCCCACTAGAACTGCATCCTGAAGGCTTATCATCTCTTAGATATGAATCAAACAGGACCTCTGATGCTAAACCCCATGGGACTCAAAAAGTTAAGCATCCCCTTTTGAAATCTCATTCACTGTTAATAATGATGTTGCATTCTAAATTATTTCCACAGGGACCAATCGTAGACCACCTCCAGAATTGTGCAAACAAAAAAGACATGACTGTGAATTTTAGTTTATACTGGCAAAACAAAGACAGCTACATTTGAATGTGGCAGATTTTTTATTTCAGTGGAAAGGATTCATATATCTGCTTTGTCTTATTTAACTGTTTTTGTAGTAAGCAACTGACAAGCTACAGTGAAATATGCTAGGCAATAAATTGTGCAGACTGTAAGTTTGTGTCTTCTTTGTTCAAAGTTACAAGCGTGGACATTACTTTGATTGTCTGAAATTTCAAATGTAAAATTTCTACCTTGACAGGAGGAAACTCCTTGTTGCGCAGGTGAATGATGCCAATGGAGGTCATGATCAACACCTTGGCTTCATCGCAGGACTTCACCTTGTCTCTGATCTTCTCAAGAAACTCTACAGCCTGTTTGGGATCTAAACAATTGAGTCAAGCAAAAAATTTAAAGAAATAAATATGAAGAATGAAAACAAATATGCTGACATTGTATTGACATTACTAAACATTGTTTATGGCCTAGAGGAATTTGCTTTCATGGGAACTGGCAGCTAAAACTGTTTATGGGATAGGGCAACCAGTCTCATGCCCAACCTCTTTAAGATGCCTCTTGTGACCCACACTGTACATCAGTGTTACTATTCCTTTCTTAGAGGCTGAAACAACTGCACAAGACAAAGTGATTGCAGTGATCCGAAAGAGCAGATAAAGACTCCACAGGATAGAATGGAATCGAAGACCAGATTAAGCGTGATGTGACACAAATGACATCAAAGGATGGTGATGAGCCAGCAGATCAATTAGGTCTCAACTGGGTATCAAATAATTTACCTGCAAGTAAAGGTAGCACCATAATGGCCATTTCAGCCATTGAGCACGACTGGTCTAAAATTACCAGGTCATCATCATACGCCATATGCAATAAAACAAAAATTTTGTGCCATCTCCACAATGAAGGCTGGCTACAGTGTAGCACCTCAGTGGTCAGAACATTATCAGATGAGACCAGAATATCTTGCAAAGCCCGAATCACACACTACTGAACGAAAATCAGTTTTTTCAAATCGTCCGCCATAGGAAATAAATCCTAGTAAGCAAATATAATGAAATTGATATACGCATTCGCTAGCCTGTAAGCCATAAAGCCGCACGAAAAAGGGGTCCCTAATGTAATCACTTTTTATCCCATGATGTTCACTTACTAAGTCTTATTTAAGTTAAGCTTTTGAAAATAAATGAAACTCAGCCTATACTTTCAAATGCTTCAAGTGTTTTAGTTTTGAATAGCCCCAATGATAAAGTAAAGGCAGTTCCATATTTACCCCAACTGAGGAGTGAAATGTCAGGGCATATATTAGCGGCCATGAGATTTTAGTGGGCTGGCCGGTTCTCTTCTTGACCAACCTCAGTAACCAACCTTAGTAGCAGTATTTTCTTTAAACTTATCAGAAATTGAACTAAGTCACTATAAATGAACTAAAAATACCCCCAAAAAAATTCTCTCCACTCAAAAATTTAAACATTTTAGAAATATCAACTCACCAAAAATATAATTAAACTTACCAGAAATCTGCCGAACTATGATGACACAAAGCTCAGCCAGTGACAGTGGGTTGATTCTGAAAGACAATGATTAATGAAATCACATTTTTTTTTTTAAAGAATCAAACAGAGATGATATTTTTATGTAACAACAGTTCTTTCTCAAATAGCATTTAGATTAGAATAGCAGCTAATCTTATGTGGTTAGGGCTGCTAGAACTGTTAATCAAGAGATAGAGCAAAGAGCGAGATGTTTCTTATTTTGAAAAAAAAAAATACTTTATTTACGGGCTTTAGTCTGTTCCAAAACTCGAGTTTAACATGTACATCCATTTTACAAATCTGGCTTATTATGCAGACTGTTGGTTCCTCTTCTCTGAAGAAGATGCACTCGACTTTGAAGAAAAAATGATTAATATGCCAACTTTTACTACACACTTGTTGGGGGCAGTGGGTCTTTTCTTGTTCCCCCCATAATGGGCCCTGGAACCCAGACAAGGGGAAAGAACATTAATGAAAGTCATTGTTTCTAGACGAAGAGTTAGGGTCGGCCAGCTTGAAGGTGGACATCGCATATCAAGGACACACTGGTGTGAAAGTTTACAGGGCAGGAACTTGTCAATTTAGTTGAGTTGAGTCTAGAATACCGCTACGGTAGCCATGAAAGCCACCCTGGGTCACCCCAAAAGGCCCTGGCCGACGGGGCTCTGGTGAAGTTGCGACAGGCCAAGCAAGCCAGCAATGGATTTATTACCGCTACAGAAAAAACAATGAGATATAAACGGACTGATCAAATGGTATCTGACCATGGCTATGTTAAGGGACTACAAGACAGAAAAGCGAAATACAAGATTGCAACACTTAACACCGCTGGCCTGGGAAACAAAACAGAAGAAATTATTGAAATGATGGAAAAAAGGAAAATCAAGTTAATGGGGCTAGCTGACATAAGACGCAAGGGAAATAGTAACAAGAAAATACACAGAGGCTACTTACTAACACATGCAGGAGGAGGAACATCAAAGAATGGAGTGGGTTTCCTGGTGCATCCAGACATATCAAACTACATATTAGCCATACATTATCACACATTTACCGAAGAAGGGAAATTGGATAAAGAAATTAACATTAGATGCAGTAAAGCAAACCAAGTATTGGGACAGCTAGCCCCTCTCTTACAGCTTAAGACAAATCCCATTAAGCACAAAGAGACATCTTATTCGAAGCATATTTATTCCAACTCTGTGCTACCAGTGCCAGACATGGTCACTCACAACAAACCATACAAGAAAATTAGTAACCATGGAAATGAGATGTCTAAGAAGGGCTGTAGGAGTGACCATAAGAGATAAGATCAGAAATGAGATCATAAGAGAAAAAGTCGGCACAGAACAAATTCTAAATTACATACAAAGACAGCAAGTGAAATGGTTTGCCCACTTAGAGAGAATGCCTTGTGACACCATACCATACAAAGCATACATGGAAAGAGAAGAAGGACGTAGAGCACGAGGTAGACCAAGAACAATATGGAAGGATAACATCAGAGAAACTCTACAACAGCACGATGTGCCTATGGTCGAGGCGGCCAGAAGAGCTAGAAACAGAACCTTATATCTCCCTCGACACCCACAGCGGTAAAAGAGGAAGTGAAGAAGAAGAAGAGTCTAGAATTGACGTCACAGCACCTGGAGCATTCACATGCGTGCACTTGTCAAGTAAATTTCCTGCTTGCCATGAGTAGAGTGATGTTCTACAAAGGACCTGCCAAGCCATTATGAAGATCCATTTTCTGTGTCCACAAAATTAAAATGTAAAAAAGATTTCTGTGTTCAGTCACAATGCAGTGACTGAAAAAAAAAACACACATTTAAACTAAGAATGTAACAAACAATCAAACTTTTCCTCCGCACTAATAAAAGTATCCTACCACACCCCCCACACCAGAAATGGACTGGCTAATTCTAACTGCTTTGATCAAACTCACCTGTGTTCAAAATCAGACAAGAAGTTTTCGTACAGCTGAAAAATAAAACACAGCAAAATTAGTTGTGTATGTTGATGCTAAAAGAAACTCAGTGGCGTAATTCAAATTATAAACATCCTCACATACATGACAGTATAAAATACACACCAGCAATGCACTAATTTTGATATCTAATCCCCATTCCCATTGTGGGGAAAGCAAGAATAGACCCACTGCCTCCCCAACAAGCATAATTGAAGGCTAAATTCAGAGTCGGACTGCATCTGCCTGAGGGGCAAGGAGCCAACAGTATGCAAATAATTCAGATCTGTAAAATAGATGTGCACGCAAAACTCAAGTTCTGGAACAAGTCTAAAGTCCAGAGGTAGCTGAACAGCCAGAAGCCTGAAAGCAAAGAAGAAGATATATCTGAGAAGAATATTCACTGAAGAAAGTAACTTGGATGAAGAAATTAGCATCTGATGCAGTAAAGCAAACCAAATATTGTGGCAGCTAGATTGCCGTTTACAGCAAAAAATAATCCTAATCAACACAAATAAACAATTCATACAAAGCACATTCATTTGTACCCTATGCTACAAGTGCCAGATATGGTCACTCACAACAAACCAGAAAAGAAAAGCAGAGACAGGAAAATGAGAGTACAGATGTTTATCAATGTCACATTGTCAAGCAGCGTAGCATCTTTTTTTCTTTGCCGGTCTCTCCTTCCTTATAACTTGTCTGCTGGCTTGTATATAGGCATTCAGATTTTTGCATCAGCTGCAGAATCCAAGCAATGTTGTGAGCCTCTTTAAATGATATGTAGGAGGAGATCTGAGCATTTAAGACATTCATATATGTGAAGGGAATAACCCTTGACAAACCATCATATATGTGAAGGGAATAACCCTTGACAAACCATCATATATGTGAACGGAATAACCCTTGACAAACCATCATATATGTGAAGGGAATAACCCTTGACAAACCATTTTAGTGCGGTCTAACAACAGAAACTTGGCAAACATTAGGTACAGTTATTATGGGTCAAACAACAATCCATAACAGTTACTTACCCTGAGAAGTCCATCTCCTTTAGCGAAAATAGGATTCTTAACAAAATTCAGTAGTCTCAGTGTGAGCTGATGCCAAAGTCTGCAATTTTTGACAAAGTATGGAATCAACCACAAGTAAACATTTCACAACATACATCAATTTATGATGACAACAATTATAAATAAGATATTCTGGTACAATAAATTTATGTCACCCCAAAACAGGGAACCATATAAGCCCCAGTACACTATTCTAGGGGTGTTATCACATGACTTCATTCAATGTGCAGAAAAGTGTAAAGGGTGTGTGTGTGCACCAGGTGGAGGAACTGATGTGCATGTTAATGTTTTCAACAAACTGCTGCATAGCACAACTGTTATTGTGTGAACAACTGTGCTGCAATGTTTTTTTAAAGCTGTTGTGTGGAGGAGTGCTATGTGCAATCAAAAAGGGTGACAAGAATTGGAAAAAAGGGCCATCTTGGGATAAGGACGGACCGACCGACATGTATCTCCATGTATGTAAACTGCTGGGTTATTAACAAGTTGACATTCATACAGTTTTATATAGTTAGTAGATATGGAGATGTCGTCGTGAATACAGCAACTCTGACTGCACTGCCGGCACTGACCAGCAAACTATTATTGTTGTGGCGGCCAGAACAGAGCAATGTCAGCAAGAATGGTTGCGAATGTGTTGAGGCCAGCACATTTAGTGTGTCTAGGCCACATAAAACCGGACAGGTAAGATTCTAGGACATGCATGTGCACCTCATCCTGCCTCTTGTTGGTCTCCTTGGCTGCTCTCCACAGCCACTCAATGCACTGCGCATATGCAACTCTGTGAGTGGTTGACTGTGATATGCATCAGTGTGGGAATATTGTCAACTCCCTTGTACTCACACCAGAGGTTGGAGACTACAGCTGTGCCAAGCAGAATGTGTATGCTTATGATCAGCAGAAGCATCTCTGCTGTTCAGTCTGGAACATAGAATTAGGGCTGTATCAAATATTCGCTTCGGAGCCGAATAGTGGACCTAATAACTATTCGGTATTCGGCTGAATAGTTGCGGTCGGGCCGAATACGAATAGTGGTTACCTCACACCCGTTTCTGCATACACTGTGATGGACTGAAATAACTCTCTCATTAACACAATAGGTACAGAAGGTACCGAATGGCGACATTCGAGTTACCATTGAAACAGAAGTGAATAACTACCTGTCAGAGCCGTGTATCCCAAAAGACACTGACCCACTGGACTAGTGGAAAATAAACATGTTAAGATTTCCCACCTTGGTTCATACTGTCAAGCGTTATCTTTGTGCACCACCTACGAGCGTACCTTGTGAACGTCTGTTTAGTATAGCTGGAAATACCTTCAGTGAGACAAGAAGCTGCCTTAATGCTGACAAGACGAAACGATTGGTTTTGTTGAAAGCTTATGCTGCTTTCATGCATTAACTTAGCTGTCAGTGACAATTTACAAGTTTAGTTACTTGTTATAAAACTAAGAATACTTTCATTCCTAGGTATTAGTTACCACAGACTGACTGACTGAAGGATGCAAAACATAAAATGTTTATTATTCTGTACTACATTTTGTGAAGTAAAATTTCAGCGTACATTTGACATTATGAATGTGGTTTTTTTTTTTTACATCAATTTTATACACTATACACTATTTGAAAGTGGAAGAATGGGCCTCAGTTTGAATAGTGGGAAGACAGAAGTAATGGTGGTATCAAAGAAAAGAATTATTCTTAAATGTATAATAAAAGTCTATGGTGTTGTTTTGGGACAAGTACAGATGGAAGATGCACAACTGAAACAAGAAACAGAATAAGAGAGGCAAAAACTGCATTTTAAAAAATGAAGAACATCTATCTTATGCAGTATATCTTTGTCATTGAAGGTTAGAAAAAAGAATTCTCGCTTGATACATACATCCAGTTTTAACATATGGTTGTGAGTCCTGGGCAATCGGTAGGCAGGCCAAATAATTTCTTGAGGCCTCAGAGATGTGGTTTTACAGAACAATGTTGAAAATACATTGGACAGCCCAAAAAAAAAAAAAGCAACAAAGAGGTTTTGAAAGAGGCAGGAGCCCGAAGACAACTAATCCCAGACATCAGAAGGAGACAGTTCTGATGTTTCGGCCATGTTATGAGAAGAGGAAAAATGGAACATGTGGTGACCACTGGAAAGATCTGTGGAAAGAGGGATGGAGGAAGACAACGAGAGAAGATTCTTGACAGTCTTGTTGCATGGCATGGAGGTGTGTCAGCACACGAACTAATACTTGCTGCAGGAGATCGCAGATTGTGGCGAGGCACAATCGCCCACGTCAGTCGGCAAGCCACCTGATGATGATGATGCACTATTCGTATTCGGCCGAATAGTTGGTCCCACTATTCGTTTTGGGCCGAATAGTGAAAATCACTATTCGGTACAGCCCTACATAGAATATGAAGTAGGAAATGCCATGCTGTTGCAGATAAGCAACGCTGCTCTGCTTGGCATGCACCTATGCTGATAGTTCACAGCAACCAAAACATAGCAGGAAAAGGAGTAAAACCACATGCCAAGTGTCTAGAAAAGAAAACAACATTTAAATAAGATAATTATTACTGTCTGAGAGCCAGGTGGCCTTCAACCATTTTTACTTCAGTATCAGTACAGAAAATTTACCACCTTTAAACTTGACTAACTAGCTAGCTAGCTAGCTAACTAACTAACTACCACCTTTAAATAATCAAATATACTGCAATGTTTAACTGAATGTGTCTATCTAAAGTAAAAGAAAAACTGCTGATTACAGCCATTCTTCAATGCATTTACTGTTGTTACCATAACAACACTAGAGTATAGCCTGCTTTAATTCTGGACTTTCCTCCATTTGCAGTATTCAGATACCTTTTGTCATTTTCTTCATTTATGTAATTGTTACTGTAGTATGCACCTGACGAGATAGCGAAATATGCCAGGCATATATTGTGCAATCTATTGTTTGTGTCTTCTTTGATCAAATTTTCTTCTAAAGCTAACACTCCTGTAAGTAAATATTTACTATATTATTTATTAGTGTTACTGCTAGTTAATAGGTTATAAATGATTTAAAATTAAAAATAGATGATATCATGATTCAGTGAAGTCTTGAGTGAAAGAAGAAGTAAGAAGGCAGGGGTCGAATAATGGTCACTGTAATTTTTAGTAGCTTATATTAATATTAACAAAATGTTTTCACTGTTCAGTTCTTTCACTATCGAAAAGAAAACAACATCATATGTTAATTAAATTATTTATTGGCTCTCCTTTAATTACCGATCGCTAGCTGGAAAGCCAACGGTCGCTCAGTGGGAGTTCACTCCCTTGGCTGCATTGCAAATACGGAGCGGACAAGTCACGAATCAAAACAGACAGTGAGGTCGACATCAGGGCTGCCAATGATTGGGTGTTTACCCCAGATCTGGGTGTTTATTTGACTCCTCAGGGACATCTGGGTTTTTTTGTTTAAGTAAATATATCCTTATATAATGGTGCTATTAGTTGCCACGGATGTGACTCCTGTAGATCTGTATGCCTTAACGACCAATAAATTTGCGTGGTTAGGGGTAGGGGTAGGGTTAGGGGTAGGGTTAGGGTTAGATGTGACAATTTTGAGGCAGGAGTTCCAACTAATCGCGCACAGTGACATACACACGCAAACAATTGAAGGACTGTGGATGCTACTCACACGGACAATTCGCCATCAATTGGGCACCAGCCGTGCACTATTGCCGTCATATTTAGGAGAACTCCAGTGGCGCCACTCCCACAAGCATCAGATTGTCGGCCATTATGTGGAACTCCTGCGTCACAATATTCACATCTAACTCTACCCTAACCCTACGCAACCGTATGATGATAGGTAAGTATGTCATTTGTTTTGTTCCCGCTTTACGGTCCGTATTTGCACTGCAACCAAGGGAGTGAACTCCCACTAAGCGACCGTCGGCTTTCCAGCTAGCGATCGTTATTTAAAGGAGAGCCTATTTATTTTGTATCATTGTTTTTGTGCACATTAACAGAAATCTTTCTTCAAGGTTCCATCTTCTTTGCACTGAAATTCTTTAAAAAAAAAAAAAGGAAGGCTTCGTTTCCAAGGGGTAAAGACTAAAATTTTAAACAGATGTGAGTGTTGTGGTTGTATTTATTATTTTATTAGTATTAATTATTAAAATTTGTTTTTTAGCGACATTATGTGAGTGCTGTCGCATACACATACAGTAATGCTTATATATTTTGCCAAATATTTAATTTTGCCATACGACTTGTTTCAGGTAATTCATGTGTAATAATTTTTTTTTTATTACTTTGAAAATAACAAAAATTCAAATTTGATGAATCATTTTCATACAAACGACGGGCTTGTCAGTGGACGAGTCACAAATGGTTTATAGTTTATAAGAATTGTCGGTTAATAAATTTTTTACAAGCACAGAAATACAAATCGTACTTTTTGTTGTACAGTTCTTCGAGCAGCGCCCACTCAGTGGCGACATCTCCAGAACTTTTGCGCTGCTGTTCGGCTAAAAACCCAGGGACGTCTTTCGGCATGATGATGGCTTGCTTTCTTGCAGTCGTTAGACGGTTTCCTGTTAGACCGTGTTTATGCACTTTTTAAACCGGAAAGAGGTTTATCTAAGGGCGATTACTTCGATAACTGCAAAATCTAGCCCATGTACTACATGTAGTGATTACTATGTTATGTTATCACAATCGATGTCTTTGCACATTAGGCATCCACATATGTGCTCTGGCATCCTATGCAGCAGCCACTCTAAGGTACCTCTACTGACAGTTCCTGTGAGGAGCTGTTCATAGTATCTTCTGTATTCACCTCGAAGGCGATATAGGCGTGCTTCATCAACCTCTCCTCGGTCACTCAGTCGTGTTAGCGTCAGAGATTCGTCATTGACCCCCCCCCCCCCCCCCAAATTAGTCCGTACAGCGTTGATCATATCAGCTCTGTACATGCTCTATCAGCTCTATCCATGCTTCTCTGCACTGACGCATTACTTGCCAGCTGGTCAGCTCCTTTATTACCATTTACTCTTGCGTGCTCAGGTGTGTAGATCCAGATGATGAAGGTTAATTGCGACTTTTGAATACTTTCTACCCATTCGGGGCGTAGATTGCCTGTAACAATTTTCTGAAGCATGTTCATGGAGTCTGAAACGTTGTATGGCCTCTTTTTCTGCTACCCATCGTCGGTACGCAAGGAAATCGTCTGCGAAACGATAGTGTTCTGCCCAGACCCTGATGTGTACACATTAAAGATAAAGGGAACATGGGTGACCCTGAGGCAAGCCAATTAGGGCGCGTTGAAGTTTCGATGCCCACACGCCGCATCTCATCGAAACTCTTCGCAGAGCGATTCTGCGATCAAGTTGACCCAATTCGTTCGTCTCTATTTGCCATCCATCATCAATCTGATGAGCATGCTGTATGAAAGGCTGTTGTATGCGTCTTCTAATTCAAGGGCGGTCGCGGCAGTTTCCATTCCTGCTTGGAAGCCATCATACGTGTCGTAAGCATATACTGCAGCATTGCACCAGGTATCTATACCCGGGCGGTACTCACTTGGTGTAGGGGCCAAAATAAAACAAAAAACAGAGTTGAGCTGGGTTGATTCAAGAACCAACATCACAGCACTTCGAGGCATTCGCATAAGCGCTCCATCCTCATCTTCAGCAGCCAGTGAACATTTCCGATACTAACGGTTCCAGTTGCATTCTGATTTAACATCCGTATTGCCTTTCTTCTGAGCCTCGAGCATCTGCCAGAATCTCTCGTCACTCCCCCCCTTCATCAATCTCGCCAGACTATGGTGATCCATCTGCTCCTCCGAACTGTACACGCCCTCCCTCAAGACACTAACCACGTCTGCCTTAAATTGCATCAGTATCCACCAAGTTGTGCAGAGCTAGCAAGTCTTTCCCCCTGTTCATTTCCCAACACACCGGCGTATCCCGGTGAACAAATCCAGACAATATAACTCACCCGTGTCCTCTGCAGCGAAGCATGCCTGTCCTGACCTTCCTCGGCATGCTTTATGAGTCAGTTACAATCGCGATGTGTGTGTCGCGTTCTCTAACCAGCGGAAAGCTGCAGTGACCGCCTCTACCTCCATTCTTGAGCTGGATGTTGTGGTATCATATGTTAGGCTCGCCTGCACCAAACGCCGACTGTTAACTTTTGCTACGAAACCCCAAGCACTTCTTTTGCCTCTTGACATTGAACCGTCTGTGTAAATAATCAAATCCTCTGAGCGAGGATTATTTTTAATTAATTGCTGAATTTCCACTTCCCTGACACCTGCTGGCCAGTCGCCGCATTCCCGGCTCAGTGTGATTATGACCCTAGTATTGCCTGCCTGTCTGCTAGGGAAGGGGCAGGGGATGTCCTGTATGAGTCCATACGCATGGTGCCGCCCTGCACACCCGCCAGACGTCCAACATTCAAGACCAGCTCACCCGTGGCCATCCAGTTCCTCAGCCCATTGACCCACCTTGAACTTAGGGGTTTATATTCGGAGTTTGCCGTCTCCTAGATGGACTGCTTTCCAAAGCTAACGGGCTCCATCTACCCGGGGAAATGGTTTATAGAGCCCCGACCCGCTTGGCAGGCACGTCTCCGAGCATATGAGGTATTTTATAGGGATTTTAGATCCCACCCTTCTTCTTCTTCTTCTGCTTTCGACATCAGTCATGCTAAACATTGAGTCCCGTCTGGATCACAAATAGGTTTCTGCGTTTAAGGTCGCCACCGGTCCCCCATAGCTTCTCTCGCAATGTGGATCCCACCCTGAAATCCTGCCTCGCCATCTGTGACCACTACCAACTGGTCCGTGGCTGCTTATGTGGGAATTCACAGCTAATCTCTATATGTAGAGGTCGTTCCACAATCCTCCACCGGTGGACGCGCTGGGTTAGGGATGGTCGCCCCAGCTTTACCCAGAAAGAAAAAAATTAACTGTAATTTTTAGGCCAACTTTCTGGCCACGATTTTTTTCTATGAGTCCTACGGTGTTCTGAAGTGTGATAATTCTATAGCTTTTTCGTAAGCGTTTCCAGGCTTAGGAACGGGTCTAAGGTAGATGTGGTGCAGCCAGTCAACAGGGACAATGCTGCTCTTGTTAAATGCCCTAGATAATTCCACTCTATTTGTTTCCTCAAGGTATTTTAAGTCATTGTATATTATGCCATCGGGCCCCAAAAGCTGTGTCGGAACAGGTCTTTAGTAAAACTCTGATGTCTGCAACATAGATGTATACCTTATCAGCTCTGCCATCAATTTCAGCGATGTGCTTATCGTAAACTGTTTTGTTTCACCTGCTTCCTATCGTCTCTGTCTGTCTTTTCGGTTTGCAGGAGAAATCTGTGCAGGACAGCTACACCTTTGTCTTCTTCAGATCTTAAGATCACCCCACTGTCCATCTTTAATTCGGTCATATTATAGGATTATTTCAAAACGTCTCCCGTTTGGTTGTGCTTAACTCACCTGCAGTTTGTTTAAAGCGTTCAGTGAGGTAATCTTTTCATCTTTCATGGCTTGCTTATGAGCATTCAGACAATCTCGATTTTCTGCATTCTTCCATTCTTTGGTAAAACTTCGTATCTCCGCCCACACCTTGGCGACATCAGGTGTTCACCGTGGGGTTTGTTGATACACATCTTCCTTACTGTCCGGTGTTCTGTTTACCTTGTCTCGTAGACGCCCAGTTACATCAGTTTGGTGTGCTCAGTACTTAAAAATGACATCTGGTTTCCGGAACCTAGTATGTGTCGTTTTCTTGACAAAATCAAGCACGGATGCTGGGAGAGATAGGAGAGAAATAAAGGGCGATGTCTGTATAGCCTTCTTTGTCAGGGATTCTGGTGGGTCTGCCATCGTTCTAGAAGATGAACTCTGTTTCTGTCAGTTCCTCACCCTGTTTGTTGATTTTGCTGTTGCACCATAATCGACCCCTGGCGTTGAAGGCTCTACCAATAGCTAAGCAACCGACGGCAGGTCATTGGAACATACAAGCTCCTCTACCACAGCAAGGTAAATGTAGAGTGACATCAGAGGGGAGTCATAGTTAAATTTTTTTTATTATTATTATATATTAACTCTATTTTTGTTACTCCCGTAGCTTTTCTAAGACATATCATCTCTGCTGTTATGATTTTGCGCTCATCAGTGTTAGTGAGGGTCTAAATTCGAACCTGGTATCATAATGATGGCCACAAATAGTTCTTATTAGATTTGCAAAGGTAGACAAAGATATATACTTCTTGTGTCAAACCTGGTGTAGTTCTCCAGTATCTGGTTTGCTTAAGAACATCATGTGTTGATTTATCTATCCATTCTTCTTTTTGGTGTGAAAATTGACCTAAGATATTTAAATTAACTTTTTTTGGTTTTTTTTTGTTGCTATATCATACAAGATCCGACAATTAAGTAATGAGACTGATTTTATTATGGTTAAGACAAAAATACTATCTATGAATCACAGCATGGAATCATAAGAGGCAACCTTCGTTTATGATCTGGGTTCTTTTCATCGCCGCCTGATAAGCAGACATCAAAATAGCCGCCATTTTGTTAACCTAGTCAGAGGTGCATTGTTATGTAATCAGCATGGAGCAAAAAAGCTAACATTAAATTCTGTTTAAAATTCAGAAAAAGTTGCATTGCAACATTTGAATTGATGCGACAAGTTTATGGGGATAATTATTTTTCTTGTGCAAATATGTTCAGCTTGTATTCCCGATTCAAAAGTGGTGTGGAAATGATTACTAATGCAACTAGACCTGGATGCCCAATTTCTGTTCTTATTTAGGAACTCATTGCACAGTTCCGAGAACGGATGCAAGAAGATCGTTGTTGGACTGTGATGATGCAGGTAGATAAATTTGGTGTTAATACAGAGACTTTCGTAACATTTTAGTGGAAGATTTGGGCAAGAAAACAGTTTCTTGCAGGTTTGTATTCAACACCTGGCAATTTGTTTCTTCTTTAGGACAATGCACCGGCTCAAAGGGCGGTAGATGTACAGGAATTTTTGGCCCAAAAACAGGTGCATGTTCTCAACCATCCACCCTATCCACCCCCCCCCCCCCCCTGATGTGTCTTCCTGTGACTATTTCCTATCCCCAAAATTAAAGTTGCTATTGAAAGAAAGATTCTTTGACAATATTGATGACATCCAAAGGGCCATAACATCGACTTTATGGGCCATAACAGAAGAACTACAGAGGTCGTTCCAGTGTTTGTTAGATCGTGTCACCTGCTGTATCAATACACAAGGGGCTTACTTGGAATAAAATACAGGTTACATCTTCAATTGTTGATTTAAAAAAATTAAAGTTCACACATTTCTTGTGTTTATATTTTTAAAACATGTGTTGCCACATCTATCATTAAGTGCTATGCTTGCTAGCAAATTTGGTTTAACCTGACTTCGCCGCAACTGGGTAACAAATTCCTTGTGGTTCAGGTTCATACCCTGGGGTAGACAGAAAAGCCACATTTCTCCCAAATTTACGGTATCTATCATGGAATCAAGGCTGAAGGGTTGCGATATCCATAGTACCGAGCCAAAGGTTTCTGGATATTTAAAAAAAAAAAAAAAAAAAAGAGTTAACGTGCTCATTTGAAAAAAAAACACAAAAAAAACATGCCTTCTTTTATATTCATCATCATCAATCTGTAGGATCTGTACAGAATGTCCCTCTCATCATGGCTCATCTAAAAATCTCTCTCTCATCATGGCTCATCTAAAAATATCTCTCTCTCATCATGGCTCATCTAAAAATCTCTCTCTCTCATCATGGCTCATCTAAAAATCTCTCTCTCATCATGGCTCATCTAAAAATCTCTCTCTCTCTCTCATCATGGCTCATCTAAAAATCTCTCTCTCTCTCATCATGGCTCATCTAAAAATCTCTCTCTCATCATGGCTCATCTAAAAATCTCTCTCTCATCATGGCTCATCTAAAAATCTCTCTCTCTCATGGCTCATCTAAAAATATCTCTCTCATCATGGCTCATCTAAAAATCTCTCTCTCTCATCATGGCTCATCTAAAAATATCTCTCTCATCATGGCTCATCTAAAAATCTCTCTCTCTCATCATGGCTCATCTAAAAATCTCTCTCTCTCTCATGGCTCATCTAAAAATCTCTCTCTCTCATCATGGCTCATCTAAAAATCTCTCTCTCTCTCATCATGGCTCATCTAAAAATCTCTCTCTCTCATCATGGCTCATCTAAAAATCTCTCTCTCTAGCCAATACTCTAGCCTTAGATGTTTTCCTAGCCAATGCATCTTCAATGTTGTATATCCATCTTTGCGAGTGTCAAACTCTGCTTTGTTTTCCAGAAACCGTACCCTTCATCTTTTCTATTTCACTATACTTTTCCCAGCTATCTTTTAAAGTTAATTAAAAGTAAAGGACCCATTTCTGGTAGAGGCAAAAATAAAATCCTAACCTGCACAGGCCATGCTGACAGCACTAACCATGCAGCCCTAAATCATCGGGCTCAAAGACCCTCTGCCTACACCTCAGTAATAGCAACAACCACAAAAAAAAAAAAAGCCTTTTCACGCCACTGACAATTGAGCATATAGTGCCAGACCCATATTTTTACAGACCAATCAGCAGTCAACAGGTGATAGGGTCAACCACGCAATGGCTGGCTTTACTTTCCAAAGCATATCCTGGCAAAATTTGTTAGGCTGAGCCGATCTAGAAATTCTAGATAAAATAGTGTGCTTGAGTAGTGTTTAGGAGGCCTCATTTAGAGGGGTTTCCTTGTTAATCCAATAGCTTCCTAAAAGCCACATTGACTTACAATTTTCCTGTTAGCCCGTGATAGAGGTCACAGCTTGAGTCACCGGATACATATTTGTTTTAGGCCCTAGGGAATGCATTCTGTTTAATGATTCCTTCTGTTTTTGTTTTTACCACAGTCTGGTGAGACCGATACAGGGGGGAGTGATGAGAGGTTCTGGCAGATGCTCAAGGCTCAGAGGAAAGGCAGAACGGACATTTAATCAGAATGCTACTGGCAGCATTAGTATCGGAACTCTTCGCTGGCTGCTGAAGATGGGGACGTAGCACTTATGCAAATGTCAGTTATTGAATTGAATCAAATCAAATCTGTTTTTGTTTACAAATTAGTCCCGATAACACATCTGTATATTTTGGAGAAAAAAATGTAAGATAAATTTGTTGTTTAACAATTTATTAGTTACCTATGTGAATTGTTAAAAGTACTTTTTGAGGAAAATCCAACAAGTTTATTACTCAACTGATTGGGGGTGGGGGTGTTAATACAAGTCCATTATTAAACACCTTTTATGTCAATACAAATGAAAATGTAAGCTAGTAGCATAACAGATAATGCGGTTGGGATGTGAAGTGTCTAGTCTCGCACATTATATAGGTCATGAAATATGAGGTGGGGTGGCCAGTTATCTTCCTTGCTGATTTTCTTTCCTCCCTGTGTGGGTTACCAGGCTCAATTTTGGAGGATAGAGAACTGACCCACTGTTCCCCTAACAAGAATGTTGTAGGAGGCGAGTAATTAATGGGGCTTTCTTCAAAGTCAGAATGCAATCTGTCTGAGAGGCAAGGAACTAAATCCAGAAAATGATGAAAAACAATAGCATTTTGTGAGTTTACAGCCGGCGAAGGCTGCAGAAAAGACTTTATATCTCAGACAATACCTATAAAATTCTGGAAATGAACTAATAACAATTTATGCAAATGACTTCACATAACAGTTATTACTTTCCATTAATAAAAACCACACTGGAGAAAGAAGTTGAAGGCAAGTGAGGAAGAGGTAAATATTGATACAAGTGGAAGGATAAAATAAAAGAGATATACAAACAGCAGTCTATGACAGTGTCGAACCAGGACAACAGACAGAATGTTAGAGATTCATTGCAGCCAACATGTTTAGGCGACAGCATCTAACTGATCGGCAGCCACCGTGGTGTAACGGCTAGACAATCATCTGCAGATCCAAGGGTTCAAATCTGCATGAAGCTGGATTTTTTCAAACATGACCTCGGCTCCCAAGTTGATCCAGCCTTAAATGGGTATCAGGAAAAGTCCTGGGAAGCCATGATAGCCAGCATGATGCTGACCATATTACCTATCAAGGGTGAGCTGAACTGAATTGATTCAAGAACCAACATCACAGCATTTGGGGTATTCCCATTAGTGCACCATCCCTATCTTCAGTAGCTAGCACAGAGTTCCAATAAAAATGGTGCCAGTAGCACTGTGATTATACATCCCTTGCCTTTCTTCTGAGCATTGAGTATCAGCCAGATATCCTTGTCACTGCCCGCTAATTGCTGAATGTTCACCTCTGTGGCCACTTCCTGCTCAATGTCAGGGTCGATAAGTCTATAAAAATATGAGTCTAGACACATCTGCTCGATGCACCACTGGTGTGTAAAGGGATCTTAACTTTACTTGTTTTACTGAATAACTGTGTAATTCACAACAAAGAAAAAACTCAATAATATCATAACAAGAATGTAATTATATCTGACACTAACAATGACAAATGCATGCAGTTATTCTCAGGATGTTTAAAGTTTGTTGGCTGAGTGATCTTTAAATATGATTAAGGTTGTATTTTCTAATTGTGCCATCTCGACATGATGTGTAGATATTTGTTCTGTCAGTACAGATTTTGTAGACTGGATCACAGTCTGATCCCGTCAGCTCAACTCTTGTCTCAAAATGTTCATTCACATTAAAGCATGAGCCATCACCTAAAACGAAAACATAAAATAAACGTCCTTGTTAAGAAACAAAAAAATGAAACAAATGTATACCTGCAAGGCCAACCAAGATAAACTTCACCCGGGGTCTGCGTGGCGATGTGGTCAAGCCATTTGCCTCACGCTCTGAAGGTCACGGATTCATTTTACGGTGGTGCTGTTAAGTTCATGAGTGCAATTTTTAAGGGGTATCCCTGTTTCGCCAACCGAGCTACGGAGGTCATGCTCTGTGCGACGCTCTCGGCATACAGCAAGCTGTTCTGCAGAAAGAGACTGAGCCAAACGCGACTGAACCCGTTGTAATGAAGTTGATCCTCCCAACTTTATCTTTACCATTACTGTCAGCCGTTGTGAACAGTCACAGTCTTGTACAGTTTGGTCATGTACATCACCATCAAGCTATAAGTGACTTATAAAACATTATTAAGCATGGAATTGATTACGGCAAACAATGATGATGGCACAGATAAAATAAATCATGTACTAATTATGACATGTTACCCTATATCTGTCGCCGTCCCTATATGGGGGACAATTATTCTTTATTTTGAAGCCCTTCTCCGACTGTTGTTGGGGTCCCAATATAGTCTAAAGGTTGAACAGGGTTTCTGTGTCTTGCATCTGGGTGATTATCATCCGAATGACGGCACTTTGTGTCACTGTGCATTTACTGCTTGTTGTGTGGCCTGGTGGAGTTGAACTTCATTCATTCTTTCATTCATCATGTTAACCATCTGACAGCTGTGCTCCTGTTCCATGGAGCTGCTTAGTACACTACCCGTGCATCCAAACTATCTTACACATTCACACATTTGAGGTATAATCAAGAAATAAGAGCGTGTTAAATGGCTCGTCATGAAACTCTCATAATAACTAATAATCAACCATTTATTGTCAGATATAAAACATGATCAGAGCCAAGAGTCTTCCGGTGTTAAACTACCCCACTACAACATGCTCAGGGGTGCTTTAAAATTGCCACCCACAAATGGGACCTCTGGCTGCCTTCAGAGGTACAGGCCTGAGCAAACACCCTTTGAAACAAGCCCACTCAAAGCCCCAGCTCGACAATCTCTGCCAGCAACTTCTTTAGGGTAGCCCAGGCGTACTTGGGTAGACTATGTCACTGAGTTTACTCGTGGCAGCACGAAACCCATAACATCACTCCCTTATTCAACCTACCCAGATGTGACAGCATTCATATAGAAATAGTCACATTTTTGTAAATAATACATTATCTAGACTAATAATATCGAAAACTAGCAGCAATACAGTTCTAGATAATGTATTCCTTGATGGTCAGCTGCAAGGTTATACTTTCTATACATACAAAAAAGCTATCAAAACATCACTGACCAGCTGTTAGCACATTTCTAGGAATCCATCAGTTAAATTGCTAATCTAGCCATCACTAACACAAACATCTAAGCTGCAGGAAAGTCCACATGTCATATCAATACAATTTAATCGCCCCTCGGTATGGCTGTCCCACAACTCTCCTTCGGCTTGACCCACGATCCAGGTTTTTCCTGAGTCAGCGGTCAAGCTCAGAGGATGAGCAAATCTTATGGCAACTCAGCATGTCTCGTCTTTCTGTCCTCTCAGCTTTCTGTGTACAGAAAACTCCAGTCAACTAGCATTTGTCAGCTAGCCATTTTCATCAGACATGTATGTACACACATGCACTTATGTGTGCACATATACACACACACAGAAGACCCATACACACTTTAGTTGAAGACAGGGAGCAGTAGAATATTTTGATAACAAATCGATATGGCATCTCTACAACCTTTGATGTTTTACAGCACAGAAGATATCTCTGAAGTAATCATGCATTTGCCTTTTGTTCTAAAGGTTATTGGAATGTTTTCAAACTGCAACATTCCGTCAACGAGTGACATTTTTAGGGGGAAACCTCCAGGCAGATATCATTTGAACTTTTGCTGTGTGGGTTTTGAGGTCCCAATATGGGGGGGGGGGGGGGGGGGGGGGGGACACTGTTCATTAACAGGCATGCCGTAAAAAGATAAAATGTTACTAATTTTTGTGATCACTAACAACACTAGACAAGACAGGGTTACGAACATCAGCATTAGAGAGAAAATTGGAATAAGACCATGTCTGGATTATACTGACAAACAAAGAATAAAATGGTTCAGCTCTCTAGTGAGAATGCAGCCAGACCAGACTGCATATGAGACTTTTTACAGTAGAACATCTGGGAAGAAGGCAGGAGGAAGACAGAGATGGACAAATGGTGTAGATGAAACCTGCAAAAGGTTGAACAAATCCATCACTCAAGCCTCCTGATAAGTGCAAGGCAAATACAGAAAACCAAGACACTGGGCTACAATCTGGTAACAGTGAGAAGAAAAAGAAGAAGAATTATTATTGAGTTTTTGAAGAATTATTATTATTGAGTTTTTGCTTGAGAGGTGAGGAACCAATAGTCTGCATACAGATTAACCAGATCTGGGAAACAGATGTACATGCAAACTCAAGTTCTGGAACAAGACAAAGTCCAGAAGTGGACGAATAATCAGAACATTCCACCAGAGTTTATAGTTCAGGCAGCCAACACTAGTGGGGAGAGAGAGTGAGTCGGTTACGAAAGAAGTCAATTAAATTAAACTTTTCAGCTAAATATCTCAGAGAAGTAAAGTAAGAGACCTTTTCCCCGCCTTAAGTCGTATTGGGCATCTAGGGCTAGACCTATATTTTATAGACCAATCGGCGGCACTCAGTGGGTAATGTAGCCAGCATCAATCCAAATATCTCTGAGAATAAAACTTACCTGTCGATGCAAAAAATCCACCTTTGTGAGGCAGCAGAGACAGAATAGGTCCCCGAGATTCTTTCCAAGCTGCTACTGGTGTGCTGGTGAGATGAACATTTGTAAATTTTAAAACACACATCAAGCAAACCTTTGGAGAATTTTAATTTTCAGATGTAGGCTGATACATATATTTTAGAAAAAACAAAATGAACAAAAGATTAAAATATGGATAGGAACAACAAAGGAAAGAGGAATGTTTACATAGATACCATCAAACATTTCAACAATGGAGTGGTTGGCTGGGAAATTACAAATGGATTCTCCTTTAGGAGACATAGATTCAAATCCTCAGTAAGGTACAGGTTTTTTCTGTGGGAGGCAAAATAAAATCTGAACCCACAAAGTCTACAGCGACTACACTAGAAACTTTTAATAATCAGTTACAGCAGTAGTATTAGCATGCTGATTTTTTCATTGTCTTCTGAGGAAGAAAGAGCATATGTAGGTGTCGTGGAATGATAAGCCATTACGCATCGGTCCGTAAGACTGGTAACCGGACTTACCTGTAATCCGCAAAAATTCAAACTTGGACTCGCCCGGAAAGATATAGTCCCTTATATCTATATATATAGGCCTTTATTGGACAACATTATTATGTCTACATTTTCTGGTTGCTTTAACTAAACTCCACTTTTAAATGTATATATCTTTGATATATATTAGAGGAGTTATTTGAGGTTTCTTAGAAACCGATGCACTCCTTGCCCATGTATACTAGGGACTTCTTTTTTTACCAACGCCTGAAGTGCGTAAGTGACGCCATTCTTTCTTGCCGGTTCCAAGCGTCCAGACGTGTAAATCTATGCCTGTATAATTTCAATTTCACAAGGCGATCTGGAATGTCTCAGTTTTTGCATATGCTTGGGTAAGTTAATTATAGTTTACGAGTACCTAAAATGATGTCTGTAAAGTAGTCACTGCTGTAGAGAGATCAGTATCGGCTGTGGGATCACACATAGTTCGACCGTTCTTCATCGCTAGAGAAGCGGATTCGAACGTAGACCTTCCCCTGTACAGACTAAATAGCCTATGCCCCCAATAACCCACCCATACTGGTAAACATAAAACCTTACAAGTGTGTACTATTTAAACTAACTATAGAAGTTTTTGCATACAAAATGGGGACAGAATTAGGTCAGGACTTTATCGGCCAGTGTGTGGAGTGTGTTTGACCCAGATCAATGAATGATAAGACGGGCTTTGGGAGTCTGAGGAATAAATGTACTGACAGTAAATATTGTTGTCTGTGTGCGGAGGGGAGGGGAGAGAGAGAGAGTGATATATGTGTTAGAACACTCTATCTATCTCCACTGTATATCTGACTTGCCTTCTCTTGCACTAAACAGACAGATGAATATGGGAGACTTGGGTCTCCTGGTCTGGAGAGGCATTCTGAGGAATGAAACAGGAGAGCAGGGTGGAATAAGCAGATGGGGGTTGATGACTGATGCTTGTTCTGTCTTTCCTGTCAAGATGTTACCCTCTTGGTGATGACTAATTCTGAGTTATTTTCTTGACAGGATAAATCATTTGTGAGGAGCTGGCAGAAGTTTCACAGTCCAACCAACACCCACCAACCATGAATAAACCATGAATAAACCATAAATAAACCAACCACCCACCAGCTGACACCTGTGAAGGTTCCTGACATCATCAATATGTGGGAGCTTATAACTCAAACAGCCTACCAGTGCTAGAGCTTAGTGTGGCTCAAAGACATTGTGTGTCCTAACTGGTGATAGAGACTTGCTAAGTACCAGTACAGTGCTGTGTCCTCTATGGTGAGGTACTCTCTTACTACTTGATCCAGTGGAGCAGAATTCCCAGAGTCAAAGACAGTCGAATCATCCGGAGCTGAGGGAGGCATCATAGACAGAAAGAAGAGAAGCTAAGTTTGATGCCTGATTTGCTTTGTGCCTCACAGCTCCTATGTTTCCCAATGATGACATAGAGTCATCTCCAGGAGACCTGCTGTCTGTGTAGTATCTTTGGTATCTAGACATATTATTCTGAGATTCTTCCACTGATAGCTGGAATTCACTTCATTGTTATATATCTATTTTATATTGATTACATGCATTCATTTTCATGGATGACTTAGGTGTCTCTATTTCACCTTTTTAAGTGTTTAGCAGTTGTGTGTGTATGTATCTTCATTATATGTGTTAACATGGTTATGATAATGAACTATCATAACCTGGGGGCTTTCTTTAGTAAGTAGTGGGGGTGTCCAGCCAAGTGTGCCTAGAAATATTGTATTCATATACTGACATATTTTGTAGTGCCAATACTTGAGTTGCCCTACTCCAGAGATAAGTTGAGCGTATATTGGCCACGGGGAATCCCTTAGACCAATACGAGCCAAACGACTCAACATAATTATCTCTGAGTGCTGTTGGTTCTGAAGGAGAAATCCTTACATTAGGCACGCGACAGGAGTGATATGTGACAGAACAACATATCCCCAAAAATCTGTGGTCTCGTCGTGGGATTGTTTGTTTACACTGTTCAATCTTTAAATTTGCTGGTGATCTTGGCCAGGAGTTGTTCAGTGTTTGTATTTTGTTAACACAGTTGTGACCATTCTGGGTCAGTTCTTAGATTATACTCCTAGGAGTGATTTGTAATCATTGTGGTGTTTTGTGGTGTTCAAGTACATTGGGTTAGGTACATCCTTGGTTGGTGGTGATAATTTAATCTATTGTTGATTATATTTACATTGTTGGTGACAATATATTTTGTTGTGGACTGTTAGATTGACAAGACAGCATGTCGCAGTCAAAAATTTCCATACAGGAATTGAAGGACATGGCTGTCCAGATGGGATTGGAGGGTAAAGAAATGACCGAGTGGATTAAAACCACGGAACGTGAGATGAGGATGGAAGCCCGTGAGGCTGAGAGACTCAGAATAGAATCAGAGGTGCAAGGAAAGCGAAAGACTCAGAATTGAATCTGAGAGGATTCAAGAAAACTGAACGACTCAGAATTGAATCTGAGAGGATTCAAGAATGAGTCTGAGAGGGAGTCAGAAAGAATGAGATTGGAACAGGAGGTGAGGTTAAGAGAATTGGAACTTCAGGCTCAGAGAGAGGGTAATAGACCCAGATCTCCAACACCTGATATTGATGGTGCATCAACGCACAGTAGCTCAGCTCAAGCGATGAACTTTCCTATGCCAGTCTTCGACCCGAAGGCTGAAAATATTGAACAGTACCTAGACCGATTTGGCAAATTGGCATCTTTGTACAACTTAGAAAGGAATATGTACACGCTGAAGTTGGCTCAAGGTTTGAGGGGTGAGGCATACGAGATTTATCAACGGATGCCCACCGGTACTGAGACTGATTATGATGCATTGTGTCAGGCTTTGCTGAAACGTTTCGAACTTAATGCTGCGACATACAGACAGAAGTTCAGAAATGAGAGAAAGATGACAGGGGAGAACTATCCTCAGTTCGCCAGTCGCCTTCAGGGATATTTGACCAGGTGGAGGGAAATGTCTGGATACTCCTCTTCTTTTGAAGATTTACAGGAGATGATCCTAACGGAACAACTCCGAGAGACATTACCTCGCCCTATGCAAACCTTCCTGACGGAGAATGGTGCTGACAGACTGAGTGAGATGTTGATGTATGCTGAGAGGTATGAGATGGCACATAAAGAAGTGTGTATAGGTGGGAAACCCAAGGCCCAGGGCCAAGGGAAAAATAATGGTAATGGTCATAAAACCCATCCAAATGAATCCCCTAAAAAGAATACATCCCAAGCACAACCCCAGAACCCCTCAAAAGTTCAGGGAACACAACATAGACAACCCTTTAATGGCCCTAAAAAGCCTTACTGCCATATTTGTAAGAATAATAACCACTGGACTAAGGAATGTAAATCCAAACAGTCAGGGAATTTACAAGTATCAGCTTTGTTGTCTACTGTAGTACCTTCTACCCAGGAACAATTGTACAATGGTTCCAATAGGCCACCTGTGGTAGAGAGGGTCTGGGCTAACGGATATTCTTTAAATTGTCTGTATGATAGTGGTTTGTCATACGGCTGTGTGGTGAGGCCAGAGTTTGTAAAACCTGATCAGTATACTGGCAGATTCATAGAGCTCCAATGTGCCACATTGGATGCTAAACCTTTAAACTTGCCGATTGCTAAGATTAAGGTCCGTTCAAAGTATGTCTCGGGGGTAATTGAGGCTGCAGTGCTTGAACACTGTACCTTTGATTTAATTCTTGGCGCTACTTATGTATTTTTAGCAGAGCCGAAGAAACCTTCAGAGCATCTTGCTGCGGTAACCACCCGAGCACAGCATAAAAGTGCCTTAGAGGATTCTCCTCATGTAAATCCTCTTCCTGAGGAAATTAAGGTGGCCCAAAGTAGTGACCCAACCCTTAAGGCATGTTTTAAAAAAGTTAACTGCAAGTCACAATCCCCCTTTGAAGAAAGAATTCTTCATGAAAGGTAAGTTACTGTACAGATGGGCAAGTGATAAGTATACAGAGCACAGTCAACTTGTAGTACCCAAAAAATATAGACAGCAGATTCTCCAGATGGGGCACACTATAGCCTATAGTGCCCATATGGGAATTCATGCAACGACACAACGCATTGCCTGTCATTACTTTTGGCCAGGTATGTCAGCAGATATCATGCGTTATGTCAAATCCTGTCCGGAGTGCCAGAAGGTAGCTCCCAAAGGCAGGAATGCACCAGTCGGACTGGGGGAAACCCCTGTCACCTCCACACCTTTTGAAAGAGTGGCGGTCGATTTGGTGGGACCACTTCCTCTCACAAAGAAGAAGAATGCTTACATATTGACCTTGGTCGACTGTTGTTCAGGTTATCCGGAGGCTGTTGCACTTCGGAGGATTGACAGTAAGACTGTGGCAGAGGCATTGATGAGCATTTTCACAAGAGTGGGATTCCCTTCGCAGATACTGACAGACAATGGATCTCAGTTTAGAGGGAAACTAATGGAGGAGGTGTTTCAGATAATCAAGTCTCAACACATTTGCACCAGTCCATACCGACCCCAAGCGAACGGCCAGAATGAGCGGTTCAATGGAACGTTGGTATCGCTTCTGAGAAGATTAACCCAGGAAAAGCCAGAGAGGTGGGACGAGTATCTGTCTGCAGCACTATTCGCCTACCGGGAAGTACCCAATGCCTCTACTGGATTTCCACCTGCGACCTTGGTGTTCGGAAGACACATTTCTGGACCCTTGGCCATTCTCAGGAAGACATGGACAGACGAAGGGGCAGATGATTCCTTGAAAACCATATCACAGTATGTGCAGGAACTCAAGGAAAGGTTAAAGCTAGGGTGGGACCTGGCTAAAGAGAACTTGATTCGTGCACGTAAGAGGTACGCTGCACATTTCAACCGGAAGACGAAGGAACGATGTCTTGAGGTTGGAGATAGGGTTCTTTTGCTACTACCCTCAGGGAAGTCTAAGTTGGAGTTAGCTTGGGGAGGCCCTTATACGGTGGTAGAGAAGATATCCAGGATCCATTATAAGATCAACATTAAAGGTAAGTCAAAGGTCTATCACATTAATCTCCTCCGGAAATACAACGAGAGAGAGGTAAGTGACACACCGACCCTCTTGACACTTTCTGTAGCTATGGAGGTGGAAGGTGGAGAAGCCACAGCTGTGGAATATCCTCTTCACCCCAGGGAGACCTATAAAGATGTAGAGGTTAACCCAACTCTCTCTGTCTCTCAGAAACAAGCTATAGGGCAACTCTTGTCAGAGTACGATTCTGTCCTGACAGAGAAGCCAGGGCACACTTCATTAAATGAGTGTTTTACGACATTGGTTCCTGTTGAGCCTTTCAGTCAATGCCCTGTGCAAGCTCCTCTTTTTAAAGAGGAATGGAGTAAACCTCCAGACCATCAGGAGGACCAGAAGGTGAAGAATTTTCAATTCACACCAGGGTTCCTTCCTGTGTTTGTTGGAGCACATAGTGACGAGGGGAGGATTATCCTTCCGAACCTCGCGAAGGATCAGACGGGAGGGATTATATCCCACATGCCTCGACGACCTTCCTGTGTGACTACTGATGTAGGAGACACACCTGTATATTTCCTGAAAATGACAGGAGTACCAGGATGGTGTGTGGGTTTATTCAGCCAACCCGATCGGCGGGTTCGGTCTGAACCTACATCTTTGCATGTACCTGGCAGGGTTCAGTGATACATGGATAGAATCATCAGAGTCTCAGGACCTCAGGGACATCTACTGATTCTGTATAGATTCCTTGTTGATTAGTATTGTATAGTGGTCATAGGTTTCTCTATTTTCACATGAATTGGCATTATTGTATATATTTCATCTGTCTCTGAGAGGTTGGTTTGGTCAACCCTTTGATTCAGAGCAGATTTCTTGAGCCGCCATCCCTTGTCTGATAATTCACAGACTGAAGGTGATGAGCAAGCTGAAAGTAGTGAGTCCATAGATGTGTAAATGGCTGATCATTGTTCATTCGCGTAGTACGCTCTTCCCTTTGGGGGGGTACTGTCGTGGAATGATAAGCCATTACGCATCGGTCCGTAAGACTGGTAACCGGACTTACCTGTAATCGGCAAAAATTCAAACTTGGACTCGCCCGGAAAGATATAGTCCCTTATATCTATACATATAGGCCTTTATTGGACAACATTATTATGTCTACATTTTCTGGTTGCTTTAACTAAACTCCACTTTTAAATGTATATATTTTTGATATATATTAGAGGAGTTATTGAGGTTTCTTAGAAACCGATGCACTCCTCGCCCATGTATACTAGAGACTTTTTTTTTTACCAACGCCTGAAGTGCGTAAGTGACGCCATTCTTTCTTGCCGGTTCCAAGCGTCCAGACGTGTAAATCTATGCCTGTATAATTTCAATTTCACAAGGCGATCTGGAATGTCTCAGTTTTTGCATATGCTTGGGTAAGTTAATTATAGTTTACGAGTACCTAAAATGATGTCTGTAAAGTAGTCACTGCTGTAGAGAGATCAGTATCGGCTGTGGGATCACACATAGTTCGACCGTTCTTCATCGCTAGAGAAGCGGATTCGAACGTAGACCTTCCCCTGTACAGACTAAATAGCCTATGCCCTCAATAACCCACCCATACTGGTAAACCTAAAACCTTACAAGTGTGTACTATTTAAACTAACTATAGAAGTTTGTGCATACAAAATGGGGACAGAATTAGGTCAGGACTTTGTCGGCCAGTGTGTGGAGTGTGTTTGACCCAGATCAATGAATGATAAGACGGGCTTTGGGAGTCTGAGGAATAAATGTACTGACAGTAAATATTGGTGTCTGTGTGCAGAGGGGAGGGGAGAGAGAGAGAGTGATATATGTGTTAGAACACTCTATCTATCTCCACTGTATATCTGACTTGCCTTCTCTTGCACTAAACAGACAGATGAATATGGGAGACTTGGGTCTCCTGGTCTGGAGAGGCATTCTGAGGAATGAAACAGGAGAGCAGGGTGGAATAAGCAGATGGGGGTTGATGACTGATGCTTGTTCTGTCTTTCCTGTCAAGATGTTACCCTCTTGGTGATGACTAATTCTGAGTAATTTTCTTGACAGGATAAATCCTTTGTGAGGAGCTGGCAGAAGTTTCACAGTCCAACCAACACCCACCAACCATAAATAAACCACAAACCACAAACCAACCACCCACCAGCTGACACCTGTGAAGGTTCCTGACATCATCAATATGTGGGAGCTTATAACTCAAACAGCCTACCAGTGCTAGAGCTTAGTGTGGCTCAAAGACATTGTGTGTCCTACTGGGGATAGAGACTTGCTAAGTACCAGTACAGTGCTGTGTCCTCTATGGTGAGGTACTCTCTTACTACTTGATCCAGTGGAGCAGAATTCCCAGAGTCAAAGACAGTCGAATCATCCAGAGCTGAGGGAGGCATCATAGACAGAAAGAAGAGAAGCTAAGTTTGATGCCTGATTTGCTTTGTGCCTCACAGCTCCCATGTTTCCCAATGATGACATAGAGTCATCTCCAAGACCTGCTGTCTGTGTAGTATCTTTGGTATCTAGACATTATATTCTGAGATTCTTCCACTGATAGCTGGAATTCACTTCATTATTATATGTATATTACACTGATTACATGCATTCATTTTCATGGCTGACTTAGGTGTCTCTATTTCACCTTTTTAAGTGTTTAGCAGTTGTGTATGTATGTATCTTCATTATATGTGTTAACATGGTTATGATAATGAACTATCATAACCTGGGGGCTTTCTTTAGTAATTTTTAAATGCGTGCATCCTTGACGATGACGTGCTAGGTGGATGTTTTGATAACTGCCGCCAATCTGACCATCACAATCAGAATGGGAATATTTCTGATGCTATGGGAGATTTTATTAATTTGTTTAAAAGGAAAGTGAAGGTGAAGATATTTCTTCACAGTTTGATGACCGTGTCTTTGACCATTCTTTAAATTACAATCAAAATAATTGTCGAAAATGAAAAGAGGATGTTTCATGTGACAGTTGCAGGTAAGTATTTTATGTTACATTAGTTCGTGTAGACTGTTTTGTGTATGTGCTTCAGGTGTGTATTGTTTGTGTAGATTGTGCACATTACAGCTCTGTGGCTTAGTTTAGTGAAAATCATTTCACAATGAAACACTTTCTGGGGTGTTATTCCCCAGACAGGCAACACTACATATGCAGTAATTATATATATATTTTTTTTGGTTAAAAAGAACAACTAGGAGTTTATTTCTATGTTAATTCCCACTCTGTTTGTTTTTTGCTGTATGAGATAGGACCTAACTTACTTGGTGTTTCTCAAATCCAAAATGTAGATGTATCCTTCCTGTGAGCCACACACACAGTGCACATCAGAGATAAATTCACACGTGTTGACAGCTGATTCACAAGAAAAGCTGAATATCTGGGGACGAAAAGTTAAGCATTCTTACCAACACAAAAGAATATAGTAAGAAGAACTAACACTTCCAATTTCACAATGTACAACAAGATGAGTAAACCCTTTGCTAGTAAGTTGAAAAAAAAAAAAAAGAAACTTGCTGTGATTGTGATGTAACATGAAATCATGCCCCAGTGTGGGCTTCAGGGCCCCATAGGGGGGTGGGGGGGGGGGGGGTAGTACACCCACATTTCCCCTAACATGCATATCGTAACAGGTGATTAATTAGGGTTTGCTGACATTGGATGTACTGGACTAAAAGGTACACATATCAAAACACAACAGCCCTTTTAAAGGTAAATATAGCAGAAGAAATAAAGCAGCGGGGGTGCAGTTAACACAGCACAACTCCGATTCACCTAAAACTGATTCACACAGAAGTATCGAAAATCAGACAGCAAGAAGTGTCTTTTTGCCCTCTTCTTTTCTTCTGTCATTTACCCTCAAAGCAGCATGGACCTTAAAAAAGAAAAAAAAACCTGACATCTTTGCCATCTTGCGCAGATCACTCCATGTCCTTTGCATACCTCTATGTCTAATTCTTATTATACATGTTTTGAGGTCTGCTTTTACTTGTGGTTTTGTTGTTGTTGTCATACAGGTTCAGGAGCAAGGTTAGTTTTATTAGTTATATCACAAGCAGACAATCTATATTCTTTGGCCATGTTATGAGAAGGAGAAAACTGGAGTACATTGTGACGGGAAAGCTGGAGAGGATAAGGGGCAGAGGGAGACTGAGTGGGAAGATGCTAAACAGTCTGACATCATGGCATGGAAGATCAACTGTGTCAGAACTGACTTAAATTACACGAGACAGAAGTCTGTAGACAGACATGACTACTAATGCCACACGGCATGGACTAAAAGCTGAAGAAGTTATATTAATTATTTGTCTAGTTATATTACTATCATGTTTTCTCAATATGTATCCTATTCAATCCCAGCATCTTTTCCTTACTGGAATGTATCTAGTTCTCTCCCAAATCTCCACATTAGTATTTCTGTTATATCATTATATTTCTTCTATTCATAAGGTAACAATTAATGAACATCTTAGGTGCTGAGCCAAGAACTGACATCAGAGCACAAAAGTGTTTAATCCTTATCTTCAGCAGCCAGCAATGAGTTTCAATTGCAGTGGTGTCAGTAGATGTCTGACAATTAAACATCTAACATTTCCTCTGAGTGAGCAGTGTCGACCAGATCCCCTCATCTTCCTAACTGTTCCCTTATCTCTAGACAATGATCTATTTATGCCTCTGCATTGTTCACTTGCTCTTTAGTTTATATAACAATATAGAACTCTTGCAAGAGGTCACACTAGGACAAGATGGATTGATGACATTAAAGAGCTTCTACATCGACACAGGATGTCAATAGCCATGCTGCCCATCAAGCAATGGATCTCAAACTGTTCCTCCCTACAATGCTTGACAGCAGACGTGGAAACATGATAATGGTGATGATGATCATGATAGAATTCATTTAGCAACAATAAATACACAAACAGTAACAGTAACAGTTCAATGATGTAATATGACAAAAGGTACACACACATCTGTCACTGTGGCATGGTTTGGTTTATAATAGATCACCTTCACTGCATTTGGAACAAAGTGGACAAGCAACCAGAACTTTCTGCCAGAGTTTATAGCCAGTGAATGCTAAGAAGAAGAAGAAGAAGAATCAAGTCCTAGAATGTCATGATTGTTCCAGAAAAAAAAGACTTGATTCACAAACCCTGGTTTTGAGAGAAGGAAAAGGAAGGGGAGGGGGGGGGGGGGGAGGAAGTCTACAAAGGATCTGGGTGAAGATGGTTAAGACCCATGCTCCATCAGAAAATGAAAGACATCTTCTTCTAGCGTTTACCAAATGTTAACTCCGTTGGAAAGTTCTGTTTATTCACCCACTCTGAACTCTGGACTTATTCCAGAACTTGTGTGTTATCTGTGTGTAGACTGTTGGTTCCTCACCTCTCAAGAACTTCGACTTCAAAGGAAACTTCACTAATTAGTCGACAGTACAACATGCTTGTTAGGGAAGCAGTGAGTCTATTCTATTCCCCCCCCCCCCACCCACCCCCGCAACCCACACGGAGAGAAAAACATAAAAATAAGAAAAGTGTACGAAAACCACAAACCTTGTCTCGAGATTCTAAACCAAAACCATGGAGCGAACCATTCTCACAGCCCAAGAGAAGCATTTTCCCTTCTGTAGCTATCTCTCTGTCACCTGTATATTGTCAGATACACTTGTCAATACAAGAAATACACTTGAAACTTTAATACTGTGGCAGCCACTGTGGTCTAGTGGCTAGACGCTTACATGCGGTCATGGGTTCGGGTCCTGATGGGGGTTGGATTGTTTTCAAAAATTAACTTGGCTCCCAGGCTGACCCTGCCTTGAATGGGTACCAGGTACAGTCCTGGGAAGTAAAGGTGGCCGATGTGATACTGACCACATCACCCACTAAGTGTTGTTTAGTGTATAAAATACAGGTCTAGCCCTATATACCCAATTAGCCTAATAACGTTTGCATCACTTAGACCAACGATGAAGAAGAAAAAGCAGAAAATATTTTTGAAATCCTTGTAGCTCCAGCAATGTTTCCTGGTCAAAAAAATTTACTGCCCGATGAACCCAAGGCATGAAAAGAAATCTTTATTTTTTTACTCACTTAAAAATGGAGAATTCCAACTGTTTATCAGTATGCTAAATTCACTCTCCATTTGTCCTTTTTTGTTAGAACCAGATTTAAATTTAAAATGCAGAATTTTTTAACAAGGTGTTGTTGCTTCTGCTAGATCACAGTCACAGATAATATTAGAAGCATGTAAAATATATGCAACCGCAACAATAGTCCAGAAATCCATTGCTCTAATTGTGGAAGACTATTCTAAACATGATCAGATCTTGCTAGTCATACTGGACATCGCCATGGACTGTGATTCCCATGCCTCCATACAGCCCAATTAACACTATCCTCTGGAAAGATAAAAAAAATGCAACATAAAAATGAACAACTAGAACTTTCTGCCAGAGTTTACAGCTGGTGAACGATAAGAAGAAGAAGAATAAGTTCACGAATGTCATGATTGTTCAAGAAAAAGGTTCGATCCACAAACCCTGGTTTGGAGAGTAGTAAAGGGGGAGGCGGTGCAAAGAGGATCTGTATGGAGGGGTTAAAGCTTTACATAATATAGCAAGTGGAACACAAGGTATGAAGCCACTGCTCTTTTGTTTGAAGTGATTTACATCTAACAGATTACTGGTAAATGTTTAAACAGAATACACAGCTTACTTTTCGATCGATTAGTTGCACCAAGATCAACTGAATTCTCAGGCACTCCAAGAGAACATGAATTGACAATCCCTCCTATATTCTCAAAGGTGAAAAGACATTCCTGTTTCCCAACATCCCACAACTTCGCTGTTCCATCGCGGCTGCAGGTAATAATATTCCTCCCTCTGTCCACAATAGCTGTGTCTAGAATGGCTGTTGATTTTTAACAGTTGGACAATAATGAAATTAGTTATAAACTTTACCATGATGTTTAAAAATATAAAGAGAACAATTTTTTCAAGGTAATTATATTTTATTCGTGATATGAATGATAAATATTCTTCTATATTTGTCCTGCGAGAGACACTGATTGAGCTATGCCTCACTGATTACTGCATTAAGAATCAACTACATAGCATACCAGCTGATGCTCTGTCCCCCGCAGCAAATGTCTAAAGGTGTAGATGCTCAATGTTTCATTAGCGCACTGGTTGCACAGATGCCGGTGTGTTGGAAAATAAGCAGGCAGACTGACTGGCCGGTTCTGCACCACTTGATGGTGAACTGATGTATGATAAGCTGGATGTTGTGAGGGCCCTTTGGGAGCGAGTGAACAGTGCCAAGGCACAGACAGATCATTAAGGTCTGAGGAGAATAGCACTGCGGGGAGTTACAAGGAGATGTGGCCCACGCTTGACACTCAGGGGAAAGGCTAGACGGATATACAATCAGACAGTTACTGGTACCATAAAAATTTAAACTCTTCGCTTGCTGCTGATGATGGGGATGTCCCGAGTGCTGTGATGTCGATTCTTAATTCCACATTTGCACACGTCATACTCTCCTTCTCTTCTGCCCTTTCTTGCTGGATCCAGAGTTAATTTTCATGTCACACATCCTTACATGCATTATTTCACTCAACTGTGCCTGTCCACAATTTCTCATACAACTGGGAACAAGTGGAACATACATCTGCAACACATTCATCTGGGTGCCATGCCAGGAAAATGTCTTTAAAAAAAACTCTCTGTGAAGGTTAACTCAGTCAACGAAGTCTAACAAAAAGTCAAATGCACTGGTTCAGAGCTACGAATAATACAGCTGTGCTGTAAGGAGATACATCCCACATACTAACCAATATTGGACGAATGAGATGAATTTAAAACACGATGAGATGATTTAAAACATTACAAAAAAGGCAGATGAACAGCTCAGATAGGCCAGAAAGGCACGTATAACGTGCCCTTTGCCTACAGACTCTGTTCCTTGCCTTCAATGTCCTGTCCTGTTCCTTGCCTTTAATGTCATAGATCCTTCTGATCCATATTGGGCTTATAAGTCACTCAGGACTCGTGGACAATCAACTACAGTTCCATAACAGATGAGAGAAAGAGTGGTCCTCATCACTTGTGATGTACGGACAAGAAAACACGTTGCACATGCATAAACACGGCCCTGGGTACATGTATGTAAACTGTTTCAGCATTCATACTCAAAAAAAAAGACAAATACTTAAAATGGTATGATTATTAAACTAAATACTTTAGTAAAAGTGATAAATGTGAGACAGTCCTACCTGCCTTGTGTCCTGTTATAGTAGATGGTATGATTATTCAACTAAATACTTTAGTAAAAGTGATAAATGTGAGACAGTCCTACCTGCCTTGTGTCCTGTTATAGTAGATGGTATGATTATTAAACTAAATACTTTAGTAAAAGTGATAAATGTGAGACAGTCCTACCTGCCTTGTGTCCTGTTATAGTAGATGGTATGATTATTCAACTAAATACTTTAGTAAAAGTGATAAATGTGAGACAGTCCTACCTGCCTTGTGTCCTGTTATAGTAGTTGCACACTGGCCAGTTTCCGCTGACCAAATTTTAACCATCATATCAGCACCAGCTGATAAAACAACAATTCCCGACGGAAAGAACCGGCATGTGTAAACATCTCCCACATGACCTACAAACTGTCGCTAAATGAAGAAACAAATATACACAAGCCCAATTAAAGAGATGCAGCGCTGCCAAAAAAATTGTGACATTAAAAAAAGATTTGAGATAAATGCATAAAATCAACTGAGATAACTCAATTTTCATGATCTGCATTTTAAAATTTTCTTGACAAAAACAACATATGCAATAAAAGTGAGTTTGGAATAAGACAATTTTTTTGTCAGTTTAATATGGCGAAAGAAAAATATTACCCTGACTTCTCCTGTATTAGTTTGCCAGAGTTTCAAATTCCCTTCAGAGTCAGAAGAGACGCCCAGGCCTCCTTCAGTTGTGTCAACACATGTCACCTTCAACAGAAATTAAAAAAAAAAAAAAAAAGTCTTATTTGTGTGCATACATATTGCAAATATATTTACTTCTTTTCATGCTATTATGCTCCGCAGTGGGTTCAGAGGCCCCATTTTAGGGAAAATAACAATAGACCCACTGCTTCCCTAATAAGAATGTCATAGGAGTCGACTAATTGGGGTCATCTTCAAAGTCGCAGTGCGTTTGCCAGAGAGACAAGGAACAACCAACGGCATAAAAATTCGCCAGTAAAATGGATGTATATACTAAACCCAGGCCCTGGCACAAAGCCAAAGTCTAAATGGATGAACAACCAGGACTTTTCTGCTGGAGTTTACAGTTGGTGAACAAAGAAGAAAGAAGAAGAGGCTATTATATAGAGTTTACAAGGACAAAAACCAGTTATAGAGAAAAATGCTGTATAAAATATTACCCCTAATGATCACAGTTCAACTAATCTCTTTCAAATCAAGATAAAAAATAAACACCTTGCCTAAAAAGAAATCAAGGTGAGATCATGAAAGTAAATAGAATACAAGAAATAAAAAACAAAACAATACTGTAACCATGTAAAAATGATGAAATCAATTCTGGGGACATGCTGTAAGGTCAGAATTGTCATTTTATTCCAGACTAAATGACAGGAGAGATGATAATGACAAATTGAAAATGTTTACCTATATTTTCACAGAGGAACCTCTAGTATTAACTGTGTGAAGGTTCTGAGGTAATACCGCGGAAAAAACAAGAATAGACTCACTGCCTTTCCAACAGCATGTCATATGGAGTTGAAATAACTGGGACATCCTTCTAAGTCATATATCTGCCTGAGAGGCAAGGAATCAAGAGTCTGCATACAAATAAGCCAGATGTGTGAAATGGATGTGCAAGCAACACTCAGGTTCTGGAACTAGACTAAAATCATGAGGTGAATAAACACCCAGAACTTTTTGCCAGAGTTTACAGCCAGTGAACATGAAGAAGAAGCACTGATATATACACCTCATGCAAAGCGTACAATGATAACAAAGTCAGCTCGTACAAAGAGAATAAATATTAGTGAAAAAGGCAATATTCTTCAGTGTCACTTAGGTTTAGTGTGATTCTCTTATTATTTGGGAACAGCAAAAAATTACGGGCAAATTGAGTGTTATTTAAAGTTTTGTGTTTTTTTTTTGGGTGAAAGTACTAATTATTTTCAGAAGTCATTTTTCTTTACCCCCTCCCCCCCCCCCCCAAAAAAAAATGGTGCTCTGTTATGATATTCTAAAATCTGTTTGTATTGCATATTACTAAGTGGTTTATGTTAATTTGTGATTCATTTGGGATATAATTTACAGTTTTCATTGAGTGCCATGGTGGTAAGTGGAAAAATTAACTACTAACACAATTTATTTTTGTAGCAGTATTCTAATATTGTTCTTCAATAAACCTAGTAATTTTGATGTGTAATATGTGTATGTTGCGCGGCAATTGAATGAGTACGGTCTGTTTTATGTGCTGCACTCGTGACATTTCAAAAGTGCATTACCACGCCTTGGGCCTCTGATACTAAACCCCCCTTGGACTCAAAGAGTTAAAGTCTATAAAATATCTGTAAAAATAACACTGGAAATTGGAATGAAATGAAAACAAGTTAAAGTATGGTTATTTCAGTTCAAATTCTTTTTTTTTTTTTTTATTATGGTCTTCTGACATGATGATGCATAAAGCCTATCATTCTCACAGTCAATGCAATAAGGCTAAATCAATACTAGAAAGACATGAAAACAAACAGAAAATGTCCGGTCATCTCTGGCTACGTAATTAAGACCGTTCCGCATGAAAGAGTCTACAAAGGGCCTGGTTTGAATTAGTAAAGGGCCTAAGCTCCAAAGGGAGATAAAAGTTGGAAAAAGAAGTAAAGAAACTCCACGTGTGGGTTCTGGGGCCCCATTGTGGGGAAAACAAGAATAGACCCACTTCCTACCCAAAAGCATGTCGTAAAAGTCGATTAATTGGGGAGCTTCCTTTGAACTCAGTGCGTCTGCCTGAGAGGCAAGAACCCAAAAGTCTGCATACAGTTGAATCAGATCTGTAAAACTGATGCCCACGCAACACTCTGGTTCTCAAGCAGGACTGCAGTTCAGAAGTGGACGAACAACCAGAACTTTCCACCAAAGTGTACAGTTGGTGAATGCGAAGAAGAAGAAGAAATAGAGAAACTGAGTCACCATGTGTGAAAGAGCAATAAACTTGACGTTACCAGCAACAACACGGAGACTATTTTTATTATTTAACGTGAACCTTATTAACTGATAAGCACGGAACTGTGGTGGTGGCAGAACAGACGAAACATCCATATCTGGAGAGAATGAAACAGTAGGGAGTGTGGATAATTTTCTATCTGCAAGGACAAAAGGTGCATTAAAAAAAATCATGGTTGTTGACATGGCACCATTAATATGCAGTAACACCAAACAAAATCTATTACCTGCTTCTTTGGTGTATGGATTGTTGAAAATGTTATCACTGGAGCGACAAATTTTCTGGACAGAGATGCATGCTCTCCATTGTATGAAATTACCAAACTTTTCTGAAAACAACAAACATATGTCACATACACAAGATGTTTTAAAACAGATTTATAAATTTGTGTTCCAAAAAAGAATAATTTACAAAGTAATTACTACCACAGCATATAAAGAAATCATACTCAATAATACAAACTGTCTTTGATTCCCATAATATTTCTTGGTACTCATTTTAGGCTTTGCAGTGTAAAGTGAACAAATAAATGAATGAATGAATGAATCAAGAATGAATGTCAATGCACTCAGGTAATACTCAGACTTGCTCTGTCACCTTCCTCAATAACCAACAGAGTGCCCATTTAAATAGTGCTGGTGGTAATCTGATTAAAAGTTGCCTATGTTTAACCATCAGTGCTGAATATTGTCCAACCCCCCCACCCCCCAGCCAAATAAGTCATCAGGGAGTGAATACTTTGATTTGTTGTACTGTGCACATGATTCCAGATAGTCTTCACCATGTCTGCTTTTGTCATAAGTAGCTCAGATGATCCCTTTATGATGTTAGGGAAAGAGTTTTAGGACAGAAATAAATAAATTCAAGTGAATCAAGAGGTGAAAAAAAGATGCTTGTTGGATAGGACACACACTGAGAAAACCTGAGAACAATATAACTAAACAGTCTTTGCATCGGAACCCACAGGGGAATAGAAACAAAGAACTCCCCCCCCCCTTCCCCCCCAAAAAAAACCAACATGGAGTAGGGAGCTAAAAAGTGAAGTTTAAAAGAAAAAAAAAAGGGGGGGGGGGGGGGGGGAGGACATGGGGACAGCTGCATGTGATTGTGAAAGATAGAACAATTTGGCTTCAGTTGGTTGATGGCTCATGCTCCACTGGGGGTTAGAAAGGCAGGAGAAGCTGCTCAAGACCCAAAGAAGCGACAGCATCCAATCTGTCCGTCTGTCATTACCCAGCACATCAGAATCTCCTGGACAGGAAATCCATTATATGCTCTTGATCTGAGCGAAGAGCTCTTCAATATCTTTATATCTATGTTACATCTTTCATCGGATATCACCGAAATTAGTAAATTCAAAATACAACAAGAAGCATCTTACACGTCTGATGTCAGATACAGCAAACCGTTCATCTTTTGCCGTGAGATATAGGAGTCCATCGGGGGATAATCCATGACTGTTTAACTCTGAATAATCACTAGGTGGTGCTGGAATCACAATAAAAAAATGTCAGCCAGTTTTCAAAATAGGCATTATTAATTATTGAGGCCAATTTTTTAACTCTTCCAGCACTGAACAAGTCATTATAAACTGTTTGATTACCCCATGCATTGCAATAGTTTCTAAACTTTTATGTTCCGATTATTCTATTTTAAAACACTCTATCCCAAAAGTTACTTTTAATAATTCTGCCACATACACTTTTATTTTAATTCATCAAAACTAAAGGGTGGTTACTATAAAGTATACATCTAATGATATTTAAAAAAAAAAACACTTTACAAGTAAAAAGCACATGGTACTGAAAGAGTTCAGAATTCAAAAACAACATTTTACATTAACTTTGCAAACTGTTTTCAATTCCTAATCATCAAGTCACGTCTGCAAATTATTTTATGTGAAAAAATTGATCGTGATTAAAATGGTAGCATAGGGGTTAGTAAAATCCTCTACCAGCCTTAGGGTCCTGTCCACATTTTACATTTGTTTTTTTTTTTTTTGTTAATGACCATGAAACACTGGATTTTCTAGGACATCAACCATCACAATTATATGTGCCATGCCAATCAATGTGAACAATGGTGATTTAGCAAAACTAATCTCAGGTAAAGTGTGAATTTGTTTAAATCCTGATTAAGCCACGATAAATTTTTAAAAGAAAGTTAGTTGTGTAACTCTTGCAGGATGCTGTAGAATCAACCAAGCATTTTTTTTAGCTGACTGGTTTTTACCAGGCAATTTTTACATTCTTCTTCTTCTCTGCATTCCCGGGCTGTTAACCTCATCAACTTCTGGACTTCAGACGTGAGCGCACATCTATTTTACAGATGTGGCCTACCTGTATGCAGACCGATGTTTCCTTGCCTCTCAAGCAGATGTACTTCAACCTCAAAGGAAACCCCCTAATTAGTTGACTCTCATGACATGCTTGTTAGGAGGGAGGCAGTGGGTCTATTCTTGTTTTCCCCATAATGAGGCCCCAGAACCCACATGGCAAATTTTTACATTCAGTAGTTTACACTGCTTCCTGAATAGTAGGTTCTCCATACCACTGTCACTGTCAAAATCCACACAAAGTGGTCTGCTGCCAAATCACATGCAGCTGGAATAGAACAGTGGCTGGTTCTGCCCCACTTGGTGATGAACTGATGTAAGACAAGTTAGATATTGTGAGGGCCCTTTGGGAACAGGTGAACAGTGCGGAGGCACAGATAGATCATTACAGTCTAAGGAGAATTGTGCTGCGAGGAGTTACCATGGGATCTGGCCGACGCTCAACACTCAGGGGAAGGATATGACGGTTATACCATCAGATGGTTACTGGTACTATCGGAATTAGAACTCTTCGCATGCTGCTGAAGATGGGGGACTGAGCACTTATGGGAGTTTCCAGAGTGCTGTGATGTTGATTCTTAATTCAACATTCAGATAAAATTAACTGAGTTAAACCATAGATAAACTGATGGAAGATAGGGGGAATCCACTAACACACCTCCCCTGGGCCATCAGCATATGAAAAGTACGCAAAGGACCCTTTTTTGCACCTGGAGAATCGAGCAAAGGATGCCAGATTTATATTTCATTGACTAATCTGCTCTTATGGTGAGGTCAACATATTGCCAGCCACCTTTACTTTCCAGGACATTTTCTTGCTTTCTATTACAGGTTGGGTTAACCTGGGAGCCATGGTCAATTATAACAAAAAATAGACCCTAGTGTAGATTGGAACTCAAGACTTTCAAGCAAGAGGAAGAGCATCTGTTCACTGTGATACGTTGCTGTACCTGCATGTGACTGACTGCGAATGATTTTCAACAGACATATTCCCGTATCCTCATTAGTATATGGTATGACTTTATTGGGTGTGATAGCATTTATGCATGCACAAAAATAGCATCTTTTAAGAGTAAAATAGAAAAAAAAATAAAGACATATCGCTACAGTCAACATTTTATAATACCTGCACTTTTAAAAGCAATCCAAGCATTTCCATTTCTTTCTCTGGAACAGAAAAACATCCTGAATTTTAATATCAATATGTTATGTGAACTTTCTTCAATAACATATATAGAAATCAAAGCAAAAAATCTCTTAATTATCCATGTAGATGTGATTTTTGTACTTTTTGGCAGTAAATCTGACTTCATGCATTTGTTATCTTGACTAGCTTTACTAGTTAGCGTTTTGGGACATTTCACAGCCTTGTAGTATCATTTTCATTGCCCCATAATAATCCATGGTTGATTGCCCACGTACCCTGCTGAGATCACATGCATGTATTTTAGTTGGCTCTCAAGAGAAAGCGGTGGCAGAACATGGGCATTCCCTGCCATCCAAGGAGATTTTTATAAATGCAGAAATATGACACTCTGGGGTATTTAAGCATCACAGCAATCATCATGTCTTGCTAGTGACAACTTCATTTCATTTCTGTATGCTGGGCCTCCCACACAACCTAAATAAGCAGTTTAGAACAGCAGTTTTGCCTTACTGCAGTCATTTAATAACAATCTGCAGCATGAGAACTGAGTTCAAGGCTGCTAATGTGGAATTAATGGCAGTTACAAATCCTTCATTATGACTGCTGGAGTGAGGGTATGAGTGTGCAATTAGTCACAGTAAAAGCAAGTGCAGTTTGTCAACATGAAGCAGAGAGAGAATGGTTGTGGTGTGCAGTTTGTCAACATGAAGCAGAGAGAGAATGGTTGTGGTGTGCAGTTTGTCAACATGACACAGAGACAGAATGGTTGTGGTGTGCAGTTTGTCAACATGACACAGAGACAGAATGGTTGTGGTGTGCAGTTTGTCAACATGGCACAGAGAGAATTGTTGTGGTGTGCAGTTTGTCAACATGACACAGAGAGAATTGTTGTGGTGTGCAGCTTGCCAATATTAAACAGGGAGAATGGTTGTGGTGTGCAGTTTGTCAACATGAAGCAGAGAGAGAATGGTTGTGGTGTGCAGTTTGTCAACATGACACAGAGACAGAATGGTTGTGGTGTGCAGTTTGTCAACATGACACAGAGACAGAATGGTTGTGGTGTGCAGTTTGTCAACATGGCACAGAGAGAATTGTTGTGGTGTGCAGTTTGTCAACATGACACAGAGAGAATTGTTGTGGTGTGCAGCTTGCCAATATTAAACAGGGAGAATGGTTGTGGTGTGCAGTTTGTCAACATGACACAGAGACAGAATGGTTGTGGTGTGCAGTTTGTCAACATGACACAGAGACAGAATGGTTGTGGTGTGCAGTTTGTCAACATGACACAGAGACAGAATGGTTGTGGTGTGCAGTTTGTCAACATGACACAGAGACAGAATGGTTGTGGTGTGCAGTTTGTCAACATGACACAGAGAGAATTGTTGTGGTGTGCAGTTTGTCAACATGACACAGAGAGAATTGTTGTGGTGTGCAGCTTGCCAATATTAAACAGGGAGAATGGTTGTGGTATGCAGTTTGTCAACATGACACAGAGAGAATGGTTGTGATGTGCAGTTTGTCAACATGACACAGAGACAGAATGGTTGTGGTGTGCAGTTTGTCAACATGACACAGAGACAGAATGGTTGTGGTGTGCAGTTTGTCAACATGACACAGAGACAGAATGGTTGTGGTGTGCAGTTTGTCAACATGACACAGAGACAGAATGGTTGTGGTGTGCAGTTTGTCAACATTAGGCAGGGACAATGGTTGTGGTCTTCAGCTTGTCAACATTAAGCAGGAACAAAGGTTGTGGTTGTTGTGTGCAGCTAGCCAACATTAAGCAGGAACAATGGTTGTGGTTGTTGTGTGCAGCTAGCCAACATTAAGCAGGAACAAAGGTTGTGGTTGTTGTGTGCAGCTAGCCAACATTAAGCAGGAACAAAGGTTGTGGCTGTTGTGTGCAGCTTGCCAACATTAGGCAGGGACAATGGTTGTGGTTGTTGTGTGCAGCTAGCCAACATTAAGCAGGGAAAATGGTTGTGGTTGTTGTGTGCAGCTTGTCAACATTAAGCAGGAACAAAGGTTGTGGTTGTTGTGTGCAGCTAGCCAACATTAAGCAGGGAAAATGGTTGTGGTTGTTGTGTGCAGCTAGCCAACATTAAGCAGGGAAAATGGTTGTGGTTGTTGTGTGCAGCTAGCCAACATTAAGCAGGGAAAATGGTTGTGGTTGTTGTGTGCAGCTAGCCAACATTAAGCAGGGAAAATGGTTGTGGTTGTTGTGTGCAGCTAGCCAACATTAGGCAGGGACAATGGTTGTGGTTGTTGTGTGCAGCTAGCCAACATTAGGCAGGGACAATGGTTGTGGTCTTCAGCTTGCCAACATTAAACAGGGAGAATAGTTGTGGTTGTTGTGTGCAGCTTGTCAACATTAAGCAGGGAAAATGGTTGTGGTTGTTGCGTGCAGCTTGTCAACATTAAGCAGGGAAAATGGTTGTGGTTGTTGTGTGCAGCTAGCCAACATTAAGCAGGAACAAAGGTTGTGGTTGTTGTGTGCAGCTAGCCAACATTAAGCAGGAACAATGGTTGTGGTTGTTGTGTGCAGCTAGCCAACATTAAGCAGGAACAAAGGTTGTGGTTGTTGTGTGCAGCTAGCCAACATTAAGCAGGAACAATGGTTGTGGTTGTTGTGTGCAGCTAGCCAACATTAAGCAGGAACAATGGTTGTGGTTGTTGTGTGCAGCTAGCCAACATTAGTCAGGGACAATGGTTGTGGTCTTCAGCTTGCCAACATTAAACAGGGAGAATAGTTGTGGTTGTTGTGTGCAGCTTGTCAACATTAAGCAGGGAAAATGGTTGTGGTTGTTGTGTGCAGCTTGTCAACATTAAGCAGGGAAAATGGTTGTGGTTGTTGTGTGCAGCTTGCCAACATTAAGCAGGAACAAAGGTTGTGGTTGTTGTGTGCAGCTAGCCAACATTAAGCAGGAACAAAGGTTGTGGCTGTTGTGTGCAGCTAGCCAACATTAGGCAGGGACAATGGTTGTGGTCTTCAGCTTGCCAACATCAAACAAGGAGAATAGCTGTGGTTGTTGTGTGCAGCTTGTCAACATTAAGCAGGGAAAATGCTTGTGGTGTGCAACTTGCCAACATGAAGCAGAGAGAGAATGGTTGTGGTGTGCAGTTTGTCAGCATGAAGCAGAGAGAGAATGGTTGTGGTGTGCAGTTTGTCAACATGAAGCAGAGAGAGAATGGTTGTAGTGTGCAGTTTGTCAACATAAAGCAGAGAAAGAGTGGCTGTGGTCTGCAGCTTGCCAACATTAAGCAGGGAGAATGGTTGTGGTTGTTGTGTGCAGCTTGCCAACATTAAGCAAGGATAATGGTTGTGGTTGTTGTGTGCAGCTTGCCAACATTAGGCAGGGAGAATGGTTGTGGTTGCTGTGTGCAGCTTGCCAACATTGAGCCTGGAAAATGGTTGTGGTGTGCAGCTTGCAAACAATAAGCAGGAAGAATGAGAATTAATATATATTCTTTTTGGGTTCTGCTGGAAATTAGTGAGCATTGCAGGCCTGTCCTAGGAATAGAGATGGTGATTGATTCTTTACCGTAAACATTGCTTTTTCATGATAAAAATAACAGTGCAGCACATTAAGCCTTCACTTTACAGAGGACAAGTTCAAAATTGCTTGCTGAAAGTTTTCAATGTCCCGTTGTCTGCTGTGTCCTCTGATGTTTATTTACTTATGTCTCTTTCCCTAATGTCAGTATCGTCATGTAGTCTTTTAGTTATTAATCTTCTTCTTCTACAGCATTCAGAGCCCCTGAGTTTCACTGCTGCAGAAATCACCTTCTTCTATTTAACTCTGACTGGGCTTACTGGGGTGTCACAGCGACACTGGGGATAGGGGTCCTAGGTTCGCACCCTGACGGAGCTGGACTTTTTTAAAAAATGACCTTGCCTTCCAGCCTTGAGTGGGTACTAGGTGCAGTCCTGGGAAATAAAGGCAGCCGGCACAATGCTGACCCCATCACCCACTATGTGCCGATTGGTCTATAAAAATATAGGTCTAGCCCTTTTTTCCCAATACGCCCATAAGCATGGAAAAGAGTCCTTTACTGGGCTTACTTTCTATTTGGTGACTGTGTTTGGAGGGTATATCATTTAATTTAATCTCTTTTTCATATTTACACGGCAAAGCGGCTAAATTAAATAATATTTTATAAAATGGTACGAATCGAATCATCTTCTTCTTCTCTTCCACCATGTACCTCATCGAAGTGTCGGGGGGTGGGGGTGTAATGTTCTTTGATGTGCTCTGTCAAGAGCACTATTAACTCTTTGAGTCCCAAGGAACGCATCATACGTTCATATGTTCCTACCTAGAAGCCCAATGAACGCATGATGCGCCGATTTTATTACTTTCTTTACTACTCCCTGGGCCTGTGATGCTAAACCCCCTGGGACTCAAAGAGTTAAGACAGATTTTCATTTCTGTAAGGCTGTTCTTAATGCCATCACTCCATCTTTTCCAAGGTCTTCCACTCGCTCTATACCCGTTGTAACGTTTTAGTGTGGCGGATAGTACCAGGGCATTCTTGTTAGAATCATCAAGAATTTAAAATAAAAATGTCCACATATCACCCTTACAGTGGCAGTAGTATTAAGTATGAGGCTATCCTCCGAATAACGGTTCCAAATTATCGAGGCCAAAAATACCCTAACAGGGCCTCAGTCACATGTAAATTGCGGACCTCAACTGGTGACTACACAGCATACACCAAAAAAGCTTCCGCCGAGTTTAAGTCACTGCCGAGGTGTATCTCACGCGCCGAGCTAAACAGTAAACTAGATGGCTGGGACTCACGAGCAGCAGCTACCGCATCTGATGCATGCAGCTTTCTCCACTGTATTTGCTCGTGAGCTACGCGCGGCGAGGGAGATACTCTGGGCGGTGGCAGCATAGTCGCCAGAAAAGGGCCACAATATACATGTGACTGAGGCCCTGTAAGGGTATATTTTTGGCCTCGATAATTTGGAACCGTTCCGTTATTCGGAGGATAGCCAGTAGACTCCAACTACTTCTTACTTCTTACTACATCAGCAATTTTCATTTTATATTTTACTTTTACGGATTAACTGTGAACTGCAGTGGTGGGGTCCGATATCTCTATAAATTATATGATTTCGTACATAAACAATTACCTCAAAACCTGATCCCAATCGCTTTGCAGAATAAGACGATCTCTCGGAGTGTCCATTCTAGCGTTCTCACCGTGAAATCGAAAGTAGAATATCCGATTTATTTACGACTTACATGGATTTTCTAACACATTTAAACCTAATTTCTGGGAAAGCTAACTTTAACTTAACATATTATATTAGATTAAGGATTGATATAATAGAAGAACAGAAAGAATAAACCGATTTTAATTGAAATACGTTGTTTTTCTTTTAATATTTATTATTACGACTGCCTAATGCCAGAGAGCCGGAAGTGCTATTACAGTGTATAATAAACAGCCGACGTTTTGGCATTGACTAGCTGCTTGTAGAACAAGGGGAATAGTCAGTTATTTCAGACGCCTGTGAGGACAAGGACAGGATTCTTGCTTACTCAAACAGGTAAGATAGACTTAAATGCTGTCATCTTTTTGTGTGTGCAGGGTTTGCATGCAATGTCTGTATGGTGTAGCGTAGCAATGTCTGCAGTTTGTTTACAAAGCTGTCGATGACTTGGCCTCTCAGCTGTTTTGTAGTTAAGCAGTCAAGAAAGAGAACGCAATTTGTGGCAGAATAGTTAGTTAATACTATCTTAGCAGTTATAAGTGCAATGATTACTTTTGTTGTTTTCACAGTAGTATTATTACAGTCGGCAATTGTATGTTATAATATATAATATTGTAATTGTGATAATTTTTGGTTGCCACTCTATTCTTATTTTTGTTGATCAGGTTCATCTGCAAATGTAACAGTAACAGTCAGTAACCTTACTTACTTACTTAGTCGCTCCTCTTCTACCTTGGGGTGTAGAGGTTTGCCAGAGAGATCGCCAGACGTCTCTATCAGCAGTTTTCTTTCTGGCTTTGTTCCATTCCAGTCCTCTGTCAGTTAGGGACTGTCGGATGTTGTCTTCCCAGCGCACTCTGGGTCATCCCGGAGGTCTGGTTCCCTGGTTCTTAGCCTCCCATGCTTGCCATGGTGGCCGATTTTCTCCCATTCTGCATACATGTCCAAACCATCGTAACTGTGACTGATCTACTCGGGTTAGTAAGGGCTGGGTATCAAGATCTTGACGTATTGTCTGATTGCGGACTTTGTCCCTTCTTGTCACTTGGACCACCTTTCTCAGGTATCTCATTTCCGAGGCCTGCAGCTGGCTTCTGTGAGCTGTTGTCATTGCCCATGACTCACACCCATAGGTCAGGACTGGTACATAGGTAGAGCCATAAACAGCCATTTTCGTCCTCTTGCCAATTTCTCTTTTGCTAAGAAACCCTCGGTTTGTGGCCTGGAAGAGTCTCCCAGCAGCTGCTTTTCGTGTAGCCAGCTCAATTTTAATGCCTCCATTTTGGTCTAGTAAAACTCCAAAGTATTTGAACTGGTTAACCTGCTCCAACGCATACTGTCCCATCATGATCTGGTGTTTCTTCTCCTCTCTTGAGATCACCATGGTTTTAGTTTTGGAGACACTGATGGTCATCCCTTTCTTTTCAAGCTCTTCCTTCCAGACAAGTAAGTTTGACTGAAGGTGTGCCTCTGATTTAGTTATCAGGGCCACATCGTCTGCAAAAGCCAGCTCTGATATACAGACTGGTCTCATCTTCCAGTACCCTACTGTGTACTTCTTTGTCTTCTCCTTACAGGTCTTGATGACATCATCCATCATAAGAATGAAGAGGTAAGGTGAGAGAATATCACCTTGTCTAACACCGCTGGCGGTCTTGAATTCTTCTGACTTTTGGTCTGCTGTTCTTACATAATTTCTGCACCTTTTGTAGAAACTCTGTATTGCACTGATCAGGGGTGTTGGGATGTTTTTCCCTGCCAAGCAGTCCCAGAGCTTGTTCCAGGGTACCTTGTCAAATGCCTTTTCCAGATCCAAAAAACATAAGTGCATCTCACTCTTATATTCCAGGGCTTTTTCACTCATCTGTCTCAGTGTGAAGATAAGGTCTTGAGTACTTCGGTTTGCTCTGAAGCCTCATTGGGCCTCGTCCAGCTGTGGCTCTACCAGACTTCTAAGTCTCTACTCAAGAATTCTAGAGTAACTTTTACCGGGAACGCTGAGGAGGGATATGCCTCTATGGTTTTCACATTGTCTGTTATCACCTTTTTTAAATATAGGTATAATGATGGCAATCTCCCAATCTTTTGGTATAGTTTTGCTACACCAGGCTGCCTGGAGAACCTTCAGTAGAAGGCGCTCACCTTCGACTCCCATATATTTGACCATCTCTGGTGTTATACCATCATGACCTGCTGCTTTTCCCAGCTTAATCTTCTCAATAGCTGCCTTCAATTCTTCCATCCTGATGTTATCTTCCCCATGATTGAATTCCTTCTCAGCAGTGAGGTCCATTATTTCTGGGTCATGACTTCCCTCAACGCCGAGGAGCTCTGAGAAGTATTCTTTCCATCTACCCATGATATCATTTGTAAAAGTAAGCAGAGCTCCTTCCTTGTCTTTTATGAATTTAAGTGGGCACTCTTTCTTCTTCCTCATGTTCTTAAGGGTCTTGTAGAACAGTTTTTGGTTTTCTCTTGCATTCTTTTCCAACTTTTCTCCAAACTCTTCCCATGATTTCTGTTTTGCTTTAAGCACAATATTTTTGGTCTCTGTTCTGAGTGCCACATATTGTTTATATTTCTCTATTTCTTCAGCTGTGCTCCTGGCTGCCAGGTATTGCTTCCATGCCCTTTTCTTTTCTCCTATTTTCAATTTGACTTCTTCCGTCCACCAAGGTGTCCTATGTCCCCGCCCTCCACTTGGGACTTTACCACATGCTTCTACGGCAGCTGCTGTGAGGATATTCTTGAATCTGCACCAGAGGGTTTCAGTGTCCTCTGATGATTCTTCTTCAGTTCCTATTGCTTTCACTATTAGCTCCTGGTATCTAGCCTTAATATCTGGCTCTCTTAGCTTGTATGCTTTAATCCTCATCCCTTCTTGGTTGCTTGGTTTCTTGCATAGTTGTCGGTGTTGCCTTGTTGGAGCAGTTCTTTCAGTTGTTCTCTTTATTGTGACCAGATAGTGGTCACTTCCAATCTCTGGTCCTCTCATGACTCTGGCATCTCTCACAAACTTGAATGAACTTTTCCTAACTATGGCGTAGTCAATGATGGATTTTTCATTCTTTGAAGGTTCACATCTTGTGTATGCATGTATACGCTTGTGGGGGAATTTTGTGTTTGTAATGACAAGGTTCTGTTCCCTGCAGAATCTGAGAAGTCGCTTGCCATTATCATTCAAAACATCTTCACCATATCTCCCGATCACTCCACCCCATCTAGAGTGATAATTTCCTACTCTGGCATTTATATCTCCTAGAAGGATAATTTCATCGTGACAGTCATCTATGGTCCTTTGGAGCAGTTCAAAGAATTCTTCTTTAACATCTACTCGTTCATCTTCATTTGGCCCGTACACAATGACAAAATTGACAATTTTATCTTCTTCTTTCAGATCTAACACCATTATTCGCTCTGAGATGAATTTCCATCCCTTGATGTTACTAACTTGATTCCTGGCCACAATACAACCAACACCTCCCTTGGCTCTCTCCGTCATAGGGACACCACTGTAGAGCAGCATACTTCCATCGTGATCTGTGATTCCTTGCCCCTTTTTCTTGGTTTCAGTCAGAGCCAAGACTCCTAATTTTGCTTTCCTCATCTCCCCTACTAACTCGTTTTCCTTTCCGTTAATGCCTCTTATATTCCATGTTCCATAAATCGTAGTCCGTAAGCCATGCCAGTTCGCCGCCGTTAAGATCCGTCCGGTTTTCTCTCTGTAGTTACTTGTAATCGTGGTTTAAGGCAAACAGGTGATTGGCCTGTTGTGCCTTTGCATGGTGGAGAGGCTGCCTCCTTGCGGCCTCCATGCAGGCCGTCTGGCTGATTCACGGTTACCCACTACTTCCGGAGACGCATGAAGCACTCAGGTTCAGCCAGACCCTCCTCCTTTTACAGCCGGGCTTGGGACCGGTCTTAGCGGAGTTCACAGTCAGTAACCAAACCTATTATTACGAATATAAAGAGAATGATAATATTTGTTTTGCTGTTTCTTAAATTCGAGAACGTTTCTTAAATTCGAGAATAATCTGGATTTAAGTATACTACGTTTATATCTTTATAATGTATACTAAAGATTATGAAAAATGATTTTAGGGTTATTGGTGGGTCATTTCACAGCCAGCTTGATCCAGTTGTCCAGCAGTTGATGCAGTTATCTTTTTCTTTGTTTCATACTTTTTAGCAGCATAACTTTTAAATTCATATAAACTTACATTTGCTTCTTTAGGTTTTCCAATAACAGCTACGTATAGCAATATGAATTAGCATTACTACATCACAAAACAAATCTTTTTCTGATCATTGAAATATTTATTTATGGCATTTGCTGTACTTAATGCACAGTACCAGGAGTATTGAGAAAAAACCAGGCTATCCTCCGAAAAATGGCCACATATTATGGTGGCCAAAAACACACCCTGACAGGGCATCGTTAGGTCCTGTGTTGTAAACATTCAAAAACTTGAACTCGAAAATGATGAGGAATGAAAAAAAGGGAAAATGATGAAATCAACTACTTAACAATAATTGAGACCTTTATATCTGAAAATAGTGGCACTGATGTTGCAAATAATGCCCGAAAATCTGCTCTTTGTGGCTGTGGCGCCATGGAAACTTGGCTAAATATGATTGGTGCCGCATTTGTAACGCAATTTTCACCACCGAGAGTATCTCCCGTGCCGCCCAAAGCGGCATGGATAGGGGGCTAAACAGGATGGCTAGGACTCACAAGCAAATAAATTGGAGGAAGTTGCAGGAGATGCGGTAGCTGCTGCATGTAGCGGCGCAGGGGAAACGCTCGGCAGTGAGTTTAATTGGAAGAACACTATCGCTGACCTGCGTCGGAGCGTGTGGTCTCCCCGCCATGTCACCATTATTGTGTGTATTGTTACGTTTCTCAAAATTGTCAACAGACAGTAATCCTAGTTTTCCGTGATGTGTTTGTCAGAGGAAGTCCGCAATTTACATGTGATTGAGGCCCTGTCAGGGTGTGTTTTTGGTCGCCATAAAATGTGGCCGTTATTCGGAGGATAGCCAAAAACCAGATAACTATGAAAGGATTTCTAAAGTGGCATCTATTCATTGCACATTTTCTAAGAATTTCCTTCAGCTGTCTCATTAAAGTGTATTTTTGTTGAGGGGAAAAATAATAGGGGGTGGGTAATAAGGATCTTCTGTTTGCTCTTTCTGTTTCATTTCATAAGTTGATCCTTGTTGCTTTTGCATTTTGTTCTTCCTCTGTTTATAATATTTCTTCAGCCTGGCTATATTTTAGTTAGTACCAGGGCGTTCTTATCAGATGGCCAGTCTCAGTTGCTCCTTCTTAACTCTTTTTGGATTTAGCCCCACTTAAGGAGCTTTTGATTGCATCCTGTTCTGACTTATTAAAGTAATATTGTTTTGTTTGCTGGAGAAAGAGGGGTTAGGGTTAGGGCCAGCCAGTTTTACATGTTTTGGGGCTGTTTCAAGCGCTGATATCGTTGAATATAAAACATATGGCATGCTGTTGGCCGTTGACTAAGCCATGCTACACAGCGAGGCATGAATTGAAAGGGAAGTCACTCTTTTTCTGCGGCGGAAATCGTAATAAGAACCTCCTGGTGATTGTAACGATGAAAGAGAATCTGTCATTATTGCCAGTTTAAGGGGGGGGGGGGGGGGGGGTTTCCTGCTGTTATCTCTAAGGCTTTCATTATGCCGACTAGCTCGGCTGTAAAAACTGACGGATGATGATCTGTAATTTTAAAGGATTTTTATATTATCCAATAAGGAATATAAACTGCTGCTCCTACTTCTCCTTTCTCATTTGTAGATAATCAGGCTATCTGTTTAATATTTCTATTGTGCTCCTCTGCTATGGTCCTTATTTGCAGTGGATCAGTGAAATTTGTTTTGCCAGGCTCATGTCTACATATGGTGGTTTCAATTCCCATATTGGAATTATATCTTTTACTTAGTTCAAGTATCCTTGCTAGTTCATTATTAGTTTTTATTTTTACTGCAGCTTCCCATGCTGCTGGCCTAAGAATATTTCTTATTGACCCCACCTTGAACTTGTTTGTATTGGTGTTAAAAGTTGGAGATGCTGGATGGTTATGTTTGTGTGCAGTCTGAAGTCAGTAATTGTAAAATAATTGCTTCCTTCTAATATTTAACGGTGCTGTACCTAGTACTACTTTCATTGCATTGCTTGGTGTGCTTTTACCAATTCCAATTCCTTTTAAGAAAAAATAAAAATACTCAACCACGTTCAACCTGCTGCTAGCTAGCCGAAGCTGCCAAAAGTCATCGGCTATATTTGTGGTCTTGTTTATTTGCGCCACTTTCGGGGCTGAAGTTCGTAAGAGAGCGATCTTTCAACATAACATCATTTGGATCACCATTTATAGTTTTAAAATTTTGAGTATTTTACTTTGCTAAAAAGTACTGAAAACAGTTCTTGGGTTTGGATAGATCCGAAATATGAAAATATTCCACGTGTGACCATAGTGGTCTTATAGTTGTCTTCCTGCAATAAGAACAGGTAAATCATGTCATGGAGATGTGTGTGAAATGTTAGGTGGGGCCTCACAAGGATTCTATCCATCATTTGTTATAGTGTGATCCGATTGTGTCAGTTTGGGTTGGTAGCTAAGCTTGGGTGTACGTAAATAACAGATCCATATCCCTAGAGCAAGTTATTATTTTACTGTATAATATGTCATTCTCTGTTACCATCTGTATCATTACAGCAGCAGCTGTGACTAGAGACCACACAACAATGTGGTCACTCAAACGAAAGAGAGAGAGAGAAATTAGGGTATGTCATGTCATGTTATTGTTGTTTTTAGAAAGGTATGTTTATAAGATCTGAACATCAAGGAAGATTGACCAATAAACAGCATCTTGTCTCAGAAGCTGAAATATTTTAGTCATATCAAGCGCCACAACGGATTGGAAAAAGGTAATAGCAGAAGATATGGTACCAGGAAGGAGGGGCAGGGGCCAACCAACACGAAGATGGGCACAGGATAAAAGAGACTACTTTAATATGAAAGTATATGAGGCGGGAGAGCTGGCGGAGACTGAGTTTCTTTCTGGCAGACCGTGATGAGAGTGACGTTCTGCAAAGCACCTGCTACATAGTGATGATGATGATGAGAAAGGTACGCTGTACCAAGGTATATATCTTATTGTATTTGTTTTTAGAAAGGTATGTTATGTCATGTAACATGTAAAGTGATTATTATTTTTTTCACTATGTTCTTTTTTGTGTGTGGGTTTTAGGGCTCCTTACCAAGAAGCATGCCATAAAAGGCAGTTGGTTAAGGTTGTTTCCTTTTGTACAGGACAGGAAGGCACAGAAAGTCCTCTCTGAAGCCTCGTGTGCCACTAGGCATAAAGAGAATTGAAGTGAAGAAGAAGTTTCCTTCAAAGTCTTGAGTGATTGTGCCTGAGGGGCGAGGAACCAACAGTCTGCATATAAATAATCCAGATCTTTAAAATGGATGTGCATGCAGAACTTAAGGTCTAGAACAGAGCTGTTCAACTGGTGGCCTGCGGACGAAATCCAGCCCACAGAGGCCTAACAATTGGCCCGCAGATTGCCTGCCAATTGTATTATATTAGTGACCTTTCTATGCTAGGACTTGGGCCTCTGTCCCACAGTGATCCCCATTTTCCAACCGTAGTAAACACAGTTGAATGGCCCTGATCTAGAACATGACTACAGTTCAGAAGCAGACCAAAAGCCAGAACTTTCAGCCAGAATTTACAGCCGCTGAATGCTAAGAAGGAAGCTGTGTCAGATCATATAACAGTGCCATGCTATGTTTATTTTTAAAAGCTGTGTCATATTATACAACAATGCTTTTAATTGGTTAAAAACGAAAAACAAAATTATAGATTTTCTGAGTACTGCAATGTAATCTGGTAATCCTAGTTCCAGCTTCATAGCAAACGGGTCACCCCATAGTGACTGCAATGTGTTTCTGATGTGCATTAATATTAGAGAAGAAAGAAAACATAACATCTAAATGAATGGCTACATTGAACTGTAACTGCTGACATTCATTAGCTTGAGCCTGCGAAGAATAGAAGGATTTAAATGGTATAACAGAATCAAAAAATTGGAATTTGAGGAAATAACTAAACAAAATCATATGTATCAGAAGTGAGAGGAAAGGCACTATCGCTTGATAGGGCATGCATTGAGAAACCTTGAAAATAATATAACTTCTTCATCGCTGCTGTTTGGTCGTTCACTGAATCAACTAAAGGCTATAAACAGGGATGTCATCTCAAGGTATCTTTTTTTTCTTTCTGCAAAGCTTAGTTTTCGGGTTTACTGGGTGTGGCCACAAGTTGATATAATGTAACAAAAGTGTCCTTGCAGTGAACATATAGGCCCAGAAGTATAAATGGAAATACAATAAAAAAAAATTTGAGAATTAGGAACAGGTAAAAAAATTTATTTGAAATTTTGGAACCTTAAACATTGATGGTAAAGATTTGAGAATAATAAAAATTGTATACTGGTAACAAGAGGCAGCGTAACTATTGACAACCAAGTTGAAACTTTTCAAAACTTTAAACAAGGCGTTAGAAGGAATGTGTACCATCACCTGATTTATTCAATTTGTACAGTTAAATAATAATTAGATCCATTCATGATATGCCATAAATATTGGTAGGTAGGCATATAGTTAACTACCTGCGATATGCTGACGATAAAGTTTTGTTCGCTGAAGATGTAATACAACTACAAGAAATAATACATATAATTGTAACAGAAAGTGAAAACAATCGTCTGATTTTGAACAGCGTAAAAACAGAAGTAATGGTAATTAGAAAGAAAACTGACCCTCCAAAATGCAACATCAAAGTAAATGGGACAAACCTCAATTAGGTTGATATGTTTAAGTACTTGGGTACCCAAATGGAAGATGTATCAAAGAAGTTAAATAGAATATCTCAAGCAAAAGCAGCATTTTACAAAATTAGGAATATTTTATTGCAATCTTTCTTTGTCAGATGAGAGGGGGGGGGGGGGGAAATTATGAATGAGATTAGTGATAGCAACGATTTGAAGTGATCAAGACATTTGCCTCACACTGTGAAGGCCGTGGGTTCATTTCACAGATGCATCGTTTAGTTCACGGGTGCGGTTTATATGGAGGTCTGGGAATCATCACTGGAACTGTGGAGTTAGTTATGGTGCTGCTGTGTTGCAGTGAGACCAAGCCAGATGGGATCAAATCTGGTGCATTGAAGTCGATCCTCTCAAATTTAAATAAGTAAGGATGACATATAGTTTTTCGCATGTAGATTTAATTATGTTAATGACATATTTTTATTTTATCTAGGATACTGTGAATGTAAAATTCCAGCGCCAGGAGCAGGTTACGCGTGAATTAGTTAACCGTCTTGGATTAGAAAAAGAGTTGGAGGTAAAAAGCTGTATTGTTAATGTGTAACAGAATGTTTTTTTTTAGCATCGCTGTTTATGAAAATAATGCTTTACCAGTAAAGTTTAGCAATTTACTACAATTGCCTCTATGTGAAATCTGAAGGGCAGGCTTTTGTCAAAAATGAAACCCAGGTACCTCAGTTTGCTTTCTCTTTTGATTTTTCACCTTACAACATTAGCTCTGAAAATCCTGTTGTCCAGAGTGCACCATAAAACAGCAGCCTTTTCCCGGTTGATGACAGCACCCATCTCTGCATACCATTCAGTCACTTTGTCTACGGTTACCTATATCTGTTAAGTTGTTTGTTGCCTGTAACCTTTCCACTCCCTTACCTATAAGCAGGAACATTTTCTATGAATTCTTCTACACCAGGTGCCTCAAGTAGTTCTATAAGTATGTATATTGAAGAGCACCAAGGGATTTGCATGGTTATGAAGTCCATGTAACTAGATGGAGGGCAACCCTATATTTTAAAAGGCCATTCAGCACTTGGCGGAAGATATTGTCAGTATTACACTCGTTGTCTTTACTTCCCAAAATATTTAAGGGTTTACTGGATTGTTGTTTATGTTCACTCGCCGTAAACGTCGGCTAAAAGACCTGCTTGTTCGTCCATTTCTGGACCTCAGCTTTGTTCCTAAGTTTCCTGAGTTTTGCAGGGGCATCCATTTTACCGATCTTGCTTATTTGTATGCAGACTGTTGGTTCCTTGCCTCTCATGTAGATGCACTCCACCTTTGAACGAAGCCTCTCCCTCCGGCCCTCTCCCATTAGTGACCTCTTAAGACATGCTTGTTGCGTAAGCAACACAATGGGACCCCAGAACCCATGCAGGGAATTTTAGCTGGGTTGTCGTGGAAGCCCTTGTCAGTCTAAATCAGATCGCTGTCTTGGTAACAATGGGATAAAAATCAGTACTAAACTACATCGAGAGACAACAGATCAAATGGTTCGGAGATGTGTTAAGGTTACCACCAGATAGTGCATGACAGACAGCCATGTCACTTAGACATAATGAGCTAGAGGTAGACCATGCAAACAGTTGGCTGATGAAATATCCGAGGCCATAAGAAACCAGCGTCTGCGTAGCACATGCCAAGACTTACACCTGATGCTGAAAGGCAGAACAGGACTAGAGAAGAAGAAGAAGACCACAGTAGCACAGCAGGCAGAAATGCTGGTCACAGTTTATCACTGCTTTGATGATATGCTATAACTATTTATAACCATGTGCTAATTTTAGAATTCATCAGTATAGTATAATGGCAGTGCTTATTTTCACAGGGTCATGGTGGGTGTGTAAACTGTTTGGAGTGGAATGAAAGGGGCAGGTATGTTTCAGTTTAATTCTTCTTCTGTTTATAATCCATGCAGTGTGGATGTTGATAGTCATATCAGCCCGCAACCTTCTGTCTTGTGTATTAATATTCAGTTTTGACACATATGATGCTGTGATGTTAAGCTGTCTTATGTCATCTCTCTCGGTATCCCTCTGCCTCTTTTGTGCTCCAGTCTCCTGCTTCTTACCACATGACACAAAAATGTAGATTGTCACCTTCTATTAAATTCTTTCTTAAAGACTCTTTTCCACACCTTGTGACGTATTGTGTATATAGGGCTAAACCTTTATAGTGTAGACCAATCGGCACTTGGTGGGGGATATGGTCAACCTCATGTTGGCCACCTTTACTTTCCAGGACTGCACCTGGTACCTACTCAAGGTAATTTTTGAAGAAAACCCGGTTCTATCAAGACCTAAACCCACGACCTTCTGATCTACAGGTGAGCATTTAGCTGCTACACCTCATCGACTCACCTTCAGTTGAATCGTCTTTCATTAATTACAGAAGCTTTGTTTCTCTATATCTACTACTAACTATTCTGGCTTAGTGAATGGTATAAACCAGATGTTAGATATAAGCATATGATCATCATAATTATCAAGTGCATTGCAAGGAATTGATTTGGCCCAACTGTTGAATTTTTCCATGTTAACCTTTGTTATTAACAGTATTGTCCTATAGCCCTAAAGTACAACTCAGAAGCCTTATTACAAACTTTTGATAACAGTCTTACAAGGAATCTTTAACCCATCAAAGATGAAAACAGGGAGAATGGAGAGAGGGGGAGAAAGTGAGCAACAATGAAATTCATAATCTTTTCAACTCTTTGGATTCCAGGGGGTGGATTAGTATCAGAGGCCCAAGGGTTGATAATACAATTTTGAAATGTCACAAGTGGGACACATTAAAACAGTCCATACTGATTCAACTGCAGTGCAACATACACATATTGTAGTACATCAAAATAATGCAATGCAACATACACATATTATACATCAAAATAATGCAGTGCAACATACACATATTGTGCATCAAAACAATGCAGTACAGCATACACATATTGTACATCAAAAATAATGCAGTGCAGCATATACATACTGTACATCAAAATAATGCAGAGCTACATATATATATTGTACATCAAAATAATGCAGTGCAGCATATACATAATCTACATCAAAATAATGCAGTGCAACATATACATATTGTACATCAAAATAACCAGGGATTGTTGAGAAATAATGTTAGAATACTGCTACAGAAATAAATTATGTTATTAGTTTATTATTATTAAATAAACAAATGGTATGTTTAAAGAAATTAGAAACGTGACAAAATAATCTTTCTATTTACCACCATGGAACTCAAGGAAAACTCAATAAAATATGTCCAAAATGAACCACAAATAAATATGAACCACTTAGTAATGTATAAATAAAATTTAAACATAATCTATCTATTAGATCTTGTTCTAGAGACATTTTTAGAACATCATAACAGAGAAAATTTTTTTTGGGTAAACAGACTTCCCAAAACAATTAGTATTTTCACACAATAGCGAACTTTATTTAACACTCATTTTACCTGTAATTTTATAGCCTAGGTTCCTGAATAATAAGGGAATCACACTAGATCTATCTGGCACTGAAGAATATTGCTCTTTTCACTAATATTTATTATCTTTGTACCGGCTGACTTTGTTGTCGTCGTACGCTCTGCGTGAGGTATATATCATCAGAGACTCTATCAGGGACTGAAACAAATCTGCTTTGTAACTTTCTTTGTCTAGCTTTAAATAAATCTGATAAATGCCTGTTTTATTTAAATTTGAGGCTTCTAAAGTCATAAATCTTGTTGGCATGCATGAAGAAGTCTGCTTGTAGGCCATATTGTTTTCACAAAGACACTTAGTAACCTAGTAAAGCTCACAAACATGCTACATTTTATGCTTTCACCAAACTTATGAATAAGCCTAATGGTCAGCACATGTGATCGAACACAAAGAGCAGGTAATGCCATTCAGAACTGCCGGTTTGCATTGTTATACTGGCCAGTGTTAAATTAACAACCAGTACGTGTGAGGCGCTGATTGGGCAGCTGGGTAGTAATTGATTAGCGCATGAGGCATTCCTTGGGACTCAGAAAGTTAAATCACCAGTCATTTTAGGCATCATGAGTGCTGCTAGACTGCAATGATCAAGGCGTGCAGAGAGAACTGCAGGCGACAGGAACAGGAAGTGCACACACAAAGGATTTGAATGGGAGTAGACAGCAAAGCAGCAGTATACCTCAAGGTGCATAAGTGAGACTTTTACTGCCAATATTGGTGTATTTTCATTGATTTATTCAGTAATTGAAGATGTCATTTGTTATAAAGTTTTGTTCTCTCCACACAGCATTTTGGTCAGTGGCTCAGATGACCTTCATGTGATTCTCTGGGATCCATTTAAATACAAGATTTTATCCAAAGTGAGAACTGGACATCAGGGCAACATCTTTTCAGTGAAAGTAGGTCTTCATTTTTGTATTTGTATAGAAAGAGAAAGAGAGAGAGAGAGTGTGTGTGTGTCAGAGAAAGAGTGTGTGGGTGTCTGAGAGAGAGAGAGAGAGGGAGTGTGTGTGTGTCTGAGAGAGAGAGAACGAAAAAACTACATTTTTTTAAAGGTTTAGAATTGGGCACACAGGCTCTTATAACATTCTGTGCTTCTAGTCTCTCTCCTTTCATATATCATTTCATTCATACATGAAGTAATAGTAAATATTGTCAACAGCATCAAAATATTCAGTGCAAGCGCTGGAACATGTACAGTTCTAACTACAGTAAATCGAAGGAAATGTATTAAATCTAGGGAAAATTTGCACTTTTTCTAAAGAGAGAGAGAGGTAGTTAGGAGTCTAGGTGACTGCCAGTGTGTATTGTCAGTGGTAAACTTTATTAGTTTTCATCATTAGACAGTTTACGGGTTCTGTAAATGTCCTGTCCACAGATCTCAGTCCTTGGTGTTCTGTTGTGGTTGCATTGATGATATTCCTCCATGTCACCGTCGTAAGCCATCCAGCCTCATTTCCTTTGACTTGCCTTTGCCTCTTCTGCCACTTTTCAGACATCATGATGTTTTTCTTACTCTCCGTGTTCACCAGCTGTAAACTCTGGCGGAAAGTTCTGGTTGTTTGTCAACTTCTGGATTGCTGTCCTGTTCCAGAACCTGAGTGTTGTGTGTGTATCTGTTTTTCAGATCTGACTCATTTGTATGCAGACTGCTGGTTCCTTGCCTCTCACGCAAATGCACTCCGACTTCGAAGGAAGCTCCCATATAGTTGACTCTTACTCCATGCTTTTGGGTAGGCAGTGGGTCTGTTCTTGTTTTCCCTATAACAGGGCCCCGGAACCCACACGAGGAATGATGTTCTATAATGCCTTTTTTGTGTGTGTGCTTATCACATAACTAAAGAACTGTCTTATTTACATTTAATGTTCTGTGTACATCAGCATGTTAACTGGTAACTAGTTAGTTGCCCAGGCTGTCCAAGGTATTTTCTAAACACTCATCACAGGAACCACATTTCTGCTGCCTCCAGTCTCTGAATAATTTGTTGGTTCACATTCCAGGATTCACTTACCATACACAGGTACAGGTTGGACATCACACTTCAGCATTGTCTTTCCCACAGTGAATGAGAGTGACTTGTTGTACAAGATATTTTTAATCTTCTGGAGTGGAGCTTTTGCTTGACCTGACCTGTTATTCTTCTCTTTCTTGCGTCCTCTATCTGATGGCAGGGTGACCTCTTCTTTGCATCTTCCATCTGATGTAATGGTCTGATAAGACTGGATGCACAGGAGTGATTCATCATCATCATCAGGTGTCTTGACGACTGGCATGGGCGATCATGCCTTTCCACAATCTGCAATCTCCTGCAGCGTGTATCATTTTGTGTGCTGACCCACCTCCAGACTGTCAAGAATCTTCTCTCATTGTCTTCCTCTATCCCTCCTGCCACAGATCTTTCCAGTGGTCACAACATGTTCCATTTTCCCTCTTCTCATAACATGGCCAAAAAATTATGACAAGTCTCCTTCTGATGTCTGTGATAAGTTGCCTTGGCCTCCCGCCTCTTTCAAAACCTTTTAGTTGCTCTTTTTGGCTGTCCAAGGTATTTTAAGCATTCTTCTGTAAAACCACATCTCTGAGGCCTCAAGAAATTGTTTGGCCTGCCTACTGATTGTCCAGGACTCACAGCCATATGTTAAAACTGGATGTATGTAGCGAGCAAAAATTCTTTTTCTAACCCTCAGTGACAAGGATATATTGCATAAGATGTTCTTCACCAGTATATGCTAAAAAAAGCATTTATGTGGGGGTTTTTTTCTGGGAAGAAAACAGTTTTGTTAAATAGAAATTACAAAATCATAGATTCCGATTATACATACTTTTTACCCAGCAACCGGGTCATGGAGTCACAAGTAAGTCAGGATAAAAAATGCTTTTGGCTTGAAGAGATGTAAACCTGTTGATTCTCTGCTGGGTTCATATTTACAAATTACTCCTCCTATTCTGTAAAAAAAATGTGCTGTCTCCACAGTAAAGGTTGGCAATAGTTCACCTCTGTCTTCTTCTTTGTGTTCACTGGCAGTAAACTCCAGCGTAAAATTCTGGTTGTTTGTCCACTTCTGGGCTTTGGTCTTATTCCAGAACTTGAGTTTTACATGCACTTCCGTTTTATAAATCTGGCTTATTTGTAAGCTATTAGTTCCTCGTCTATGGCACTCAAAGGATACACCCATAATTAGTTGTCTTTTACATCATGCTTGTTAGGGGCCAGTGGGGTTCCCCCCTCCCCCCCCCCCCCCAATGGAGCAAGAAACCTACATGGGGACACAATTGTTGTCTTTGAGCAAATTATTTGGCGAGGCCCCTGTCTTTTCCACAGCACAACTCTTATCATGAAATTGTTGACTGCATTCGCTAACATCCAAGCCATGGAGCCACACAGTTTATATTGTTTTGGCCCATAAATGAAAATGTTAGGATTTTTATGACCTTTTTGGAATTTCCAAAATATGGGTTATTAGTTTTGCCATTTTTATAGGTCACTAGGGTGAAAGGGTAAACTTAGTGATGCACATGGTAGGTTTAGTTATTTCATCCTTTGCATCCTCTATGCACCCACATTACACATCAGTGATTTTATTGAATTTTAATGTTTTTCTGTGAGTGCATAGAAATATCTTAACATTTTATACTTTTCCTGTGTCAATAAACTCTTCTGTTATCTCTAAAACATTTAGTTCTTGCCACACTCAAATGACTCACTCATTGTCACTGGAGCTGCAGACCATCGCATCAGTGTTCATGACCTCAACAGGAAAGAGACCACACATGTGTTTGCCTATCATCTTGGCCGGGTGAAGCGTATTGCCACAGCTCCAAATATCCCTTACATTTTCTGGAGTGCAGCAGAAGATGGCACTATTATGTGAGTTGGAGTTTGTGGTTATATTGTCTGTGGGTTACAGTGTGAGTAAATGTAGGGTTGTTGTCTACTTTTTTTCATTTCTTTCTTTAAAAAAAAAATAATTGTTAATAGCCTTTGGCATTGGTAGTCATTTCCAAGACTTTTTTCTAGACAAAAAGGTGACAATTCTCACCACAAAATATCTATTGCAGTAGAATTGAAAAAAGAAAAAGGAGGATTAAGAAGGTACTGGTAGTGTGGTGTACCATTGCCTGCCACCAGAAGAATAGCCCTAATCATGTCTGTCCTCAGACTTCTGTCTTGTGTGCTATCAATCTTTTTGTGTGTGTGTGTGTGTGTGATGATCATTCATTGTCATAATGCCACATTTGCTAGTACCTTCTATCTTGGCCTTCCTCTGGTTTTCTTCCTCTCCAGCTTTCCTGTTGTCACAAAATACTATAGTTGTCTTCTCACAATGGTCCTAAAGAAAATAGATTGTGTCCTTTTTCTTAGCATTCACTGGCTGTAAACTACAGGATATAAAGTTCTTATTTTGTCTACTTCTGGACTTTAGTCTTGTTCCAGAACTTGAGTTTTGTGTGCGCATCCGTTTTACAATCTTGATTCACTGGAATTTTTATATTTTTTTTTACTTAAGGTCCACTAGAGTGATTCTGTATTTTTATTTAATTCCAGTTTGTTCTGGGTGATTTGCTTTTCCATTGTAGTTAATGTTTCAGTTGATCTTTGATTTAATTCCAGGCAATTTGATCTGCGCTGTACCAGCACAACCACTACTACGCCTAACAACGTCCTCATTAACCTAAATGCTCACATGGGCCAGTTTGCTGAAGCAAAGTGTCTGGCTATCAACCCACTGAGGCCAGAGATGTTGGCTGTCGGAGCGAATGACCCCTACGTCAGGGTGTACGACCGCAGGATGTTGAGCTGTACCAGCATGCGGATACCTTCAGACAATGTTAACAGGTATTTTTTCTTTCTTCAATCTTATTGGTATTTTAAATCTTTGTAAAAATTAGTTGCAGGGGAAATGCTTAGTGAATGTCTCTGGTCAGAGATAGACGGGCCGATTTAGCACATGCAAAATATCTTTAACCTTATCTCCCTGAGAAAGCCATTTTTTCAGCTTTTGCAGGTTTTTGATGACATGAAGTCTTTGTGCAGTGGTCACTACACCTGTTTAACAGGTTTGGAAGGGGTTGTGACTGCATGGTGTGTAGACATAGTCGACATGACATGTTACAAAATAAAAATTACATGTTATTTGAGATGGAGAAAGTCACATAAAATAAAATAATTCTGATGTCACTGTTTACCTCACAATAATCTCATTTGGATGTCATTTTTCTCCATACGATGAAGTCAACACAACCATGTTTATTAAGTGTCAGATAGAAGGAAAGCAGTTAATTCTCTGCTCCATTAGTCTTTAATGATTAGTTTCTGATTGAAATTGTTTTAATGTTTTTAATAATATGAATTTAAAAAACAACTTTTATGGATTTTTTTTTAATTTGATGGCCACCATGTGGGAGTGGTCATCCACTCTTGATTGTTTACTACCTGACCATAGGTTTCCACCTTCTGGATTTTTATAAAAACTGCTTCTTCTCTTTGTCCAGTTTCATAAGGTCGAGTTTCAGAAATTTCTAAGGAAGTGTTTCTTGTTAATGCAGTTTTTAGAAAGATCATTTTTAAAGATTCTAACAGGGCAGCAGGGCTGAAACTGTCTTTGCTGTTTGTCTTTGCCAATTGGGGGAAGAGGGGGGATCTTGAGTCTAAAGATTTAAGACTGCATGGCTAGCTCAGTTGTCGTGGCCTGTGCATGTTAGGATTTAATTTTGCCCATACAGGAAAACCCCATCACCTTACCATGGGTTTGAACATAGGTCTGCTGAACAAGAGCCCAGTGTTCTTAACGTCTCAGCAGGATGTAAGACCTAATAAGATAAGAATGCAGAAACATTAAGATACTAATACAAACAGACAAGTTTCTTTTGCATGCTTGGACATGATATGAAAGAAAGATTGCAAAATCTAGCAGTCGGTTGACTAAAAAGAAGCAGTTTCCTACACCAGGTCCATCGACTGTGCTGTCAAACCAGTGATCTGCCTACAGCTGTGAGCTCCTTAAATGCTATTCCAGACGGGACCCCCTGGAGAGAGGACTATAAGTTGCCAGTATACGTCCAGGCAGAAGTGAAAGGAGTATTCGACAAGGAAGAGCAACACCAGATGCTGTATAAAACAGCCACCCTCAGTTTACTTGATGATGAATACTCACATGATCTTTTGGTTCTCGTCTACATGGGTGGGTCAGCAAACAGAAATGTAGGAGAGGAGTGTACATTGAACATCCAAATAACACCAGATTTACAGCCAAAATGCCAACAGGAAAGCACTGTCACAAGAAAGCAGCAGAGAAACTGTGAAATACCGGCACAAGATGATTACCATATTATGGACAGACCAGAGCAAGTAATTATTTTAGCAGTTAAGAACAGGACACAATCGACTACGCAGCCACATGTACACAGAATTTAAGATTGGCGAATTACCCATGTGTGCATGTGGATTGGCACCTGAGATAAGAAACAGATCACACCCTCCAAGACTGTCCCATATACAGATCAAGGCAAAACTGGCTAAGAGTAACACTAGTGCAAACCAGACTTTAGAGGTCTCAAGTGAATTACAAGAGACACTGATGTTCGTACTAGAGACGACATTGCAAATATAGATAATCTGTTTCAAGCAAACGAAAGAATAATAATATGAAGAAGTTAAGTGATAGTCTAAGACTGATGAATCTGAGTAATGAAGACTTGCAGAGGTTGTTTCAAGTTGAGAGGATAAACTTCCATTTACTTAATTTTATCCAGTATGACCCATTTATCTCCGCTAGTCGCCCATAAAAATGTTGCACAAAATATGAACATGTAGCTCTGTAACACAAACATCCACATAACTTAAGACCCTCTGTGGACAGGAGAGACATCATCAGTGCCATTCGAGAGGCTAAATGCTTTAAGGCTTACAGTTTCATGAAAAAGGATTTTTTACTGAATACCCTAGGTTTACCAAACCAGAGTGGTGAGCCAGGAAAACCATGCGGGAGCTACTCTTCGTTACATCAACCAAAACAGAATGGGCGTTGTTAGCCTAAAAATTCTCGGAGGTATACTTAGGAGGGGATCGGAGCACTTATGGTCATGTGGGATGAAGATGGTTTAAAAAATGAACAGTGAACTTAAGACTGAGTCTAAAATTGAATGCAAACCTTCAGAGCTTGAGTTAACAAGCTTCCATCTCAGACTGTGAGCAAGATAATTGGGAGTAGAGACTGCTAGGAAGAGCTGCTAGTTCAACACACCAAATCGTGATGCTGGTTGTGACTGCATTCAACTATATTTAACGGCTGACATTACAAATCTATTTAATTATTAGACATGGACGACATTACCAGAATCATTGACTGTTATATAAACTGCAAGCTCATTATCTATTGAAAATATATCTAGAGTGCCTGACTCGTGCAGTCTTGAACACAAAGTCAACAGACCAAAGCAATTGTTAAAAAATATTTTTATGTTGACCATCCTTTAAGTAAGATGTTGGCCGTCCTTTAAGTAAGATGTTGACCATCCTTCAAGTAAGATGTTGGCTGTCCTTTATGTAAGATGTTGGCCATCCTTTATGTAAGATGTTGACCATCCTTCAAGTAAGATGTTGGCTGTCCTTTGTGTAAGATGTTGGCCATCCTTTATGTAAGATGTTGACCATCCTTCAAGTAAGATGTTGGCTGTCCTTTATGTAAGATGTTGACCATCTTTCAAGTAAGATGTTGACCGTCCTTTATGTAAGATGTTGGCATGGGAAAAACGTGTCCTAATGAATAAAACCTTGTTGTTTGTTTCTGACCACAGATATGCATGGGATCATCCCCATCTGGAGAGTGTTGAGGGGGAGAACTATACCTTGCCCCCGGGGTGTGCCCAGTATTACATTGCAGGTGAGATCTTTAAGGTGTTGAGGGGGAGAACTATACCTTACCCCCGGGGTGTGCCCAGTATTACATTGCAGGTGAGATCTTTAAGTTGTTGAGGGGGAGAACTATACCTTACCCCCCGGGGTGTGCCCAGTATTACATTGCAGGTGAGATCTTTAAGTTGTTGAGGGGGAGAACTATACCTTACCCCCGGGGTGTGCCCAGTATTACATTGCAGGTGAGATCTTTAAGTTGTTGAGGGGGAGAACTACACCTTGCCCCCGGGGTGTGCCCAGTATTACATTGCAGGTGAGATCTTTAAGTTGTTGAGGGTGAGAACTATACCTTGCCCCCGGGGTGTGCCCAGTATTACATTGCAGGTGAGATCTTTAAGTTGTTGAGGGTGAGAACTATACCTTGCCCCCGGGGTGTGCCCAGTATTACATTGCAGGTGAGATCTTTAAGTTTTTGAGGGTGAGAACTATACCTTACCCCCGGGGTGTGCCCAGTATTACATTGCAGGTGAGATGTTTAAGTAGGCATCATCATCATCTTGTGCCATGACAATATAAAACTATAATTTCCTCAGGGTTAACTGTGTCGCTGTGTGTTTAGATGTCAGAGAGCTGTCATAGTTTTGTTTTTTGTTTTCGTATTATTGATGAAGGCTGTGGCTGGGGCATCTTTTTTTTGTTTTTTTTGTTGTTAAATGATCAGGTTACATATTAAGTTAATTTGTTTTTCATTGTAGCTTTAGAGTAGAGTATTTTGTTGACACCTTGTTCTTGTAGATTAGGCCTGATCATTGATAGAAATCAAATCTTTCTGATTCCTATACAAGCACTTGTTAGCTGTTAAGGATGAATTTAAAAAAAGGTGAAGAATTAACAGTCAAAAGGGGGGACATAAAAGTGATGATGTTTTTACATACACTGACTTACTTATTTCGTTTTGTATTATAGCCCTTCATATTTATATACCCCCCCCCCCACCCCCACCCCCTATTATATGCTTCTTGTTTTCGTGGTGATCTTAGTTTTTTAGAAGCTCTGTTGTATTGTCCTTTTTAGTTTTCCTGTCACAGTTTGTGCTGTATTCAGTACTCTGTTGATAAAGACTTTGATCAAAATGTTCGGTTGTATTTGTGTGTGTCTCTTCCATTTCCTTCATTAAGCTTGATGATCACATTTTTCATTATATTTAGCAGGAAGAATTAGTATAAATGTCTTGACAACCACTGTTATCAGCAGTTATAATAGAAATAAGGTGGTGCTATATTTCACACATCCTGTGAAGAAAGGTGTAGTGAGTCACTAGACAGGCCTAGAAATTGGAAACTGATAGATCCATTAAATGAGGGCGCCCAAGAGAATTCCTAAAGTGAACATTATTGATAGAAGCCAAAGGACTTGTACTAAGTGTTATAGACTACGATCTGGGCCTACTCACTGCCAGCAGAACCCAGCTAGAAAGACTGGTCCATGTACAAAGTGAGGCCCTGAGACTTATACTCGGCTGCACAAAAGACACCTCGTGCCATGTCATGCGGTATGTCCTGGGTTTACCGACGATGGCCACCAGACATAAAGTGGTACAGGTAAAAACTTACTTGAGAATATCAGCAGACGTCAACTACCCACTGCATAATGTTATCAATGGTATAAAGGGATATGTCTCAAAAGAGGCTCTTCTTGGATGCCCGAGACAGTATGTCTAATCCAGCATGTATGTGAAATAGACGAGATCCATCATGGAAAAGAATGGACGCATACACCAGTAGAAATTCATGACTTGTCTAAAATTGTCTAAGATTGTCATAACACTGGAGAGTCAGATACCTGCCACCATAGACGCCAAGATTAGAGAGTTGATTGATAAGCATTCACGCTGAGAAGATGTTGTCATTTACACAGATGGGTCTGTGAATCGCGGGTCAAAATCAGCATGGCCAGACAAATATATCAGACATGACTATGTGTGGTAGAACAAGTGGCCACACATATGGTATAATCGTTTCAGACTGTGAACAGGCTTCAGAAAATTGCTACTGGTAGTCTACGCTCCATGTGGGTAGAGAGCATTCAGAAGTCGCAGTTAACCTCTATCGTCTGGATCTACACACCTATGCATGCATTAGTAAATGGCAGTGAAAGAGCTGAGCAGCTGGCAAGTAATTCACCAATGCAAACAGGACGAAGCAGAGAAGACAGAGCTGATATCATCAGTGCTGTAAGCACTAGGTTGCGGATAATGTATGTATCTTTGTTGAGCTATACAGACCTATTTTACATTCATTTCTTGTTGTGTTGTTGCTAGCAGTTATGATTTATCTCTGTCTGCTAGGTCATTTGCCACAGAAACAGCTGGACTACAAGAAACGCTACAGAACTTTAGCCTCAACTTATCTCACCTTTTCACCTGATGGTTCAGAGCTGCTTGTTAATCTAGGAGGTGAACAAATCTATCTTTTTGATGTCAACAGAAAGCTACACCCTAGAAGGTTTGATCTGTCAATTTTGGGCTCAAATGGAATTGTTAAAGGTTTGTGTTTTTTATTTTCTCTTTTTCCTCTCTCCTTTTCTCTGTCTCTTTTTCACACTTGTGATAAGTTGTCTTTAAGCCCGCACCTCTTTCAAATCGTTTTGGTTGCACTTTTTTGCATTCTGGTAAATTCTAAGGATTCTTCTGTAAAATTACATTTCCGAGGCCTCAAGAAATTGTTTAAAGTCGGAGTGCATCTGCCTGTGAAATAAGGAATCAACAGTCTGCGTACAAATAAGCCAGATTTATCAAATGGATTGCACACAAAATTCAGGTTCTGGAAGAAGACTAAAGTCCAGAAGTGGACAAACAACCTGAACTTTCCACCAGAGTGTATAGCCAGTGAAAAAGACATCCTAATAGAATTAATTGCTGTGGGACAGCATTTTCTTTTAAAGGGATTTTTGGCTTCATAAATTAACTTTATAATAGCTTGAGAAAACTTTATTAACCCTTTTAGCACGGGAAGTTTTTCAGAGGTCTAGCCAAGTGCTCTCTTTTTGTCTCAGTTCATTTACTCATATAAAAGTTAGTGAAGAACCCTTTTTCACGCCATCAGGCGTATTGGGTATATAAGGCTAGATCTATATTTAATAAACCGATTGGCACTTAGTGGGTGATGTGGTCAGCATTTCGCCTGCCACTTCTACTTCCCACGATTCCACCTGGTACACACTTAACCCTTTTAGCACGGGAAGTTTTTCAGAGGTCTAGCCAAAAACACAGAGCATTTTTTCAGTGAATTTGGTTATTACTTTATTTAATTGTTTTGACAGATTTCTGTTATTCTGACCCCTATGAAATAATATATCTATTTGAAGGATATAGATTGAAGTTCGTGATTTTCACAATATCGTTAAAATTAATTGATGTATATGCAAATTATCTCATTTGCATATCTAAAAATATAAAATATGAATTTGAATTTTCAACTTCAATGCTTGAAACATAAAACTAAAAACAAAATTTTTTTTTATTTGAAATCTTTTTATTGATCTTTGGCCTTTTTACAAATGTTGTAAGCAATTGAATAGTCAAAAACAGGTATATGTATATGTGAAACAGCAATAATATCTTTAGGTGACATGTGTTTTTCACCATCAGTCAGCACTAGAAATGGATGTGCCGGAGTGTCAACACCTTCGGGTGGATATACCCTGAGCCATGGTTGGGCTGTCGTCTGAACACAACAGCGTCCCCATCTGATTCCCACTATTACTACTAACACTAAATCCTGCATCAGTATCAACAGAATTAGTGTCATCACTTGATTCAAATGTTTTATCAACATCAAGTTTAGGGGCAGAAACATCCGAGTCAGACATACTTTTAGCGGTTCAGGTCACTATCTAAAAAATTCAACAACAATTTTCACTTCGATACCAAACACTCGAAAGTCGCCATGTGTAAAGCTGATACCGCAGTTAATATAAATGAATCACTTTCAGTGTTTCAAAGTAGGAGATTTCTTAGCGGTTCGAGGCGAAACACGATCGGGCCGATCATCTGCCGTTCCGTGTTTTTGGCCAGACATCCGCCGGCCGATAATCAGCCCGTCTGTGCTAAGAGGGTTAAGGCCTAGTAAAGTGTGAAAATAATGGCTGCCAAATGTTAATATGTGGAGGCAAAGTTGATGAAAAGGTTTGAAGTTTAGAGGGTCGTCTTCAGTGCACCAGGTGAGAGGTGCAGCCTACGTCCCACGCGAGAGTGCTGCCTACGTCCCACGAGAGAGTACAGCCTACGTCCCACGAGAGAGTGCAGCCTACGTCCCACGAGAGAGTGCAGCCTACGTCCCACGAGAGAGTGCAGCCTACGTCCCTGAAAAAAGTGCATTTTATGTCCCATAACTGCATGCAGCCTATAAAATATGCTGCATACAGTCGTGTGACCTAGGTGCATACAGTCGTGGAACTTAAGCTGAGACTGTGGGGGGGGGGGGGGGGGGGGGGGGGGGGGTCGGGTTGCGATTTAAGGCCAGTTCCTCGTGTTTTGTTAAAAGTGCTGACATCGTGGAAGATAGAACACGTGGTCAATGACAACAATGAGTAAAATAGTATGTGTTGGTGGCCGGTCACTAAGCATGACACCCTCGCAACATAGGACAGGTCCTGTGACATGCTGAGGCACGAATGGGAAGGGAGGTCACTCTCTTTCTGGGCCGGAAAACATTACTTGAACCTTTTTGTGTTTGGTAACTGCTCATTTTTGTATATGATAATGATTGTCTTCATCTTTGTCACATCTTCTATCAGATGTCACCACATAGTACAAGATCTGCGAGATTCTTTATCTTCTTCTTCTGCATTCAGCTGTAAAAGGGAAGTTGGTGCATTGTTTTTGATTTACAGCTAGCACAGGGTGCATTTTTATCATCTGTTAGCATCATTTATAAAGTGTCTAATATGTATATAATTTTTGTTTGTCAGATGCCATACCACTTGCAACCAATGGCTACAGCATTCATACAAATGGCACTAACGGTGTTTGCAAGCCAACCTCATCGATATCTTCAGGGTCTTCCTCAGTGAGATTGTCCCAGTCAACATCTTCTACATCTGCCCTGCCTGCACCAGCTTCATCCTCTGACAGAATGTATGATCAGCCAGCTGAACATCCCAACAAAAGGTGAAGCTCTTTCTTTAAACTGTCAGTCAGCATAGTGTGAGGGAGATATATGCGTCAAATCTTGATTCATCCAAGTGGGAAAAGAACAGGGCAAAGTAAAGAGATAACTGCCTGGATGGCTTGATCACAGCTTGGGTAGGGACAGGACAAGACTGTCTCCATCTGACAGGCCATGCTGCTGACATCCCCAAACTGGGCTAACGATATGTCAGCACATAGTTAGCCCTGTTTGTTGACGTCAGCAGCTTGGCCCGACAGATGGAGACGGTCTTGGACAGGAACACTTGTGATCTGTGACTGGTGGTGGTGTATTATGGCAAACCATGACCACTTTGAAGTAAAGAGTGAGGAGTAAAAAAAAGCTGTTGGATCTGTTTTGATTGTTATGGTTGCCTTTGAAAACATGCTTATTAGGGGTAGGTGGGTCTGTTCCCCCAATACCCCATTCTCCTCCAAAAGCAAATACTGGCAAACGGGCTCCTGAATTCACAAGGGGAGTTGTACTATTTTTCAAAATTGTCATTCTGACTGGCTGTCACTTCTGTCACTACTGCCTTTTGTGTCAGCAGTTATTAAGAACATCATACTTTTGTAACATTCATCCATCAACAAAAAAAGCAGAACGAGGTAATGATAACAAACAATGAAGGCAGTTTTCTGGCTAACACTTTTGATTTGAAGAACCATTTGGAAAGGCTGATGTAAGACACGCATTTGTGACCATTAAAAAATCAATTCTTTTGGTTCATTTGACATGACATTTTTCACAGATGATAACTATATCCAGGCTGCTGTTCACTGTCATAATGAGATTATTGTTTCAGACACCTAAAATGCTTTGTGATGTTAACCAATAATCAGTTTATCAAATCATTTGCCATCCATTCAGCACTGTTAGCACTCAGCTGTGGATTTCATTTGGAATGTTTTTTGACTGTGACCATTGTGGTGTTGTCTTGTGAATTGTAGATTCAGAAAATGGTGTGTGGCCTGTCGTCACAATATTGGTGGTGCCCTTATGTGATTAAAATTGATCGCGTGTGCAACTGCTGATTTGTTGGTTACCTCTGCTACCGCTGATGATGAACTGTATTTCTTATGTCCAACTGTTTGTGTTAGCTAGTGCGTATACTGAGACAGCAGTCTGTCAATCTCTCCATAATGGACTGTGATGAACATTCTGTGTATTTTTCATTGGCACAGGAGCGGAGCAACTATGGGGTGACCCGTTTGCTATGAAGCTGAAACTTACATAAGATTATAGTAACACAGCACTTACTACATTATTTCTTCTTCTTTTTCGAGTCACCGGCTGTAAACTCCGTCAGAAAGTTCTGGTTCTTTGTCCACCTCTGGACTTTAGTCAGGTTCCAGAACCTGATTGTTGTATGCACATATATTAAGATCTAACTTATTTATCTGGAGATGGTTGGATCCTTGTCTCTCAGGCAGATGCACTCTGACTTTGAAGGAATCCCCCCCCCCCCCCCCCCCCCCCCCCCCCCCCCCCCCCCCCCCCCCCCCCCCCCCCCCCCCCCCCCCCCCAGTTAGTCGAGACTTGTGATATGCTTGTTGAGTAGGCAGTAGTATGTGACCTAATATGCCTCAGATGTTGAGCTAATATCTCTAGCCAAGGCTGGTTTATTGATCACTGTGTCACTGGCGATACCTCTGGGATGTGCCATGTAAGAAAAGGACATATGATGCTAGACTTATGTTTGTATAGACCAATTGGCACTCAGTGCATGATGTGGTCTACATTTTTCTGTCATCCTTACTTCCCGGAAAGTCACCTAGTACCCGTTTAAGGCTGAGACCCAAGATATCTTCTCCCTCCCCCAAACCTGATGTATGCCATGGGATCACTTTTAACACTGGGGGCTAGCTACACTTAAATCCAAATGTTAGTCCTTTATGACATGCTTTTTATGGGGCATTGCATTTAATTTTCCTCTAGAGAAAGCATCTTTGTCATCTGATAGCATTCTTCTAATATTTATGTAATATTTTACTTGATATGACACATCACTTGCAACCATCAGCTGAGGCTTCCTACAGACGGCACTGATAGTGTTTTAAGCCAACCTAATTAAACAAGATTTGTAGATTTAATTGTTTGTTTGAAATGAAATACAATGCTTAGATGTGTTCTTAACTGTTCCAGACATAAGGGGGAGCCAAAGCACTTGAGTCCAATGGTGGAGAGTCTCAAGAAGCATGCAAATATCCTGTTTGAACAAGAAGAATACAAGCGTGCTATTGATGTCTACAATGAGGCAATTGCTCTTTGCAACAATGCAGCAGTGTTGTATGGCAACAGGGCAGCAGCTTATTTGAAAAGAAAATGGTTAGCTTGAATTTTTTTTGGTCATGTTATGCTTGTTTGTTTTAAAAAGCAAAAAGATCTATTTCATTTTTAACTGCTTTCCCAAAAACGGACGCGATGTTTCATTATTTTAAAGCCCTACTCCGGCTGTTGTCAACCTAACGGTTGAACAGGCTTTCATCCAAATGGTGGCATTTTGTGTCACTGGTAGTTTATCGCTCGTTGTATGGTCCTTATGAGATTGAACGTCATTCATTCAACTTCATTTGCACCATGTTTTATCCTGTGTCACTTTGTATTTCTTCATAGTGGCTAGTTGAGAGCATCACACAAAGTTCAAACTCAGAAGTTTCAGTCAGTGTTCTTCAGACTAAATAGGGGGATTTATTTTTGCTGACTGGCTTATAGCTTTCTTTCAAAGTCGGAATGCACCTGCCCAAGAGGTAAGGGACCAGTAGTCTGCATACACATAAGCCAGATCTGAAAATGGATGTGCATGCCAAACTCAGGTTCTGGAACAAGACTAAATTCCAGAATTGGATGAACAACCAGAAACTTTCTGCCAAATTCACAGCCAGTGAACGCTAAAAAAGAAGAAGAGAAGAAGAAGAGCTGCCAGCTAAGAGAGAAGCAAAAACTGAAAATGTGGCCTCCACAGTGGAGCTTATCTGTAATGTACCCACTATTATCTTTTACAAATATCTGATGAAGTCCCAGTCTTGTCTAAAATGCAGCTTTTGAACCACTCTCTGAAAGCCACAAGAAGAGTCCTTTTCTAAATGGTGAACCCTAGAAACTGAACCCTGGTACTTCGAAGACTGAATGTAAATTGATTTCATAACATCTAAGTCACAGGGCACATTAAACTTAGATAGAATTTTATGTATTAAATCTAGATATAAAATTAGAAATTTTAACTTGAAAGACATTTCTGCTACTTAAAGGTTAGGAAATTTGATATAAGTAGCTGGAGCGATGTTTCTAAGAGATGAAGCACTGCACACTGCAGTGTCATTCAGTCGATTCCTGCATGTTGTTTTTAATTGCTGACATGGTTTTTACTTCTGACCCTTGCAGCACCTCACTGGCTCAGCTAAATTGTAACGCTTGAATGATATAGAAACTACATGATTGGATTGATATTTTTGATTGACTACCTGGAAATATCCGCTCACCAGTGCTGGTTCATGCACTACTTTAGAACACTGCCACTTTTTAGCCAAATGGCAGTCAGAAACTCAACCCATAACCTTTAGAGTGCCAGCCAGCTTTTCAGCTTTTTCATTATTCTCTAATGTGATGTAATTTCTGTGCATTAAACACTCAAATCATTTGTCTCTTTTCGTTATTTTTTTCATTATTATTTAATTGAATATTAGGAGCGCCTAATAATGGTTCATGCCACGTTGCGCATAATTGCATGCATTAAACATGATAGTCTTATAGTCATGGGATAAGTACTAACTGATTACAAAAGAGAATGTGCTCATTGTCCTGTGATGCTTAGGTTGTGTTTCTGACTGTTGAGAAAATGTCCGGGTTGATTCAATATCCATCAGAAGAAGCTCACAGAACAGTGATTCTGTTTCTATCGTATGATCAGTGGACATTCCTAAAGAGTGCATGTAGAGTTCAGTAACAGATGTGTTTTCGAAAAGACAGACTGGTCATTTATGTTTCGGATTGGACATGAATTTATGACAGATTTTTCACAGCCAGGTCAAGTTGCAACAGAAAAATCTGTTGCCAGAGTTGATGCAGCAAGACATGTGAACCAGTGTCGAAACACACATTCATTAGCAAAAGAATTTGATGTGTCAGTTGGGACATTTGTAAAGGTTGTTTGTAAAAAAAAATCTTCAATATCGGAGTGAGTACCATGGATGTTGACTGACCACTAAAACATTTCACATAGATGCAGATATGATGAATGCTGTAAACACTTGGTTCTGTTAATAGCCAGAGTCCTTTTTTTGCAAACAGCATTTTAAAATTATTTATTTTAATTCAGGGATGGTGACCTCTATGCAGCCTTGCGTGATTGCTATCAAGCTCTAACACTGGATCCTCACCACATGAAGGCACATTTCCGACTAGCTCGTTGCTTGCATGAGCTCGGGTGGAGCCAAGAAGCTTTTGAATGCCTCAATCTCTTCAAGCTGCGTTTTCCAGACTATGCTAAAAGTCACGCATGTGAAACTTTAGACAGAGACATTAAGGCAGCTTTATTTTCACGCACTGAAGGTTTGTGCCAGTTTTGCATTCATATTATTTTTTCAGACTTGATTTTGATTTGATTTGATTCAAAAACCGACATCACAGCACTCGGGGGATTCCCATAAGCGCTCCGTCCCCATCTTTAGCAGCCAGTAGTGCATTGAGCTAAATTAATGTTTTTGTTTTCTTTTACAGACTTACCGGCGTTTGATGGGTGATGCAGCTGTCTTTACTTCCTAGGGTACATCCTGATACCCATCTTAGACTTGTTTGACTTGGAAAGTATAGATCAGTTAGTTTTCCAGATGTGCCTGATTCTGACACATCTTCTTTTTCTTAGTGTTCACTTGTTGTCCGCCCACTTCTGGATTTTGGTCTTATTCTAGAACTTTAGTTTTACATGCACATTTATTTGACAGATCTGGTTTGTTTGTAACCGTTGGTTCCTCACCTCTCAGGCAGCTGCACTTCAACGTCAAAGGAAACACCTCTAATTAGTCGCCGTTTACAACATGCTTGCTAAGGACAGTGGGCCTTTCCTTCCCACCCACAACCACTCATTTTTTTGGGAGGGGGTGGGGTGGAGAGGCTACACAGGGAGATGCTGATTCAAACCCACGACCTTCAGAGCAGTGGGCAAGCATCCAGCCACTGCGCTATCACAGCTGTCTCATTACCTATACTGTGATGAAAAGCCTGTATTGTATATCTGAGAAGGAACTGAAATGAGTAATAAATGTGCACACACAAGTGAGGATTTTTAAGAATATAAAATAAACAGTACATGTCAAGTAATTCCAACATACTGTTTCTTTCAGATTCAGAGGAGCACAAAGAAAGCCGAGGTGAAGATGGGACACGGCCTGCCAGTTCACGACAAGAATCAGAGCAGGAGAAAGAGCTTCAGAAGAACGCATGTGATTACACAATGCGATTTTGTGGCCACTGTAACACAACGACAGACATCAAGGAGGCAAACTTTTTTGGCAGGTTTGTTTTCTTCTGGGCTGGCACCTCTGAATTTTGATTCTTTAGGGTATTACTTTTGCTTGTTTGCAGCTCTGACTTGGAGTTTAGTGTATTACTTTTGCTTGTTTGCAGCTCTGACTTGGAGTTTAGTGAATGCGTTTGACAGTTTCATGATCCTCAAGTACTACAGTTTTATTTCCATGACGGACAGTTTATGTTTGTAAAACGAATCTCATGGTTTTTGGGCAGTGATACAAAAGTCGAGGACCAGCTGGCCGAACTATTGAGAATACTGGGCTTTCATGCAGGAGACCCAGGTTCAAATCCTCAGTAAGGTTATTGGAATTTTTTACTGTCTGGGGCCATGCAGCCCTAAATCCCCAGGCTGACAGACGTGCCTGCCTGTATTGCAAAAGTGGTCATTACAGGCAGGTTGTGTGTGTATATGTGGGCAGATAAATTTGGCAAGAGAATGCTGCCTCTGTACCTGTTATCTTCAAGGAGTACAGTGGGTAAACTGTGGTCAGCAACTTTTTTTGTAGAGCGGCACAGACAATAAAATAACTAGAACCAGTGGAGGCAGCATTATTAGTTCAGATATAATTTTAGCCAGTCTGGCTAATTCTATTGGGGGTGCAACTTAGAGTTACGAGAAATAAACATTTCACCAAGGGGCAAGAAATTTGATTAATCAGCACAGAACTGGTGTCATCAGTTGTTTTACGTTTGTGGAGATTTTGAGGAGATTGGAGCACCTATTGATATCAGGAGTACTGCAATGATAATCCTCACTAAACATTAAACAAGCAGTCTGTATCTACTGTGCGTGACACTTTCAGCACATGGCTAACCATTCTATGGAGGGAGACAGAGCCATATGCAATAAAAGATTTGTGAATTGAAGTTGATACCCTTGACTTCAGCTTTTTAACTCTTAATGTGAAATGATAATATTTGTCCTTATGTTCAAGCAATGGCCAGTACATAGTGGCGGGATCTGATGATGGATCCTTCTTTATCTGGGAAAAGGCAACCAGTAACATTATTCGAGTGCTTCGTGGAGACGAGTCAATCGTCAACTGTCTGCAGCCTCATGCAAGCACCTGTCTTCTGGCAACAAGTGGCATTGATCCAGTTGTACGACTGTGGAGTCCAAGACCAGAAGTAAGTTTAGAAAAAAGAAATTTTTATAGGCCAGATTTACTTGTGAGCGTTTTCTGAATTAGGGGAGCTTTCATAGCCTCGAGAAGCTCAAATTCTGGTGCTTTCAGTTTATCATGGCCCCATAAATGCCCCCTTTCCAGCTTTTCAACTGTCTTCAACCTCATGCAAGCGTCTTCTGGCAAAAAGTGGCACTGATCCTTGATCCATTTGTACGATTGTGGAATCCAAGACCAGAAGTAAGTTTTTAAATAAAAATGTTCATAGGCTAGGTTTACTAATGAAGGTATTCTGAATTACTGAATCAGGGGGAGCTTTCATAGCCTTGAAGAGCACAGATTCTGGGGCTTCCAGTTTTTCATGGCCCCGTAAATAGCTCCTTCCCAGCTTGTTCTAGAGGGTTGTTTATGAGCAGCCCCGCTAGCAGTATTGCTTTCATTTGTTCCTGGGCAACTTTTTAGAATCGCCAGGAACAAGCACAGTTGCTAAACAGCATTTAGGTTGAGGGTGTTTCCTTGTGGAAAATGGCTTTATTTATAAAAATTAGGAGACCAGAATTTTCCATTAGCTACAGTGGTAACTGGCAGCCAGGTCAAGAACAGGTCACGCTAAACATTATTTAGAGCTCAGAGAGATTTAACTCAATAAATTCTCTGCCGGGTTCATGTTTATTGATTACTCCCATTGTTTTATATGAAATTTAAAAAAGGGTTTGGTCTGTAAATGGAATTGTTATGATTGTGTGTGTGATCTAAGTTGAAAAATAAAATTTTTGTTAGCAAGATTTTTTCTTAAAGATCTAAAATTCAAAAAAAAAAGAATCAGCAGGAATCTTTGGCTTTTTTTGGTAGGTCACCGGAGCAACCAATCTAATAAGGAAGTTAAAATACTTAACTCAATGTAAAATCGTTCTGGAGATTGCTAGCTGTGCAGAAGAATGATAGCCCACACCAGTTGACAAGGCACTTGATGAAAATGATGATGAATTTCAAATTGGTACTCCTGTGTGGAGCAGAACCATGTAGAATGAACAAACTAAAAGCATTAATTATCTTATTCCTGCACACAGAAGAAGGAATAAAATGGTATGACAGAACCAACTGATGTCAGCTTCTTTTTCTTAAAGCCCATTTTGTGTGGCATTGGTCGTCAGATCTTATCTGCAACCTTCTGTCTCAAGAACCTTCAGTCAGTTTTGATACAAATGATCTTCCATGCCAGGATGTCAAAATATCTGGCATCCTTTCTCTCAGTCTCCACAAGCCTCTTTCACCTCCAACTTTCCCACCATCATGCTGTACTCCAGTGCAGTCTGTTGTTTACATCCTCATTATCTGTCTTCATGAACCTACAGAAAAGTTTCTGTCAGGTCTGGTAATTGTCTGACTAATTTTGCAGGATGGTCGCCAGAACGACAGGCAGGTGAACAACAGTGATGATGCAGCTTTGGCCAATCAGAAGAGAATGAACGCTGATCCCCTGGAGGTCATGTTGATGAACATGGGTTACAGAATTTCCGGATTTCATGATGTGGATGATGAAGAAGGAAACCAAGGTGACGGACCGGCTAACTGCAGGACAGCCTAGGGTTTCATTGCCTAACTTTGTGGATGAGAGAGAAAGAGAGAGAGAGAGAGAGAGAGAGAGAGAGAGATGAGTGTTGACATAGCGTAACAGAACATCTAAAGCACTGGATGTCTGCAGAGTCCTAGTTCAGCTTTGAGTTATAATAACTGCCACCAGTTTCTTGAATAACTGGATTTATGTATGGGTTTGGATATCTACTTGGTGTTGCCAGCACTGTTCCGTGGGAGCTCAGATTCCCTTCCCCGTCAACATATACATCAGCATCCGCAAAAATTGTATTGTGGTTATGGATTTAGACATAGTTTTCTCTTGTCATTCACACTGTTGGATGGGGGGGGGGGGGGTGTGTGGGCGCAGCCCAAAAGGACATGCGTTGCATTCTTCAATAGGTCTACAAAAGTGGTTGGAAAAAATCTCCTTTCCGTTGTGAAGAAAACTGTATAGAAATGCCATTAAGCAGCTTTTAGATCATGTTTAAGTTTATAATGTAAAGTTATTAAATTAAAGCAATTTTTCTCTGCTGTAAAATTTAATAAAAAGAGGATACAAACAGTAGATTGCACATTTTATTGCCTGACATATTTAACTGTCTCCTCAGGTGCATACTACAGTAACAAATAAATAAAAGTGGTTGGGTGTGATTTATTTTGTATTTCAGTTTGAAGGATTCATTTCTTTTGCTTCTTTTGATTTATTTCTCATTGTAGTGTACACCTGCTGAGGTGCAGCGAAATAGTAATTAGTGCAGTCTGTTTGTATCTTCTTTGTTCAGAGTTGTTAAAGTTTAAAACTGTTTAGGACTATATGGATAGCCTGCATGTGTTGTTGTTGTTGTTGTTGTTGTTGTTATCGATCCAGCGGCGCATGAGCTTTCGCCCTTTGGCCCAATGCCATGTAGTGGAATTTGCATGTTTTCGATGGCTGTTCTTTTCCTCCGTACAAGGTGTTCCACTTGTCTGGTCTCGGAGGGAGTAGCGTTCTTCTTGTCTCACTGACTTTTGGGCACTCAAAGAGATGGTGTTCAACAGTTTCGTAGGGGTAGTTACATAGCTGGCACTCTGGGGAGTGTTGTGGCTGTATTCTGTTTAGGTGTCCATTGAGTGGAGTATGTTGCGTTCTAAGTCTGAAGATGGTGGCCTGGTCCCTTCTTGTTAGATGGTTAATGCTGTCATTAGGATCAGGGCCAGACATATGTCTATAAACCTCTCTTCCAGTGTCTCCCATGGCCCATCTGTTCAACCAAGTCTCTTTGTTTATAGCTCTTATCAGTGTTTTTGCTGTCTGGAGGGTTGTCGCTGTAGGTGGTTGTTCTTGTGTTGCTCCTTTCTTTGCCAATCTGTCAGCTCTGTCATTACCTGGTGTGCCGGAGTGACCTGGAATCCACTGCATCACTATTCTGATGTTGTATGAGGTAATAAGCTGATCGGCATCCAGGATTATCTTGGCTATGTCAGTTCTGCAGCGTTCATTGCCCTCCAGAGCTTGAAGGGCAGACATTGAATCTGTGAAGATGACAATATTTTGGACCTTTGAGGGGTAAACATCCATTACAGTCTTTAGGTGGTATACTGCTGTTTCCAGTGCAATTATTTCAGCTTCATAGTTTGAACAGAATTCCCCGCATGCATCAAAAATCTCTTCAACAGATCCATCGGGATAACCTATGTAGATTCCGTAACCTGCTTTAATGGTAGCTTTAAATGCTGATCCATCAGTATAGACATGTAGCCTGCATGTGTTAAATAGAGTCATAACTGTTCTGTCATTGACAGAAAGAAGAGAAGCGAGACAACCATTTCTTGGTGTATTAACAGTGTTGACTCACTCGCTTGTATATACAGCTGTGGACGTATCAAACAGGGGTGTACACATTTCAGACTTTTTGCCCTAAAACACATCATGATGTGTGTGTGATTTTTTTTTTTAAAACAGTTTGTGATATTGTTAAAGGGAGATCATTCTAAACCTAAAATGCTGTTTATAGAGCAGTTGGTGTCCTTGGCAAAGGAACTTTAGATATGCATCAGCTAATATGAGTAATACATTATGTAAAATTGGATGTTTTGGGGACTGGACATTGTGCAAACAACGTACTCAATACAAAGCAGTTTATGTGTATTATATAAATAGCCAAGTTACAACACTTATAGAGCACAGTATGTCAACTGTGGAGGTATTACAAACTATATTATGTATTCCTGTCTGGCAGAAAAGTAATGTAAAATACTGTATATGTACTGTACTGTTATAGATTGACATTGCAGTCATATTATACTGTTTATAAGAGAACGTAAGGCATCCATATTGTGTGCAGAGTTTTTCCATCGAGATTTCTTTTATAATGTTGTGTCAACCACTTTTGTATTTATGGCCAGGCACTAACTGAAAGTGTCAGAGGTAACAACTGCATTGGACCTTGGTTCAGAATTTAAGAGAAAATAGACTTTCTTAGACTGCATATAGACAGCTTTGGAAATTGTTGTCCTTGCAGATATTTTTTATTTTATTTTATAGTATCGACACCTGTGAAGACAGATATCCAAGTATGGCATGAGGTCACTTCATAAAGACTTGATTATCCATGCCAGGACAAAGCAAGCTTTATTATTTGTTTGTTTGTTTAGTCGGGCTGAGATAAAAAGATCTGAGAATGGCTTTGATAACCAGGAAGATTGTTCGTATTACAGGAGTCGCCAGAGTGGGATGGAAGATTATTGGTCGAACTTATCAAGGAAACAGTTGACACATGTTCTTGGTAGATGTTAGTGCTTGTGCATCTCAGCATGGTCAAGTGTCCTGTCTTATATTTGATGATTTTCATTGCGGGCTGCGAAGCCCTATTTGGGGGGGCAGGGGGTATACTTACTGCTTTCTCTAATAAGCATGTTGTAAGAGGTGACTGATTAGGGATTTTCCTTTTGAAGTCAGAACGTATCCGTCCCAGCAGCGAGGAACCAATAATCTGCACTCAGATCTGCCAGATGTGCAGAATTCAAGTTCAGAAACAAATCTAAAGTCTAGAAGTGGATGAATAACCAGAACTTTCCACTGGAGTTTACAGCGGGTGAATGCTAAAATGAAGAAGATATTTGATGCTGATTGCATTAAGTAGCCAGTTTGAAGATTATAGTTTAATTTAGTGGTGTTTAAATAGTAATTATCTTTGTCATAATCATAGATCCATAACACTGTGTATGGTTGTGTCACTAGTTATCATTGACTTCTCTGCTGTCTTTACCTTTCTCAGTCTGATGCAATTTACTTGATGGTTGCATGTTTGAGACCTTTCCACTCAGCCGAATTGTTTCTAGTTGTCAAGGCTTTGTTTTTTCATTTTTTTTGGTTCTTCTTTGTTCACCAATTGTAAGCTCCAGCAGAAAGACCTGGTTGTTCGTCTATTTGGACAACTTTAGCTTTGTGTCACTGGCTTATTTGTGTGCAGTTGTGTCCGGGTCTTTCAAATAGTGAGACTATATATAAACTTTTATTACAGCATTATTGTTATCACTGGTGTTGCCAAAAGGGATTTTTTTAAAAGGTCATTGCCGGGCAGTTAACCTAATCGACAAATTAAATGCAAAATAAATGCTCGATGAAGTGGGATGTGTCAGTCGAAAAGCACAAATATTGCAGCTTTGCTGTTAACAGGTACGACACAATTACCTTAAGAAGAGAAAGAAGAAGAAAAAGAAATGGTTTAAAACCTGGTGTCCTGGCATGCTGTTTTTTTTTTTTTTAATGGACATTTTAACTTTCATTTCTTTGATTTGACCTTCAGTATTTTCAGTATTAACATGTCTTGCTAACTGGCATGGACAATCAGGTATCTTCCAATCTCCAACAGTTTGCATCATTTCTATAGAATTTGTCAGTATCCAATCTGTCCCAGTTTTTTTTCTTAGCCTTAGTGTGTTCAGAAGACAACTGCCTCTTTTGATATATTTAAAAGCAGATCTTTTTAATTAGACCACATGAGATCTTGTAGATGTTCTGCAAATTTTTGTATGGATGCCCTGAACTCTGTAGCTCTAGCGGGGTCAAGAGAGCAGACATTGTAACCAAACTTCTTATGAAAACAATCAGTAGACATACCTTTGAGTGGCTGCTGCATTGAAGTACTAGCAGCATACAGATGCCTAGTGCACAGTGAAATCAACTGTGATAACCTTTCGTAGACTGCATAAAGTACGCCTGATACAGAAACTCTAATATCCATCAGTCTGAAGAATTTAAATCTTGTATTGCGTACGTAATTAGAGTTCTGAATAAAACTCTATTTATTTTGTTGAAAAAGTTTCTTTGATGCCATATTGTACAAATTTTATTGTAGAAGTTGTGTCGTCATTCATATTTTCTTCATAATTCTTTTTCTGACCTGCTTTCATTGGTATGGGAAAGGCAGAATTAGCTTATAAGCTGCTGTAATAAATTGAGTTTCATATAATGTTAATAGAGATCATTACTTTCCAATAAATCTAAATGTTGTTTTAGATAATTTTGAGAAGGATAAAATCTTTGTAGATATAGACAAATTTTCCTCAATAGAATATATGTATTACTTTGTTCTCATGATGATTTATATTTATTATTTATATGTGTGTATTCGGTGTGGGGGATAGAGGAAGAGAAAATGGCGGGAGGGAAAATTTAGAGAGTGAGAGGAGGACAGTTATGTTTTAGAATCAACTAAGTTTCATAATTAATTATATTTAATCAAATATTAAATAGTCTTATCTGTTATAAACAGCTGAATGCATTGGAGTAGCAGCCTTAAACAAAGCAGTTAATCAGTTTATTGTTACAAAACTGCATCCGATCTAAGAATAATTCAGTTTTGCATATTTGTCTAGGAAATTGCATAGCTCTCTGGCTAGAACATGTGCCTACCAGCCTGATTGTCATACGTTAGAATACTTTAATATGAAAGCATGGATTTTAGTTTGATTGACCTGGGCTTTTGTACACCCAGCCTAAAGTAGATCCTACTTTTTCTCTTTGCC